CTCCCCTCTGGAGTCAGTCCGTCCTGCCCTGCTGGAGCCCTGTGACCCTGAGGTGCCCAGCTACCGCCATGGGTGGTGGCTTCCAGGGTCCTCGCCTGCCAGGCGGCTCCGCCTGCCTGGGGAGGCCTCCTGAGCCTGCGGTGCTGCCTCACAGTGGGCCTGGCTCGCTTGCCGCTGCTGCCTGTCTGTAGGGGAGGAAGCTTCGCTGTGTCACTGTTGCACATGTGTGTGTTCTATCTCACCAGACTGAACTAAAGTGACAGTGAGTGCCCCGTACAGTGAACTGCAACCACTTCCCATTTCCTTTTTTTTTTCCTTTTGTTGTTTTGAGACAGAGTCTCACTACGCACATCAGATTGGCCTTGAATTCACTTTGCAGCCCAGACTTGCCTCGGATTTGCAGTGATCCTCCTGCCTCAGCCTCCCAAGAGCTGGGATTCCAGGTATTCACCACCACACTGGGAAATTTCCTTTATTCTTAAACTAAAATCTGAACTCCGAATATAACATAACCTAAAAATCTCATCTCTGAATGCACATGGGCCTAAGTGATCTGGCCGTTTTCTACACAATATTTGATGCCTAATGTTATTTTCATTTGCATGGCTGTTATTTTTTGGCTTCCCTCAGGCTTTACGAGTCTGGCTCACCTCACCTCCCTGGTCCTAGTTCAGGCACATGGTAACTGCTCAGTTAAACACATCTCAGAGACACAAAGGAACAAACTCTGATTCTGAGCATCTGCAGTTTATCAAAGTAAACTTGTTTGGTGGGAAGTTTCATTGGGAAAAGTTAGCTTATAGCACACAACAGCCAAAAAGTTGCACATGAAATCAATAAAAAAGAATAATAAAGGTATCCAGGATGCAACCTTACACTGTTCAATGGGCTTGAGGTGAGCAGTTAGTATTTAATATAGTTAAAAATGCATAATAGCAAGAAAAAAAATTGACCCTGCCTCCTTGATGTTAAAAAAGCTGATTACAGAGTTTAAGAAATCACCACCTAGTGAAAGAATTTTGCCCTAAAATGAATTATAAGACATTATAGAGGTAGAAGGCCAAATCCCAAATTGGGGATGTTTACCCTGACGGCCACTTCCTCCTTCTTCCTGTTACAACTTCCATTTTTCTCTCCTCAGTGAGAAGAAAATTCCAATCAGCTCCTTGTGGGTCACCATTGCCTGCCCTAAGCTCCAAATCTGGTCAAAGGTCACACATACACCACCCCCATATGCAGACTGCTGTGGGTTGTGGGCTCCTCTCCAGTCCTTTGAATAAAGGCCACTTTCACTTTTTCTTATATTCTGCCCCTTTATTGCACCAGAAAATTCTGACACCTAGAAACTCGCACTTAAGTTATCACTAACGACGTTAAAATATGTCCGGCCCTCAATGCATCAGCAGTGATGTGAGCGGAGAAGGAATTTATTGTCTTCCAACAGAAGGACTGTTGTACTCTAAGAAAATAGCTTCGTTATATGTATATTATAGCAAACCTGTAAAGTGGCTTACTAAATGTGTTTTTTTTATCCTTTTTCTCTAACTGATATGTTAAGTGACCTAATTGATATGTTGAGCACTACTCTCCTCTGTAAAGAATTGCAAGAATCTCACCTAATTGATATGTTAACCATTGTTGCCCTCTACAAACTACAGAAGTTGTGCTAAAACAAGCTAACAAGGGTTGTTAATCACTGTTAGGTGCCTCTATTCTCCGCTAAAGAGCTAAAGAAAACTAGAATGGCCCATTAATTTATACTTGTTTAAAGTAACCTGCTTGTGTGCAGAGAGATTTGCGTATGAGTTTAACCCTTTACCTGACCTTGACACATAACCGCCATTTTCTGTTCTGTATGGCACCTTATTGCCTCCCTCTCCCCTCACCTATCTATCTAGGCCATAAAGAATTTGGGTTTCTGGTGACCTCTTCCCAACCTGGTGATGATCTGTCATAAAATGAGCCTACCCCAATTTTAAGAACTGTTTAGCTTCAAAGAAATTACCCAGAAATACTATGGCCCAAACCCCAATCGGTGCTTTCCTTTTGTTCTGTATGCATCAAATGAGTTAGATATCAGATCTTTGTAAAACTTAAGTTTCAGCTTCTTGTAACTCTTGACCCCTTCGCACCCACTAGCAAAAACGAGCTGTCCTGGGATAATTAACTCTCCACTTTCTTCTCCAAATATTGCTGCAGATGTGCCACTCTGAGATAATATCAGTCTGTAGGATGGGAGTAATTTGAGAAACACCAGGAACTCCCGAGATTGTCAGAGCTAAGTGGACAGCAATACAGTTTCCAGACTCAGGTCAACAAGTTTGATGGCTCTGCAGGTTTCTTTGTTTTCCCCCAACTTTTCCTCCAGCCTCTTTTTAAAGTCCTCCCTTCAGTCTCTGGCACACAGTCTCCAAATTGGCTCCCGGAGACTGGTCGCCAGGCCTGGAAATAAAGCCTTTGCCACCTAAATTTTCAGTCTCTTGCCTCCTTGGATTTTATACCGGGGCCCAAGTTATAACAGGACCAGGGCCAGGAAAGGTGAAACAGCCCAGGAATCATCTCCTGCTTTATCTCTCTCTCTCTTTCTTTTTTTTTTATCGGTACTGGGGATCAAACTCATGACTGTGCAATTACAAGACAGGCACTTATGCCGCTGAGCTAAATCCCCATTCCCAGTGCTTTATCTCTTGCCTGTCTTGCAAAATACACTCTGAGCTGAGCATGCCCTCTGGGATCAACATGCACTCCTGTGCCCTCTGCCCTCTACCCTGTGAGCTGTATCCTCTTGGAGGGTGACACAGCAGAGTTGTCTACAGACATAGGTAATTCTACAGCCCTCTGTATCCCACGGATTTTATAAAGATCAACAGCTCATGACGCAGCGTGCACCTGAAAAGGTGCACACGGATGAGCCCAGAACCAGTGTGCGCTTTAGCTCATAAAGCAGAGTAGGCACAGTATCTTCCAAAGAGAGCCCCTCCCCCTCCCCCATGTATCCAGCTTTCCTTGGTCTCCCCGATCCCTGCAGCCCACAGTAGCAGCGCCCACACCCAAGTCTTTCAACTCCATCCGCACACTGACACACACTTTGCCTCCTTAACACTTACTGGGTTTCCTGACATGCCACAGCCCTCCGAGAGTGATGCAAGTCTGTTCATTGCCTAACGTGAGTGTGCAGAGAAACATGGGGGGCCTAAAATACAGCCAGCCCCATCTGAAGCACAAGCGCTGGCCAAACCCCAGTCCTGGGGCTGCATATCTAGCAAGGTCACCCTTTTGCATGAATAGATAAAACCGTGCAGCATGCGGATTAGTGTTGACCCTTCTCCTCTTTCTGAGGAAAGGAGAGGAGAGAAAATGCCTTACCTTTGCTTATCTTATCACTTGCAAAATAAGGAAATGGCCTCTCACATGGGCCAAACTTGATTTATCTACCTGGACAGAGATGGCAACTGCAGACAGTCAGCGGTCAGAGCCTGGCCCAAAGCTTTGAGAACCTTCATTCCCAATCAAATGCCAAGTGCGCAGAGCGGGGTATCGCCCTCACGGCCTCCTGCCCGTGGGAAGGAGGCATGCCTTCCCGGTGCTGGGAGGTTGCGTCTCATGCATTCAAGGCCGGTTAGACTAGAGCACCTGTTGCCCAGCTGAGTGTCTTCAGCGGGGTGAGTCGTCCCCCAAATCAGGGATGAGTCCTGGGACAGAGGCTGTGGCCGCATAGTTGACAGCTCTCACACCTGTTGCCTTGCTTAAGCATAAGAGGGGCAGTTACTTTCGCTTCTTATTTTTGTATTAGAAAATGGAAAGCCAGCTCGTACAATTTGGAAGCCAAGAGTTTCATTCCTGAAAACTTGCTTAGATACCTACTAATAACATATGAAGGGGGAGGTCAAAACTACGAAGAGTGTTTAAATTTAAAAACTCATTACACAGAAAGACACACTGCCCGTAACCCGGCTTGCTTCTAACACACTTACCCCATCATTTGCCACATTCTAAAGTATTTCAAAGTCCTCTTTCACCACTTTCACAAGTTGAAACGGTGAATGATAGGCTCGTAAGGAGATTAGGGTGCATCTTATCCTTCCGGGGATCAAACTCATGACCTCAAGCTTGCCAGACAGGCGCTTGTGCCACTGAACTAAATCCCCAGGTCAGAGTGTGTCTTTATCTAACTTATTCCCCTGATCTGGCACCAGCATCTCTGAGCTCTTCACCAAAGTCATAAGGACTGGAAAGGAAAATGTTTTGATTCCATTCAGGACATAAAAGTGGTCACAACAATACAACTGAGATACTCACTTGAAAGAGGACTTTCACATGTGTGTCTGATTTATTTCACTTAAGAATATGGTCTCAAAGTCCATCCATTTAGCTAGAAATGTCTCAACTTTATGTCTGTTTATGGCTGAATAGTACTCAATTGCATTAAAAAATCTTTTTTATCCATTCATCAGTTGATGGGCATTTGGGTTGTTTCTTAGACGTAGCTACTACAGATGATCCTGCTATAAACATGGGTGCACATATGTCGTGAAATCAGTCAAATGGAAAGAGGAACAAAATGGGGAGGGAGGAAAGGAAAAGAAAAAAAGGGATAAAATACACCAGGAGTGGTGGCATACTCCTGTAACTTGAGCACTCGGGAGGCTGGGAGTATCACCATGAGTTCAAGCCAGCCTGGGCTTCATAGGGAGACCCTGTCTCAAAAAAAGGATAAAGTGGAAACACAGCTTTGTAAATAAGGAGGGGAAGTGGGGCTGACGGGAGGGGAATGAAAAAGAAAAAAGAAGAAATAAAATACGCTGTGTACAGTATGCATTCCCTATGATAAATGTGATCATTCTGTATATCTAAACTACACCAATAAATTTCTTGAAAAAGATAAATGAAATAAAATGAAAGAGGACTTCCAAAATTCTTCAGGAAATGGCAAGAACAATCGGATTAAGTTTGTTCAAAGCAAAAAGGAATATTTTGAGGGGGATTAAAAGCAATGTGTCTTTTACTGTAATAACTTTTTTATTTAAATATACACGTTTTCACTAACACCTCATTTGTCTTCTTAAAAAGGAACTCAGAGAAATTTAGAAAACCTCGGTTAAAAGCAATCAACAAGTGGGTCTCCGAGCAAAAGAACCAACCGCAGGAGGTGTCTGCAGTGGTGAAGTATCTCTCACACATCGTACCAGGGTTTCTGCAGGTTTCCATGGCAGACCACACCCTTGACTGGTCCCCCATGGAAGGGACTCATTTCCAGGGGGAACAGACACTGCGGGAGGATGAGGCTAGCCTCCAGCACAGGGAGACATTCACGGCACTGAGACGTCCAGCAAGCTCTTCAGACTCTGCTTCCATTGCTTGATTTGTAAAATCACAAAAACAGTGTTACATGTCCTGGGTAATCTTGCATAATTCGTATGAAGCCTTGTGGCTTACTGACGATGGCTTGCTGGGCCTATGTTACTGAACTTCAGAGTTACTGACCTCTTAACTGGTGTCGTTCTTGCTATGGCAAAGATATGGACCCACTATGCCCTCTTCTTGGTCTCCTGCAACCTCTTCTGTGGGAGTCCTTTTGTTCCTTCTCTGTATCCGAGGAAAGAGCAGAGACCGCGTTCCGCAGTGGACTCATCGCTCTGAGGTCTCTATGAGAAACAGTGCCTCTCCTCTGCCGCTGCCGGGTACCTTAGCAGGTGACCAGTAAAATTTTCTGAAGAGATGATTGAAGAATAAATGGATGAATGTCAGCTTATCAGCACTGCTGAAATGCTGCCAGCACCTCAATGAGGGAGGTGAAGGCCCAGCAATGACAGATCCTGTGTCTCCTATCAGTCCTGTTAATGGGTTATTTGTCTTAACTTCTTGTGATCAATAGCAATATCTTAATTAGTTTAAACTGGCCCGGATACCTATGAAGCCCCTGTGAGGCATGTAATTTAGATTTATGAGGACTGCTTGCAATGATAATTGTGTTTATAATTTTGGGAAGTATGAATATGCACTAAATTGCTGCTCTGTGAAACTCCACGGAGGTTTAGAATGAAAAGAGCTATTTAAGACAGTTATTTAAATTACCTAGTAATAAAGGAACTACTACATTGGCTGCATTGGACCTATGGATTTTCTATCAATGAATTTACTACTTTAATTTAATTCAGTGTATCCAGGACAGTCAAAGACACTGTTAAGAGCGGAGAATTAACAAAGATCACACAGCTCAGCTGGCAACCCCAAGCAGACCTTGAGGAGACATTGTCTAATGCAGCACTGCCCCCGACAGCCCCAAAGGGTGCAGGATGGAAACTTAACAGGTAAGGCACAGAGCAAATCCAAGGGCCACGTCCAAGAGACCAGACCCCAGGGACGGGTGAACCAAACTGAAGGAGTCAGCAAAGCCTGCCCTTGTAACCTCTGTAAGGTGCACGGGGTGCTTCTGGGTTGCACAGACAAAAGTGGTCAGTGGAACAGAGAAATGTTTTTCAAAGCCAAAAAGAAATTTGAGGACTAAGAAAACTTTTTGAATTTTTTAAAACACAGATTTGAGAGCAGAATGAAAATAACAAAGGAGGTCATCAATGAGCTTGAAAATCCGTGAATATAAATTCACGATCTGATGAACAGAGAGAGAAAAGATTTAAAAAACAGAAAAACAGCCAAAGGGACCTGTGGGGAAATGTCAATGTTAAAGTCACTGACTAAAAGAAAGATATTGGGACAGATGAGCTATTTGAAGAAATAATCAGTAAAATCTTCTCCAAGATGTCAATTCACAAATTTAAGAAGTTCAGCAAACCCCAGACAAAATGAACTCAAAAACCCATGTTCACAGATACTGAAACCAAACTGCTAAAAAGCAGAGATAGAGAAAAAACCTTGAAAGAAGCTACAAGGAAATGATACAGTTTTGTAGGGTAAATAATAATTGTAGAATTGGAGGATATTAAAGATTCCTCCTGAAAAACCATAAAGACAGTGGAGTAAAATCTTCAAAATACTGAAGGAAAAAAAAATTCAACTCTAAATTCTGTGAGAAAATTCTTCAAAAATGAAGGTACAAAAGGGTACCCTCAAGTAAAGGGAAGCGGAAAGAATCCACTGCTAATCCACCCACCTAAAGAGAAAGTGCTAAAGAAATGCAGGCCCCTCCATCTCAGGAAGGGTGACTGCCCAGGAGGAAGGGGCTCCAGCAGCTCACAGAGGAACCCCCCTTACTAATTCTGTCACCTCTCATGTAACTCTTTCCCAGGATCATTTCCTGAATAAACACCCGTCTCCGGGTCTGCCTCGGGGGAGCCCAAGCTAAGACAGCCCACGTGCACCTGACTGGCATTATTCATGGTCATTAGATGTTCTCCAATCACGGGAACACTGTAAGTCAGTGCAGTCAGCCTTTCATACCCATGGGTCACCTGTGCCCAGACCGAACCAGCATGGATCAAAATATGCTACAATCAACCCATTATATAATCACACAATTAAAAACTAATGCAGATAAAATATTATAACATAGGACTACATAGCATGGTCATGTTGTTAGGTGTCACTATATCTTAAATTTCCTGTTAGTATCTGTTTGCAGTGCAGGTGATTGCATTTATGGTGGGGGGGCTGATGATGTATATGCAGAACACGATCTAATTCTTTCTATATCTTCTTCTGCCTCCCCTCTCCCATCCCTCCATTTCTTGGTCCCCTTTTCCTTTTGCAAATGATCATTTCCTGTCTCCTACTATCTGTCTTTTATTATATTCTTTAAGTTGTTTACATACTGGGCTTCTCACATAAGAGAAATCGAGATATTTAAGCTTGTGCGTTCAATTTATTTCACTTAACATTATGGTACTGTTGGCAGTCTGGAGATGATTTAAAGTATATGGGAGTACACCTAGATTATATGCAAAGCCACATCATTTTATATAAGGGATTCGAGCATCCTCAGATTCTAGAATCTGCAAGGGGTCCTCATTCAGAAGGAGACTCACCCTGAATTTTTCAGCCATAGGAAAAGATCAAGGAAAAATGACGAGTACTGTCAACTCTGCACTCTCCAGCAACACTGTGACTCATGCCTGGACGGACTTGATTTAGCAGTTTTGCTCTGTGAGGCACTCGGCTGTCCTCTTGGGCTTAGGAACACAAGGCAGCGCTCAGCGTCATGCTTGAGGTATTTTTTAAACAGCAAAATCACCAGGAAAAGACACAAAAATATGAAAAACACAGCACTAATTAAACCACAAGGACACTTGTTTATAGCACAGCAGGGGAAAAAGACAGCCCATCCCTCTGCTAGACCTCGGCTGTGACCCTGTGCTCCTGTAAATCAGATCTCCCCACTCTGGGTGCGCCTGTAAATAGCTGTCAAGGTCCTGTGAGAACTGCATTGGGATCACAAATAAATTTAAAGAGCATGAAAACTTGTGAGTATAGAATTCACAAGTGAGAAGTTGTCCTATCTTTGCAATAATTACAGATGGTGATTTGTGCGTGGAATTTTTAACTTTCCTCTTTCCAGTATGCCTGGGACAAGACTAGGTTACCTTTGTTTGTCAGCAAGGATGTCACCTGCTCTGACCCACCATGGATGCCATTCTCTAGCATATCAACCCTTGAGTGAATGCAAAGTTTATAACATTGTGTTCAATAAATGTATTTCATGATCTCTTAGTGCTCTCCTTGGCTCCGATGTAGCAAAAATCCTTGTTCTATTCTATGCATTTGGACAGCTTGTAAGTTAATCGTTGGTGTAAACAAGAAAAACTAAGTGACTGGAAAAAAGCCAACTTTTTCTTACACAGTCATATTGATTCCAATCTTTCCTAAAAAGGGATATCTGAGGGAGATTCTTTTGCTGCAGAAATGTAGTTGAAAATCACCAAGTATAAGTTCGATGAATGCTCAGGCAACCTACAGAAAGAGTGACTAAGATGAGCTTCCCCGAAGGAACAGATCGTGCAGGGATTAGGGACTGAGGCAGAGCGAGAAAACCAGTCAAATGTTTGCTTCTGGAATGTCTTTCTACTCTAAGTTATAACTGGGAATAAGAAAGAACACTAAAAAAGATAGTGTTCCAGCAATCTTATTTTTAATATCTCTGATATCAAGCTATGTGATTTACAGAAAGATAACAGAAAACCTAGCTGGAAAAAAAAGGGGGAATTTTGTAAAGTGTAGTAACAATACAGATTTAATCTTTCTCAAGTAATGCCATCAAACTAAAGCAAGAAACAATTATGACATAGAATGCATAATATATACTAATAATCTTTAGTGACTAGTGGAAGGCTGTATAATTAATTCTGCTTCATCTAGTCCAATCCTATTGTCTGAAGGTACTCACCAACCATTAAAAATTAACTTCAGAGCACTAAAACACACCCATTAGCACCATCCGACAATTTAATAAGAGGAGAGAAACTGACCCAGAGGCAGCTGTCACAGGCGGACCCACTCAGGCTAGACCCAACCTTTCCACAGCTCTTCTCCTCAGTCCCCTGTGGAGTGTGTTGCATCCAGCGATCTGCCATGGGAAGGGGCGTCCTATACGGTGGGTATCTCCTCTCCACATGTGCCCCAAGGTGAGTAATGAGAGAAATTGTTAATCATAAATGAACTCAGTGACAGAAGTTAAGAGAAGAAAGACAGCTTGAGAGAGCGTAGGATCTCGGGAGGAGAAAATGTACCCACTGGGTGGGTCAGACTTCAGGGTCCTCATGGAACATGGAGATTTTGAGAAGTCAAGCATCCCAAATTCATCTGAGAAGGAAAGTGCTAGAATCATGGGCTTAGAGAGTGATTGGGCAGCAGGGTGGAGGCCAAATCTTCCTAGTCTTATGTGCCAGGATAAGAGGTTTAGATTTGTTCAGAAGCCAAGGAAATTCACTGTGAGATTTTAGCCATGGGAAAAGATCAAGGAAGAATCCCAAAGAGTGTCTAGGTCTCCGTTCATTTTATGTTGCTCTAACAAAATACCACAGACCAACTCACAGAGGAGAAGCCAGCTCACAGTTCTGGAAGCTCAAAGTCCACTAACAAAATGCCTGTATGGGTCAGGGCCTTTCGAGTGCGGCCCAGCGTGGAAGAGGGCATTGCACGGCAGGACAACTGGACAGGGTAGCTCAGCTGTCCCCACCTCTGCTTACGAATGCACTGCCCCATCATGAGGGCCCCACTCCAGTGACTTCCAGTTGTAATCCTCTCCGAAGACCTTGCCTCTGATGCCATCAGCCTATACACGTGAGACTGAGTTTCCCAGACACGGACCTTGGGGGCACATGCAAGGCACGGCTGTCTGTGCTTCCACTTTCCGGAGATAAGCCAGCAACAGGGAGAGAACGGGTTCCAGAGATGGAACCAGTCGGCAAAAACTGCTGAGTGCTACAGGAATCTGAGCAGCAAAACTCAGCCAGGGCCTGATGGAAGAATGTATAGAACAAGACAAGAGGAGGAAAATAAAGTAAAAAAAAATATAGAATCACAGTCACAGACATGAGAAGTCCAGGTGACGGGGAAGTCAAGATTCTTCTGGATCTCAAGGTTGCACTGTTAACTGGACCACGTGCCAGAAGAATTCCTCAGGACGGCTTGTGAAAGTTTTCATATGGCTTAATAATTTACCTAATGGGTTAAGATCAGAAGTAAAAATAATCACCATGGCTGAACCATGGTGGATACTACCCTATGACCTGGAAAACAGAAATGTAAACCATTACTGAGCTCAGCACTGTGGAGTGGACACCGGGGCCCCTAAGATTCATCCTAGCTGGAGACAACAACTCTTACACACCTAGAACCAAAAGAGTGCCCAGGCTTCTCTGTACCAGCTCCCTTCCTGGACAGGTCAGATAATCTACAGGGAATCAGTACTCTAAGATGGGATCTAGTTAAACTGGACAGTCCCCTCCCCCAAGGCCTTAGAAGGCACCTAGAGAACCTGGCCCTGTGACCAAGTAGGTCCTGGAGCTTTGGAGGAGTCCTTGATTGTGTTCCTGTGACTCTTACCCTATCCCAAAGCACTGTGCTTGGAGAATGTACTGGAAGCCCGCATCAGCGCTGGGAACTGGAGAGGCGGGACCCAAGCGGTATCTTTAGTGGCTTTCACTGCTTTGAATGCAAAACTCAAGTCTCCTCTGCACAGACATAATGATCTTCAAGCAATATAACAGCTGCTGTTAAATTCCTATCATCTTATTTTGAAAGCCTATATCATTATTGTTTTGGGTTTGTTGTTTTTGTTAGTCTCTTTTGCTTTTTGTTTTTCTTTTGTTTTCTTTTTTCTCTCTTTTAAATTAAAAAAAAAAAAAAAAAAAAACAGCATCACTCACTCAACTAAAGAAGGTTTCCCGCCCCTGAAAACTGTTCCCCTCTCTGCCCCCAGCCTGAGTAGCTGTGTAGGCATAGTCTGGACTCAGGAATAATTTGGTAAATCAAAGGTGGATCCAATGCGACTGTCTCCCAGAAATACCAGCTCCCCTTCCTCAGAGCCTTAGTCAGTGACAGTGGGTAGAGACAAAAAAGATTTGTCTAAGAGAAACACAATGCGCCACGAGAGTCACCTCAGGAAGTCTCAGATCCTCGTGTCCCTGGACGCTGGACCTTGAGATGCGTTCCACGGCACAGCAGTGACCGCTGTCTTTTTAAGAGCCTTCGTGAAGAAAATATTTTACAAAGTCTTCAGCAAAACTAAAAACACCGTCAGATGGTCACCGACATAAAGATGGATTAAAATATTTCGGAGACGATGCCCGACCCTCAGGAGTCCTCCCTGCCGGCCTGAAAAGCTCTCCTGTTTGGGGTTGAATAACGTGGTTCTCTTCAACCACACTTCCTCCACCGTGATCGTGATCGCGACTCGCGTCCTTCAGATATCCGCGCAGCTGCCTCCCGGACCAGGCCACGCCCTGACCACGCCCCCAAACCCAGTCCTGGCCACGCCCCTGCCCCTGCTCATATCCGCAGCCTTTAAGCCCCGCCCCTATCTTCGGCCACGCCCCCTGTCCAGCCACTCCAGCAGCTCTCTCAGGACCCGCCCACCCAGACCACGCCCCCGGCAGCACCCTGGCCCCGCCCCCGGCCCACGTTCTCTTCCGGCGGCACCGGGCTGGCGGTGCCCTGTGCCGCGCGGACTCTGCAAGTCGTTGGTTCTCAAGGTAAACCGCAAGCTGTGGGCTCCGGGCGCCGAGGTCGCCGGCCACTCGCCGCTGCCCCCGGGGGCCTGCTCTGGTGCCGGAGCCCGCCGGTTGGGGCGCCCCCGGGTCTGCTGCGAACGCGTTACCGAGTGCCAGAGCGGCGGGTGCTCCCTTGGTGAGGCCGGCTGTGCGCGAGGATCGCGAGGGCCCGCTGGCTGCGCGTTGAAACCCCAGCTCTGGCCTTGGGGGCTGCGGGCTCTGCGGAGGGTCCGGGGGACCGCACGGTCACGGCTGCGGAGTTGCCCATCCCCCGCGTGGACCGCGCGAGGCCTGCGGCGGCCTCTGAACTGGTCTTAAGTCGTCACGTGTTTTGCAGCTTGCTGTTCAAAGCCACATTTCATTTCAAAATGTTTGCTGTGCATTTTATGAAAGTGGAAATTTTGGCCTTGAGTGGGTGTTTTAAATTTTCTTTTGCACTTGGTATTTTCTCCATACCAAACTCAGGTAAAATGCAGTTTTCCTGTTTTTTAAAAAAATACGTGAGAGAGGCTATGAACGGATTTTACTGAGCTGCATTTTAGTAATAGTCCAGGAAGAGTCTGTCTTCCTGTGGCAAGTTAGGTAACTGCAAGGAAGGTGAGGTGTTTATGTTTGGGCTTTGTGTTATTATCCTAGTTGATTGTTAATACCCTTAGCTTTAGTATTTAGGGCCATAGGTTGGTTGGACGGTTGGTTTTTTTTGAGACGAGGTCTCATGTGGCCCAGGCTAGCCTGGAACTCACAGCAGTCATCCTGCCCAGCTTCTTTAGTGGTGGAATCACAGACAGGTGCACCACCCACCCCTGCCTGGTAGGGTCCACCTTGTGAAAGTCCTGTTTTTACTTTGGTTTGGTTTTGCTTGCTGCCTCAGCACTGTGCTTTGAAGTTCCCCATCCCCTGCTTACTGTGTGTGCTTGGTGATCCCTGACATCACCTGCTGTTTCTTCCCTGCTCCTCTCTGGCTGGTCAGGTCTGACATCCAATGTGAGCATAGGGGCGTTTTCAGAGCGTACACCACCCTTCAGTGTGGTCGGTCCTCCACATTTGGAAGAGCACACGGAAGGCCACGACCGCTACCCTCATACCTGTGAGCATTTCTCATGCCTTCATCCCTGCCCACTCTTTCCCCATGTATGAAGAGGCCAGTGTTTTGCCAGCAGGAAAGACAGTAGTTACACTGGGTAAATCCAAGTGCCAGGCTGTTTCAGGATGCTGGAACTCATGAAACTCATAGTGCCTTAATCCCACTCTGTCCGCATGCCCTTTATTTGCTTCCTGTTTATGATGAAAATTACATAACAAAAATGTTCATTCAGCTGGGCATGGTGGCGCATGCCTGTAATGCCAGCCTTTGGGAAGCTGAGGCAGGAAGATCAGCTTGAATTTGAGGCCAGCCTGGGCTCCAAAGTGAGTTCAAGTCCAGCATAGTGAAACTCTGTCTCAAAAAGAAAAAGAGGAAGAGGAAATGTACATTCTAGACATTTACTTTTCGTTTGAATTGCTTACGTACGTCTCCTTTGATTTTAACTTACCTTTCCATTATTTTAAAATTACTATAGTTAGCTACAATATTGACTTTCTAGGACTCTGTACTGCTGTTTGCACATGGCTTGCGGGAACAAGTATGGAGATATATTTACAGACAAATGTTACGATTTGGTCAGGGTAGAAAACACCTAAATTCAGGCTGCCAGCCAGGTGTGGTAGCGCACGCCTGTAATCCTAGCACTGTACTCTGGGAGGCTGAAAGAGGAAGATCACAAATTCAAGCTCAGTCTGGGCAACTTAAGTGACTGAGAAAGGCTCTGTCTCAAAATAAAAAATAAATGAATCTGGGAAAGTAGCTTGGTTAAAAGCCCTTGTTTCAGCCCTCACATTGAGGGGAAAAAAAGCTGCAGAATTAGCAGTGCCTGTACAAACGGAAGCCTGCCTGTTCGTATTCTTTTTCAGGTCATTGATTTCTGCGTGGTTCGGCCCGCAGGTCAGGAGAACAGCCATGGGAGCCAGCCAGAAGGATTTTGAAAATGCAGTGAATCGACTGAAACTCTTGAAGGAAGATCCAGGAAATGACACAAAGATAAAACTCTACGCTCTGTATAAGCAGGTAAGGCTCCAGGGCTGTCAGTGGCTCAGGTGGGTCCTCAGTTGGTGATAATGGGAACTGAAGTGACAGTGTGAATTTGCAGACAGACGCTTTCCCTGAAAGGTAAGACCTGGTGAGGAAGGGGCTCCAGCTCCAGCAGCAGCTGCAGCAGGCGCACGGTGGAAGAGGATCACACTGGGCCCCAAAGGACAGGGCCGCTAGGGATTCGCTGACCTGGGCCGAGCCCAGTCTGTCTCTATCTTAGCCCATGTTGGGTGGTCACAGAGGAATTCTTACGATTTGAGAGGCAGTTCTGTCCCGTGAAATGATCTCCTCAGGTGGCAGTGGTCTCAGTCCCATGAGGCTCTGTGCTTTCCTGGGAGCCAGGAGACTACGGGTTCAGGACAACTGCTAGAGACTGAGGTGTCCTGCAGGGCAGAGGGGTCTGGGAGTGCGTGTTGTAAAGTTTGGTGACCAGATGTCCCTCTCAGTCCTGCAATCCCCTTTAGTTATGCTTGCCTTGGGGTCCTCTGCCTTGAAGATGAGCTGGGGCAGGTAAATACACAGCAAATCCACTCTCCCGCCAGCTTTTATCAGATTCTCCCTAACCGGGCATCATGGCCGAAGCTGAGACAGAGTTGGTCAGTTTTAGGAAGTGAAGCTTAAGCTGTGTCCTGTTTTAGTGACCTGCTGGGCATTTGTGGTCCTGAGGTCCAGAGGTCAAAATCAGAATTTTAGCAAACACTGATAAGGAGTCCCGTGATGGTGTTAGAAGAAAACACAGACTGCACCTTCAGTGAGTCACAGGGGCTGATTTGGCCACTTTCTCACCCATGAGACCAAGTCCCCAGCACCTGCAGTGTGGAGGAGAGGTCAGCTGCGGCTTGCAGGCTCAGCCATGTCCAGCAGGTGTCGTGTCCCCCATGCCGAGCTGGATCTAGTGCCCCGTACTGTAGTCCTGCACCCCTTCAGTGGTCACTGTCCTACCTAATCAGTGTCCAATGTTATTTTGAGACATTTTGAGCACCTTTGACTCTAAAGTGCACCTTTAATAGTTTGTATATATTTGCATACATTTCTATATGTATGTATTTTGTTTTTGTTTTCTATGCGCCCTTGGAATACTGGAATACTGTTAAGGCACATAGTAACCCCTTAGGGTTACTGTCAAGTCAGTAAGATTTAAAAGATGTAACGTCCAAGTGTTTAGACACTACCGGACTTCTGATTAGAATAAATTAGTTGAAAAGGTATTCTGAGCCCATTGGCAATGTGTGAATAGGGCTAAGTATTAGAAACTGCCTAGGAAGTCAGGCATGGTGGCTCATGCCTGTGATCCCAGCATTTGGAAGGCTGAGGCAGGAGAATTCATGGCAAGTTCAAGACCAGCCTGAGCTACAAAGTGAGTTCAAGGCTAGCCTGAACCACATAGCAAGACTGTGTCTGAAAAAGACCACAAAAAAAAGACTACCTAGGAATTATTGTTCATAGTGTCATGGTTCTATAAGATAAAATCTGAGACATTTATACTAAGAATGTTTAAGAACTGCATACTCAGTATGTCAGAGTGCAGTAGGGTGACTTCTGGGATTCATGAGAGAGGAAAGAAAAGCAGGTTGGGCAGAATTTGGTAACTGACCGTGTGAGTGACCAGGTGTCGAAAACTCATTATAATATGATGATGAAACTTATGAACGCTTGAAAATTGTTATAACAAAATTGAGAACAGAGCTTTTAAGTTGTAATGCCGAAGACAAGACTCCCCGGCAAGTCTGCCTGGCTGGAGGCCCTTATCTACTTAATTTCTCCTGGGTGTGTGTGGTAAAGAATGCAACCTTTCCCAAAAAGGCTCCATCTGGCCTCAGGGCCTGGGAGATCTGGAGCCCTAGCAGAGAGCAAGGCTGCCGCCTGGAACCAGCAGAGCCGCTGGGCTGTGTCCATCAGCTCCTGACTCCGCCCATAGTGTCCTGCCTCACCCTGTCCCTGGAGAGTCACCTTGTCAGGACTCACCGAGAGGAGGCCCACAGAAGCTTCACCGCCTTGGCTTCTCCCCTAGCCGGCCTGTGTGATTTTCCTCTCAGCTGATTTGAAGCTGTCCCTCTCCTGTAAGGAACCATGACCCTGAGGCACGTCGGGGCCTCCTGTCGGCTCTGGTGGGTGCTGGCACTGGGGCATGGTCTCGGAGCCCCGCCCCGCCCCGCAGTTGTTGGTAGAAGTGAGACTGGCCAGGAGACCAGGGCTGACCCTTGTGTGTGGCCTCTGTCCCCCTAACTGCTTGGTGGGTCACTCTTGCAGGGTGGCTCTGTCTGGAGAAAATCATAATCGCCTTTACTGCCTTTAGTTTTCAAAGCCGCTTCTTTTTGCTTCTCTTAACTAACGATGTATTGCAAAATGTAGCTTTTTTGATTTTATTTTTAGTATATGTGCAGCTGAAGCAAGCATGATATAGACATACATTTGTTTATTTATTAGACTCTTTGAGACAGGGTCTCCCTGTGCAGTTCAGGCTGGCCTTTGGCTCACTCTGTAGCCCAGGCTGGTCTCGAACTTGCAACAATTCTTCTGCCTCAGCCTCCAGAGTGCTAGGATTACAGGCGAGCACCACCACACCCAGCTATATATAGAGTTTTTAAATGGAGTTTTAAATTGTTTCCTGAAAAGTAGCTCAGTGGGATATTTTACTCAAACCAGTCACTCCACCTGCTGTCAAACAACAACAAAATGTCAGTTTTGCTTCCCTTTCCCTTGCCAGGGGGAATCTAACAGCCCGCCCCCTGCCTCTGGCTACAGTTCTGCCCTCCAGTTACCACCATTCCCCCCAAGTAGTGCTGCTATTGTGGGCTTCTACGGGTTTGTTATCTAGTTCCTTTTGAAAACTGTTTGCTTGACTACTTTGATTGTGAAAAATGTGATCATTGCTAGAGAATTAGTGAACTCTTAGATTTTTAGGAAGTGCTTTCCCAAGGCCTTGCCTCTGCTATGTTTCCACATGAAGGCAGTGAGAACTTATTTTAGCAACTGGGAGCACCTGGCACCAGCCTTTTTCTGTGTCTGTGCGTTTTCAGCAACATCAACATCAAAGAGAGGGTGAGGGGCCGGAATATAGCTCAACGGCACGAGAGCTTGCCTGGTAAAGCACAAGGTCGTGAGTTCGATTGCTGGTACCAAAAAAAGAGAAAGAGAGAGAGGACCAGGGAAAAGTTCAGATCATTCTGTGTCCTCTGTCACAGAATTTGAGGAAGACCTTCATGCAAGTTTTGGATTTTATGGATCTTGAACACTTCGGGCTCTGGTTTGCGTGGACAGTGGACCATTAATCATCTCTCTACAGGCCACAGAAGGACCTTGTAATGTGCCTAGACCACCAGTGCTGGACTTCGTCAGTAAGGCCAAGTGGGATGCGTGGAATGCCCTCGGCAGCCTGCCCAAGGTCAGATGATTTGCTCCTGTGCTTTTCTTTTAGTTATGGGTTTGCTAGAATTCTAAAGAGCTGCATGTGTCTCATCCAGGCCCTGTGGGCGGAGCCTCTGAGAGCCCAGTGGGCTTCACTGAGTCAAGCCCTTTGGTTTTGCAAGCTGCCCTTTATTCGCGCGTGTATTCCTCAGGACGTGTGGTCCGTTGCAAGGGGCTAATGCTCTTTGCTGGTCCCTCCTCAGGAAACTGCCCGGCAGAACTATGTGGATTTAGTGTCTAGCTTAAGTCCTTCACCTAAATCCTCAAGCTCCGGGGCCATCGGGAACCCGCCCAAGTCCGAAAGCGTCCTTATGACCTCGAGAGACGGCATCACGACCATCACCCTAAACCGGCCAGCCAAGAAGAACGCCATCACTCTGCAGGTAATGCTGCCTGTCGTCCTGAGAGGTGCTCTGGTGCTGCTTTTTCACTCTGAACGCTGTAGAGTCACCTTCCTCCTACCTTGGTGATGTCTCCCGTTCGGTTTGTGAAGATGAGCTAACAATTGGGCACGCGCTATTCAGAAGTCATGACTTTCAGGCGGGTTGTGTGTATCCACAAGGTGCCGGGGCTTTCCTGGAAAGGAAACACAAGTCAGTGAATATGAATGAAGTGTACCCTGATAATAAGTGAACATGCAGGAAGGTCCTCTCAGGTTAATGGAAGCTACCAATTAGACTTGCAAGTGAGGCTTTTCTGCTCTGCTCCAGCTTTCTTGGAAAGAAAAAGGAGCTAAGGATTTCATTTCAGCAGAATGTGACCCAGCTCGGCTTTGAATGAGCCGCTGCACCAGTATGACATTGAACCCCTCCATGAGCTAGAATGGTGGCACGGTGACCATGTTGGCCCCTCTCCCTTAAAGGAAATTGTGGGTCAGGCTTCAGCTCCCAGGCTGAGCTGGACATCGAGTTTGAGGTGACCGTGATGGCTGGGTTTCCAGTAGCTGGTGTGGAGGAGAAAAGCACGGAGTCCTGAAGTCTTCTTAAGGTAGCACTGCCTAAGGGTGCAGGAGTGCCATCCGGTTCACAGAGCATTCAGTTCTCCGGATTCTGTTTCTGTTGCCCCGATTCATTTCTGTATAACCATGTCAACAGTAGCTGCTACTCACGGGGCCTAATAAGTGATGGTGCTTTCTGCACAGAGGCTGATTTAATTTTTACAGGAAGCCTGTTTACTATAAAATAGGTTGAGAAGTACCTGCTCAGATTCAGGTAGCAAATAAATTTGAAAACCTAGGTCAAGAATCTGACACGTCCGTGGCTAATCCTGGCTCTTGCCGGGCAGCTTGCCGTGCTGAATCTTTACTACTTTAGTAACAATGGAGTTATTCCTCACTGGGAATGATTATGTCTTTATTTATAGATAGGTAAAATCCATACTTTTTTATTTTCTTTGTGTTTACATCTATCATTCTTTCCTACCCAGAAATCTCATCTTAAGGTGGGAACTGTGCCTGTTTTAAATGCATCAAAAGCTATCACAGTGTGTCCAAGAGTGTTGGAAGTCATTACCCCTGGATCCCGTCCTAGCATTTTGGAAATCCCAGCCTGGAGTGTTAATTAACCCTCCTCAGGCTTCCTAGCACTCTGGCTCTTTCTTGAACGGAGGTAGATACCGCTTCGTGGCAAGTTTTCCCGGCTCACCTCCTACCCCACCAGCTCGAGAAACCGCAGCAGCTCTGATGCTTTTGTGCTGCTTCATACTTTTTATCCCAGCCCCATATTTGAACACAGTAATCTCTATTGATTCCACAAGTTCGAAGACCATTTTTCCATTCACTCATGGAATAAAGCAGTTACTGCCCCTCTGCTCCTTCCAGAGCTCCTGGTACATAATACACAGAATAATTTTAGATGGAGTAAAATTGCTTTCAGATGTATATTTTGCTTATTTAAGTACAAATGACTGAGACAAGGACTCCATCGGGTGATGGTTCTTACTTTGTGTCCGTTTCTTCATTTTCCTTTTCATGCAGATGTATGAAGATATTCTCCTTGCCATGAATGCTGCAAGCCAGGATGACTCAACCATAACTGTTTTTACAGGTGAGACATTTTTCTTGAATGTCTTCAATTCCTATAGTGGAGATTCTCGTGTTAGATTGGGAATTGAGTGAAAAATCTTAGAGATTTCTCCAATATGCCATGCTTTAACTGATAAATGTACAACAATGTAATAAACATAGACTAGCCTCTCTTTGATAATAACCCACGTATAACTCCCCAACACTGGACTTATACCAAACAGTCATGGTGGCCGGATTCTCAGTAGCCAAAGCGGAAGATAAGTCAAATGGGCGAATAAAGAAATTGTTGGCTGTTCATGCCGTAGAACACTGCTGAGCAATAAAAATGAACCGGAGACTGATACACATGAGAACATGGATAAATCTTTAAAGCATAGTGCAGCTGAGTTCCGACCCGAGAGGGTCCGTGTCATATGATTTGATTCGTGTTACGATCTGTAATGTGCAGAAGTTCTACTCGGTGGTGATGGAAGCACAGAAGCGACTGTCCGGTCCCCCTTATCAGGGCTGTGTTTTCAGTTAAATGTGGTCATCGTTGGTCTAAAAATGCAAAGCGCAGAATTCCAGGAAATAAACAACCCGTGAGTTCTAAATAACTTCTGTCCTTGAATATTGTCACTTTTAAATTTTATTATTATCATTACCCTCTTTCCTAATGTCTAAATTAAAGCTGGTTAAAGGTTTGTAGGAGCGGCTGTCCTCTGGTATCCCGGGCACCTGCTCCAGGTCGCCACACATACCAAAAGCCACCGATGCTCAAGTCTCTGGTGTAAAAATGGCGTAGTCCTTGTGTGGATACTGTGCTGTCAGTGTTTTCTGTGTTGCTTAGGAAATAATGACAAAGAAAATGTCTCTTCAGTACAGGTGCAATTTTCTCCCCAATACTTTTGGTTTGTTGAATCCATGAATGCAAAATATGAGGGGACAGAGTGCCACGTCCAGAGGGAAACCCCCAGTATCTGCTTCAGACAGAATTTCTGGGGGGACCTAGAAGGCCCCCAGTGGCCAGTCCTGCTCGTCCTCATTCTGCACCGTTGTGGTTCCCCTGGCTTTCTATGCCGCAGCCACCGTGGCTCTTCTTTCCACCCATTGAGGACACTGAGGACCCCCACACAGAACCTTTGCCCGTTCTGTTCCCGCATCCTAGGGGATTCGTCCCACCTCTCCTTTCCAGACGGCCGCGGTGCTACTCCTGCAGGCCTCGGTACAGGTGTCCCTGTGCTCCCGGGTTAAGTCAGATCCCTGTCACCTGTGCTCTCTTCCTGTGCTCCGTTTTGATGCCATGGTTAGGTGATCTGCACACACTTGATGTTTTGAAAGCAGTGTAAAGAGCTGGGAATGTAGCTCTGTGGTAGAGTGCTTGTCTTGTATGTCCCAGGCCTTGGAAAGAAGAGGAGGAGGAGGAGGAAGGGAAGAAACTGGAGGAGGGGGAGAAGGGCTGTTCCAGGACCTCAACGTCCAGCTGACCCACTGGTCTGTGAATTAGCGCAAGAGCTCTGGTTGCTTTGCCCGTGTATCCCAAGTGCCCAGCGCAGGGTGGACTCCGCGGTCACAGCATGAGTGAGGACCTGCATGAGTGGCGGACCTCTTGACTTTGTCGTTGGCAGGAAACGGGGAATATTACAGCAGCGGGAACGATCTGGCCAATTTCACTGATAACCCTGGTGGTTTAAAGTTGTCTGAAGATGGCAACTTGCCCCTGAGGTAAGAGTGACGTACCTCGGGTCCCTGTGGGCTCGTACGGACGCCTCCCAGAGAGGCTTAGCTGAGGGAAAGTAAAATGACTGGATATAGGTCCTAACGACCAACACCAGCTGTGTCTCTGAACCTCGCCGGTTGGGGGTCTTCATTTCCGACTCTGGCTTCTGTCACTGTGCATCTCCTTGAGATCCAGGGGAAGGATCCAGAGGTGTTGGTCGGCTCCTGTCCTGTTGGGACAGGAAATGAGCACATTCTCTTCCGGGAAATGGGTGACCTCAATGAAGGTGGTCCTGGGGAGTTTGAAGTAGTCTTGATAAATGCAGGACGATGTCAGTAAGGATTTGCTCTTACGATCTTGGTGGCCCCACCAAGCCTCTGCCTCCCGCTGTGTGATGTGCTGCCGGCCGTATCTGTCATGGCCGCAGCTGGCAGACAGCCCTGAGCTCACTGCCTGGAAGACAAGGTGCAAGCCAGGCTTGGCCTGTAGGACTCACAGCACGGCTGGCCACCCGGGGCCATTTGGGGGATGTCCTGGTCAGATGTGGGGTGCCGAGACGCAGGGAGAGGCTGGAGGGGAGGACTGCTGGCTGGCCTGTCTTTTCCGACTCACCCTGACTGCCTTCTGCTGCGGGACGCAGCTTTGAGACATCGTGTGGGTCTGTCTCGTCTTCTGTAGGAAGTTTGTGGACACCTTCATAGACTTCCCGAAGCCTCTGGTGGCCGTGGTGAATGGTCCAGCCGTGGGCATCACTGTCACCCTGCTTGGGCTGTTCGATGCTGTGTACGCGTCCGACAGGGTAAGTCAGTTCCTGTGGCTGGAAGGGCCAGGGAGGCAGAGTGGGAGGAAATGGACCACACGTGGTGGTCATGGCATGGACTGCGGTTGGAGTTTTCTCAAAGAATTCATTGACCAGACTTTAGTTTCCCTTCGTTTGTTAACTGGAGTTTTTCCACGCACTGCCATGGACATCATGCTGACTCCGATCGTGGAGTATTCTAATCAAGGATACTTGCCCAGTTTTCAGTTTTGAGGCTCCCCAAAAACACTTGAGTGACACTTGCCAGCCTTTGTGGGAGAGGAGATAGCATCTTTGCGGGTTATCTCCTTCACAGACAAGAAAACGGAAGCTGTAAGAAGTTTCTTGTCCACGGCTCAGTGTCAGCCTTATGTTCACCACTGAATTATCTTGAATTTTATTTTTTTTTTTTTTGCGGTACTGGGGATTGAACTTATGACCTTGCACTTGGCAGGCAGGCACTTATGTTGCTGAGCTAAATCCCCGGCCCTTGAATCTTATTCTTAGGACAGTATTGTTCTTGTCATAGCAAAAAACAAAATTTTGAAATATATGAAAGAAAAATAAATTTTAAAAAATCACTCCACAGTAGGCTGCAATGCAGCGGGTAAGGTTTGGGTTCTGTCCCCAGAGCCACCATGCCCACAGTCACTCCAGGGTGAGGGGACGGGGTACAGAAAGGCAGAGGTTAGGTGGCACAAGTGGCGGACTGTGAGTCTGCAGGATCGAGTTTGCACTGCAGCATGAGGTGACCATTGGTGGGATTTGCGGGTTTTAGCTGTTCACGTAGGAGCCTGATCATAACCACAGGAGATGGCACTGTGTTCATTCCTCCCAGTACGCAGCTGTTTTGTTATATTTCCCTCGTATATGTTAGATACAAATTTATCTTTTAAAAGTCACTCCTTGTTTCAGCACCTAGAGACCTCATTATCCCGAATCCCTCCGGTTTACAGAACTTTCTTCCCCAGTCCCCGACTGCTGGAGCCCAGAGCTCTTTGCAGTTTTGTCACCAGGAGCAAAGTTGTGAAGGACATTTGTATTCAGACTTTGCCCCTAGAACCTCCCACAGATGTGATAATCACCGCTGGGTTGTGGGGTTGTCGGGGCTTAGGAAATGGTGAAATCTGTTAATCTGTAACCTGTGAGAAGCGTTTGGGTCTGTAGAGATTCCTAGGGCTTCTCATATTGATTTCATGAGTGAGTACCATGTGGAATCGTGGGTTTAAGCCACATAGCCAAGGCACTAGTGCGTTCTGTGCATTCTTTGTTGTGAGCTGTGGTTAATAATGCCCGCTGGCGTCTCTGTCAGCAAATGGTACCTTTCTATGTGAGACTTTTTACAAGGAGCAAGGTACAAAAATTAATACCCGAATGCTTGCTGTATACTGGGCACTCTGCTAACACACAGCGCACACACGGATGGTCTCAATGCACCCAACAGCCCTATGAGATAGGTGTCCTCGGGCCCATCTTACAGATGAGAAAACTGCGGCATAGAGGGTAAGAACTTTTCCCCAAACCACTAAGCACCCTGGTCCTCTGCTCAGCTCCTAAAGGCTCAGACCTGAGGTGCTGCTGGTCGCAGCTGTCTGTGTACCTGCTCATGGTCTGCGGTTGCTCCCTTTTCATTTTCTGGTTATTTTTCTTAGGCTGTGTCTTCTCAGTGTGTTTTCTTAAACAAGTTCTCTTCAAGGGGGAAGAAAAGACAATGTTAAAATGGGAATATCTTATTTTATATTTTTATTTATGTGCTGTGTACATTTCTTTTAACGAATAACTGTAACACATTGTCTGAGTATACTAAATGAAATCTGAAGTGTTTTATGTGTTATTGGTTATGAATTAATTGTCTTTCATAAGGATTCATCAAGACAAACACAAAAGTAATCCTTGAAGGGGGAAATTATTGTATCCTAAACAACCGCTACCAAAGCTGATTCTAGTATCTACAGCCAGTCAGAACATCTCTAAGGCAAAATCAAGACAGGAAATTGAGGAAACAGTTTTTCAACTCCTAGAACAAAGTCTGATCTCCCTAAAAGATTTTAAAACTCAGTGATAGAGCATCAGGTTAGCAACCTGCGGTGGCAGCAGGGAATAGAGAAGAGGAAGCAGCCCACAGGAAAGGCAGGTGTTAGAGTTTAGAGCCGTGTGAGAAGCTGGGGCGTGCTGGTGTTCCACTCTCCTGACACCTGCAACACAAAGCAGGGAGCTTTATTTCAGCTCATAGCTTCAGAGGGGTCAGTCTATGGTTACCAGCTCCAAGGCAGAAATATAGCAGCTTGGCAGAGGAAAGCTGCCAGACCAGACCTGTGGCAGCCAGGAAGCAGAGGCAGAGGGAGGAGCTGGGGACAGGAAGACACCTTTCCAGGTCACTGTGGCCTGACCACCTCTTCAGGCCAAGCTCCCTGCGCAACAGCACATGCACCTGTAAATGCATTAATGAATCAGCCCATGAGTCAACAAACGATGAGCAGCTTAGATCAAAACCACAACAGGGGTACTGATTACATCTGTATTCTCAGCACTTAGAAGGCTGAGGCAGGAAGACCATTGTTTGAGGTCAGGCTCAAACAGTGGAAAAGTTTAGGGTGTGGCTTAGTGCTAGGACACCCGGGGTTCAGTCACCAGTATGGGGGTGGAGGGCTGAAGAGAGATGATTCACAGGTGAGAAAAATTATTTTCCTCATACTTATCTGGCAAAGCACACATCGCCTGAATATATAAAAATGTCTTAGCACTCAAATATAAAGAAGGTGAAGTCTAACTGGAAAACAGAACACTTTTAACACCCCAGAAAGTGGTCATGCAGCGGAAAAGTGATGCTCACCATTGTTAACCAACAGGCGCACAGGCCACAGTGAGAAACCACTGCACACCTCCTAACAGGGTGAAATCTTAGAACCTTCTAATAACCAAGCTTAGCCTGGATATGGAGCAGGTGGGACTCATACAAAAGCACTGGTGGGGATGCCAACCGGCATGGCCGACTTTGGGGAACCCGGCTTCTTCTAAGCCCAGCCGTTCTGCTCCTAGGGTGGCACCCAAGAACCTGAAGCCAGGTTCACCCAGAGTCACATAGAATTATCTAGAAAATATTTTAATTTTTAGCCTCATTGACATATAATCCACAAATAGAAATTATGTATTTTTAAATTTTATTTTAAAGATAATAAAACCAAACAAAACAAAGCCAATCAAGACAAGACAGTATAAGTGACACAGGATTTTCAAACAAGATAACAGGAAATCAACAGTGGTTACCATAGTGCTCTGGCTGCCTGCAAAATAGCTGCCCAGACCTTCAGTTATAGTAAAATCAAAGCAGAACAGAATGAAACCAATGAAAACAAAACAACACAACACAGGACTTCAAAACTAGTAAATCCCCAAATGGTTACCATAATAAATCTTGCTGTCTTTGAAATAGCTGCTCCTGCCATTAGATACAACAAAATCAAACAGGACAAAGCAGAATAAACCCCAGCCAAACAATGAGAATGATACAGGATTGCAAAACAAGATGACAGGGAATTAGCAGTGGCCACCACCTTCAGGAGATCCCCATGGGTGCTACATTGCATGTTAGCCTCTGAATAGATGATCAGACTATCAGCGGTAGGCCTGCAAGGTCAGTGAGACCCTCAGCACTGCAGGCACTAAGTTATGTCTTACCTCATTAGCTATCGTCACAGCCTGTGTCCCTCCGGACCAGCCAGTCGCCCATGGTGGGAACAGAATCATATACGTTAATGTTTTTTGACTGGGCTTCCTCGTAATAGAACACCGAGATAACACAGTGGCTTAACAGGCAAGGGGCTAAACAAAATATGATCCACCTGGACAGTGAAGTACTGGGCAGCAGCAACGTGGAGCAAACTGTCACCTCGAAAGAGTGGGAAAAATCTTGGAAGTCTTAGGCTAAGTGCTGGAAGCTAGACCCAGAGGGCTAGAGAACGTCGGATTCCATTTGTAGAACATTCCAGAATAGGCACACTGCAGGGCCAAAAGTAGAAAGCCAATAGCATAGGGGTGTGAGGAAGCAGGGGTGACTGTGGGCTGCAGGTGGACCTGAGGGCCATGGACATGTTCTGTCCGGTGGCGGCTGTGTCACCAAAGTTGTTAAAACTCAGTGACGGGCTGGGGATGTGGCTCAGCAGCACAAGCGCCTGACCAGCGAAGTGTGAGGTCGTGAATCCAATTCCTGCTGCCAAAAAAGCCCAAAACAAAATAGCGAACAGACACTTTAAAGAGTGAATTTTGTATGCATGTAATACCACACCATCCCAGTGAATGACACATTAAAAACCGGCATCCTGTTTTCTTCCCACCACAAACAGGCGACGTTTCACACTCCGTTTAGTAGTCTTGGCCTGAGCCCGGAAGGATGTTCCTCTTACACTTTCCCGAAGATAATGGGCCCATCCAAGGTAACTTACTAGAAGCTTAAAAATAAAAATGACCATCTCATCCCCCTTTGAAATGGAACCCTGTCTGTCTCTTCTGCCTTGTAAGATGACAGGAAGGGAAGCTATTGTGCAAGGGTTTTCCATATGCACTGCGGTCTGGAGGAATTAGAAATCCCTCTCCTGTGATGGCCTCAGGACAGTTTGAAAACTTTGTTGAGCTCATTAGCTGCTCTTTAGAATGAAATACAAGTAACCCCTGGCTAGGTGGGGCAGTGCATGCCTGTAATCTCAGCACTCGGGAGGCTGAGGCAGGAGGAGCCCCATGAATTCGAGGCCAGCCTGGGATACATAAGCACTCAAGGCCATCCTGAACCACACAGTGAGACCCTGCCTCCAAAAAGAAAAAAAAGAAGGGAAGGAAGGACGGAGGGAGGAAGGAAAGAAGCGAGAGACAGACAGACGAGCAGTCTCAAATGACTACAAGTAGACCCTTCTGCGCCTGAAAGCAGTGATTTCCAAAATTAACAGAAGCCCTGTTTTGTGCCTAAACCCTGCGTTTCTTTTCAGGCAGTTGAAATGCTTATCTTCGGAAAGAAGATTACAGCTAGGGAGGCTTGTGCTCGAGGCCTTGTTACGGAAGTTTTTCCCGATGGCACTTTCCAGGAAGAAGTCTGGGCCAGGTTGAAAGCGTACGCCAAGAATCCTCCAAATGTGAGTAGAGGACTGACCTTTTACTTGTGGAAACCATGAAATGATCTGCTGCCAGGCAAATGCATTGCCTCAGGGGAAAGTCATAAAAAAAAAACAAGACAAGCTGGGCATGGTAGTGTGCACCTTTAATCCCAGCACTTGAGAGGCTGAGGCAGGAGGATCGATCTGAGTTCGAGGCCAGGCTGGGCTCCATAGTGAGTTCAAGACCAACCTACACTACATAATGAGACCCTGTCTCAAAACAAAAAGCAAAAAACAAGACATTGCCTGTGGCCTTTAAGGACATCTAAATATGAGATTAGAAATAACCATAAGGACATCAGGAACGCTGCTTTTTATAAACCACCAATGTCAAGTGGACATTGATTTCTAGTGTGAAAAGGCGGAGGGGTGGTTCTGTATGGGGTAACTTGGGGCTGATGGGCGGCATTTGCTGTACTTCTGTTTTGAAATTCAGGTGAGAAGCCAGATGGGCTGACTGTACTTGAGGAGAGCCTTACTCTCGGAACTATTCTGTATGTGGTAATTAGAGACTGGCTGTCCTGATGCACCTCCTTAGTATTCAGATATGATCCTGGAACCGGAAGCCTCAGTTCTGTCTGAGGTGTTTGAGAAGTGTGTGGTCACAGGTCCGCCCCATCCCAAGGGAGGCGACTCATACACTGATCAAAGGCTAAGAAGGCCTGCCTTCCATCCCACGCACCTTGAGTAAAGACAGGTTTCATGAGCATCGGGGAAAGGAAAGTGAGAATCCGGGGCCGGGGCTATAGCTCAGGGGCACAGCACCTGCCTGGCAAGCGTGAGGTCCTGAGTTCGATTCCCGGGACCAAAAGGAAAGAGAATCTGAATGACCCCGCTCCTACTAGAATCCCTTGTGACCCTGCTGTTTTGTCCTGCCAGGCGATGAGGATCGCGAAGCAGGTGATCAGAAGCAGCGAGAAGGAAAAACTGCATGCCGTCAACGCTGAGGAGTGCAGAATCCTGGAGGAGAGGGTGCTGTCGGAGGAGTGCATCAATGCCGTCCTGAATTTCTTCTCCAGAAAAGCCAGGCTGTGAGCACATGACAGCCAGCCTGGAGCAGCGCAGTGGCGGGGAATGCCACTGATTCTGCTCTCAAAAGGAACACACTTCACTGTGCCTTTTCGGAAGGCTCAGACACCCGTTACACACTGTCACACTGATGGTCCTAACGAGTGAAAACTTCTCTAGAAGAATCTGATAGAAAATCTTACATCCTTTGCCATGAATGGCTGCTGCCAGGAGCACTGGAGCTCGGTGCCGAGGGCCTTGTTGTGGAAAGCGCTCACAGCTCTGCAAGCTGAGCTTACGTCCCCGAACACCACGATGGCACTTTGTTTTCCACAGGCAGTGACCGCCTGGATGGGGCCGAACATCGCCAGCTGCTGTGTCACTGATGCAAGATCCTGGGCGGGCTGCATGATCTTCTTCAGCCACCTGGCAAAGGAGCACACGGAAGGAACAATTTAGGATCTTAATTTCTCTAAGTCGAATCTTCACTTTTCTAGGGAACGAAGAAGAATCTTAATTTTTCTTTAACCCACAGTTTCAATAAAAAATGTGAAAGGAATCATTTCACTGGCACGTGATGCCCCTTATTTGTTATGTGTGGCGCCCTTGTTCTTCTGTGATGTCGAATTTTCTAAGAAGCACAAATGCAAGCTGCCTTTACTGTCTTATAACATCCTGTTTTGACAATTCCCCTAAGTGTCACTTGACAAGAATCTGGGGTGCACTCCCAAGGGCTTTGATACTGGTTTGGAATAGTTCGCTTGTCTAAATAGTGTTCCATTTTTCTTTCACACAGACCTGGGTATTGGACTGAGGGCCTTCACATTAAACTACACCCCCAAACACCTTTGTATTTATTTTTTAATTTTGAGCTACACTTTTTTTTTGGTACCGGGGATCGAACTCAATGCCCTTGTGCTTGCAGGCAGGCGCTTGTGCCGCTGAGCTAAATCCGCAGCCCTGTCCTCCAATTTTAAAAAAGCATTTGGGGATAGAAGTTCATCCCTAAGACCTGAACCTTTCAACTCAGGTTTTGGAACCCTGGTCAGTGAGTTTTACTAGTGTTTGTTGAGTCTGGGAGGTACACTCTCACGGTTGTGAAATCAGACTGGGTGTGCATGCACATGTGTGTGTGGTGTGCAAAGAATGATGCTGTCCATCTGAGGGTCACTGCAGTGTGCCCCCCGCCAGGGCCCTTGACTAGGCCTCCATAAGCCTGCCTTTCCACAGAAGAAACTCAGAGGATTCTTGGGGGCGAACTGACCTAGACTTACTGATTGTTCCACATTGGGCAAATGAGTAAGATCTCTGAGCCTTGACTTCCCTTACATATAAAGCAAGCAGTGAATCTTAGGCTATATTGAACTTTGTTCTTGCTGAGTTGCTGAGGCCAGGCTTGAATTTGTGATCCTCCTGCCTCAGCCTCCCAGAGTGCTTGGTTATATGCATGTATCCCCACGCCCGGCAAAATGCTGCTGCTTTCTGATTTTTCCTTCAAGAATGGGCTTCCAGGTAACTAACTCATCACCAAACTCTTCACATTTTAGTTCTTAATTATTTTATTCTAATAATCTTAATCCCAAAATACGAGTCTTGTAGGAAATCCATGAATAGAAATAACCATGTATGTGTATCAAACGCTTGCTAATACTGTGTCAATGCCCATAATTATATTTTATCCCATAAAAAATGATGACAGAAATGGCAGATGAGGTGGATAATGTTGCTCTTACAAATTGGGATTCTAAGACAGAGAATTTGAAGCAAACCCACACATGGAGACCCCTCCAGGAGAGGAGATTGCCTTGTTTAACTCGGTGTGTGCGTCATACAATGTGCTCATGTACTGAGACAGCGTGTGTTACCCCATTGGCGTGTGCAGTGTGCAGTTTGTGTAGACATTAAAAACACTCCATTTCTATTTGAAGCTATAGTATATGAAGTTTTATTCAAATATTTCAAGGAAAAAGACAGGCACTATGGTAACTACTATTAAGTCGGATTATTTGGTGGTGAAGCACTAGGTTGCTGAAACAGTCATGCTTTGACCTGTATTGTTATGTTGTTATGTCCTCTTTTATCTCAATCTCTCCCTTATTCATTAAAAAAATTATTTAGTTATTTTTTATGGTTTTTTTTAATTAAGGGGAAAAATTTAAAAAATTAGCAGGATATATAATAGTAACTTTTTTTGATTTCCTATTAACTTGTTCTGAAGTCCTGTAATACTCCCACTATCTTGTTTTGACTGATTAGACTCTGTTCCATTCTGTATGATAGTATCAAGTTTGAGGGTATAGGCAACTACTTTGAAGGCAATAAGATTCACTAAGATGCCCATTCTGGTTTGACTATTGTCCTCTTTGGAAGTCCTGTAATGTTTACAATGCTTAAGTTTTATTGGTCTTGTTCTCTACTGTTTTGTTCAACTTTATAATATCTAATGAGATAGACAATTCTTTTTAAGGAAACAAGCGACATTGTTGATAACCATTGTTGATAACCTTGTACTCTGTTTTACATCATGTGCTATGTCTATCCTTGGTTTTGACTGACAGCTTTGTTTTGCCATATTTGACTTTATTCTCTCCCCCCCCAAAAAAGTAATAAGAACTAAGGAGTAATAAAACCCAAAATGTGTAAATTTTGTTGTAAAAAAGAGAGGGAAAAAAAGTGCTCTAAAGGATACAACAGCAAGTGTGTTTAGGGGTGTTAAATAGCTGACCATATTAATGTTTTTGGTTGGATCATTGAACACAACTGTTTGCAGTCTCACTGTTTGAATGTCCACTTTGTATGCTTTGAAACTGTGATTTGAGCAACTATCTCTAAGATGATAATATGTAATCTATTAACTGGTGATTTCTTACTGTTTTTTTTTTTTTGGTAGTTCTGTATTACTTGTACCCTTACACCACTTTGTTTTGTTTTGTTTTTTCTCTTTTTCCTTTTAAATAAAATAAAAAAAAAAACACTCCATTTCTAAAACTCAGGCAGAGCATCACAATGTCATGATATCAGCAGGTTGTCTGGTTGTCTGGTTGTCTGTCCTTCCCACTCATTACCACTCAAACCCTTGGACCAAATATGAAGAACTACTTGAAGGTGCTGAGCAGTAGATTGTGAAGAAAAACACCAAACTACACAGAGGTGACCACATGCAAACGGTTCGCACAGATGACAAGAGCATGTGGCAGGCGACCTAATGAGCATGAGACTGGCTTTGGCGAGCTCCATGGTGGAGCCCTGTGGAAGTGACCGCGGCAGAGTCAGCTGAATAGAAGTGGAAGGAAACAAAAATCTTTCAGGCCAGGAAGAGATCTCAGAGCTCGAAGGTGAGATTTGGGAGAGAATCCCAGAGCAGAAAAAAATAATTCACTCTAATTCTGCTAATAAACCCATCTGGAGCTTTGGTTCATGAATGGGACAGACCCAAGCCAGAGCTAAAACTTTGAGGATCAATCCAGGATTTTGATCCCACCCACAGAAAACACAGCTCGGTTGATTCCACCAGTCTGGCTACTTGTTAAAAGCATTCACCGATGGTCATAATGGGATATACAGAAACTCGAACATCCTACAGATGATCGTAACATAATGGTCTAGACTCTATATGATGTTGGAGACCACTACGAAGCGCTCTGAGCTAGACCTCAGCCCCTTGCCTGGCGAGGGGAGCTGATTCCTAGTAAGTGAGCCTCTGAATCACTGGTCCTGGCTATGTGGCCTGTGAGGCCAGAGATACCTCAAAGGGCAAGAGAAGGCCACAGCTGAAGATACCTTGGCTCCAACACTAATTAAGTAAATAGAGACTGTAACTGCAGGCATCTCACTCCTGCAATTGCACTCTACCTTAAATGTCATCCTGGAGATAAGACGGTGCTGCTAAATTGGCATAATTTACTTCTCGGAGAAGTCTTTGAAGTGACTTCCAAGGTCCTGCTCATTTCCCATGCTTTCCTCAGTTTCCCTGCCCTTTGTTTTGGACCTAATAAAAATGGGCGGTCCAGAGAAGCCTTTGTCTTAGCCCTGAGAGTCTCAAGTTCAGCTAAGGGGCTTTGACCCTACTAGAGCCTTAAAATCAGACCAGTTGTCTCATTTTATTTAAGCATCTGCTGTACACTCGTTTGGAAGATTGGGGATCAGGTCAGGACCTGACAGTACAACATACTATTCACAGTGTTCAAGGTACAGTCTAATAATGTGACATGACCTACGAAAGTCTTGACAATCTGACATTTCTCAGGCAAAAAGAGATAACACATCAATCCTGGGATGACCCAAGATGCTGGGATTGTCACACAGTTTTAGTGCAAGTGTTGAAACTATTTCACCAGATCAGCAAAGTCGCACTTGGAATGACTAAATAGATAGGAATTTTTTCAGCAGGTAGGTATAAACAAAAGGAGAAACATTTTGGGATGGAAAATCTGAAAACCAGTTCATTGGAGGAACTTCTAACTCACTGGCAGCCTAGACAGTGGAAGGGTCAGTAAACCTAGAAGAGCAACAGAAATGGACATGAAGAAAAGGAAATACTGAGGAGAGAGGAAACAAAACTGATATCATATCAGCAGTTAGCAAAACAGGAAGTGGCAGGCCCTCGCCCCCACCCCAGGGAGGAATCAAATAAACAGACTGTAATAATTTTATAGTAGCTCTAGAAAAGGGCTAAACATCTGCAAATGAATTCACGGAGGAGAGAAACTCACATGGAAAACGGAGTCCTATGGTTTTCTTTCTTTTTGTTGTTTTTTGTTTTGTTTTGTTTTTTCGAGACAGGGTCTCGCTATGCAGTTCAGGCTGCCCTTGAGCTCACTTTGTAGCCCAGGCTGGTCTCGAACTTGCAATGATGCTCCTGTCTCAGCCTCCCAAGTGCTGGAATTATAGGCTTGGGCCATGTTCTTTTAAATTCATCCTTGCCTTGACCACCCCTTGGACATGGTGACTGAGGAAGAAATGGCCTGAGGTCCTCACATGTGGTTCCTGTGCTGAGCCTGAGAAGTGGACTCAGCCGTACTGCAGAGAGGAGAGCACTGAGGTTGGTTTGCATGGGGGACCCAGACCACCCTTGGATCTCGGCACCCAAGGCACCCCAGGTCCAAGGGACTGACCCTGCCATCGTGGGAGAGGCCCAGGCCTCCTGAGGGCATGAGCAGCTCTTCTGCAGTGGCCTGGCAATTAGGATGGGCTCAAAGTCCCCGTTACCTTATGACTGGGAAGAGGATCACTGTCTGCAAACCAGGGCTTCAGAGAAACTGAACCCTGGAGAGGAGAGCCGTGTGCGGGGACCCCAGCAGGAACTCTGGAATGGGGAAACCAGTAGGATTAGGGGCCTGAACCTAAGTGCTGCTAGGGCAGGGCTGGAGGACTGCACCAGCCAGCTGCCTCTGGGTGCAGCAGGACTGGGGAGAGAAGGTGCTGGAACCACCCAGAGATAATTAGTCCCCGTCTCTCCCTCCCTCACTGGCAGTACTGCACCCAGGCCACTGGCAGGAGCATACCGGGGAGCTCCCCCCCTCAAACACACATGTAGCCCCTGCTGGGGATGACTGAGGACCTGGAGGAACCTGGGAGCCACCCCAGGTCCCGCAGGCTGGACGGTGAAGCTCTTGAACGGTGCCTGGCAAAGGACAGCAGGGGGAGGGACGAAAAGTGGCGCCTGAGTCGGGGTCACTCTGAGGCACCAGGTCAGAGGCTGCAAAAGGAGAACTTGGGGACCGCTGCAGGGTTTGCCCCAAAGCGAAGGGAAGAGGACCCCGGCAGAAGAACCCAGGGGTGGGCAAACTTCATCACATCCTCCCATGCACAGGTCAGCGGATGGGGCCTGCAGTGAGCCACACGCAGAGCAGAGTTTGTGGGCCCCAGACCAGCACCGAGAGCCAAGCCCGCCACAGCAGCCGTGCGGATGCCCCAGTCTCACAGCACAGCAGCTGCAGCACACAAGCTTGTTTGCTTGTGTGTTTGGATTTTTTTTTTCAGTTTTTAGTTTTTCTTTTGATCTTGATTTTTTATTCTTTTGTTTAAAAACTTTGCGGTGTTTTTGGTTCTGGAATTGAACTCAGGACCTCGCGTTTGCCCAACAGGTGCTGTGCCACTGAGCTACAGCCCAGGCCCTTTCTTTTACTTTTAAAAATTCTTTTCCAAGGCCTGACATAGTGGTGCACTCTTACAATCCCAGCACTCGGGAAGCTGAGGTGGTAGGATCATTGCAAGTTCAAGACCAGCCTGGGCTACAAAATGAGCCCAAAGCCAGCCTGAACTGCACAGTGGGACCCTGTCTCAAAAAGACAAAACAAAAACCAACTCTTTTGGCTCTCAGTTTTAGAATTTTCCTTCCATAGTGGGCCGGGGCTGGAGGGGAGGGTGGAGGAGAGCAGCTCCCCTCATGGTGGTGGGAGAAGAGCCAGAGAGGATGGAGCCAGGGACAAGACCGTGTCCCCAAGGTCCGGCCCCACGACCTGCTTAGGCCCCATCACATAAGTTCCGTCGCCTCCCATGACGCCATAACATTATGGTCTCATGGTGAATTAATCTATGTGAGCCTCTCGCCTTCTGAAACCCCCGCATCTGGGCACAGGCGACATCTGCGGGATGCTTTACATCCAAACCATAGGTGTCACTGAGTGTCACAGTAAATGTTCTTATTACAGTAAAAGAAAAGGAAGATAGGGCCAGGGACGGGGTTCAGCCGTAGGACCCTTCCCTCAGGCACTAGGCTTTGAGTTGGATCCCCAGCCCTGCCAGAAAGAAAAACCAAGCCAATGTGGGGGGGGACCCTAAAAACTAAAAGTAATAATCAACAAGTTTGAAGCACAAGAGGTGCTTCCAAAGTATGGCCAATATCTAAATTTTTAAAAACTGATCGTAGTAAAAGACACGTTGCCATGAATCCCCCTCAGAACGCAGCCCCACTTTGGACACATTGTCCCGTCATTTCTGCCGCTCTCTGAAGCAGTCTGGCAGTCTCACACCTTTATGAAATCTGATTTAAAAAATACACCAAATGCCGAGGCTGAGAACCACCCAGCAGGAAGGAAGGCTCAGAAAACAGTGATGGCCTGACCATCTCTCCTGTCCTCAGCGATCCCAGACTGCGTGGATGTCACCCCTGCCCTGGAATCTAAAAGACCAGGACGGTAAACATCCCGCATCTGTTTAAGGCAAGGCACGGAGGGAGCTGTGACGCACAACCCCCCACACTCCTGAGAGAGGCCTTGCAGAACTGCTGCGGGAGGGGAGGAGAGCAACAGGATGGTGGATGCAGGGAAACGGGAGCCGTAGGGGGAGGATGGCTCCCCGCGTGGCTTTTGCTAATAATAAACATAATAAAACATGTCTAAGACTTCTCCCCCAAAACTACCATGCACTGCTGCAGAGAAATTACGGAGCAGAAGCTCCGCTTTGTCTATGAATCAGAAGACGCGTTATTAAGATGACACTCTCGGGCCAGGGATATGATTCAGCCACACAAGCACCTGCCTGGCAAGCACAAAATAAAGGATGACAACCGTTAATGCCCCTAAGAGAGCAGCTAAAGTGTTCCTCGGGACATACGTGAGAGACAAAATCTCTCTCTTACGAAGGAGAAATAAACAGATAGATAAAAGCACAAAATTCCCCCTTCAGGGAACTAACAAACTAATAGTATAAACGAGACATATTAGCATATACATTAAAGTATCTTTGAAACAATGAATAGCTAATTTGGGGAATTATTTTAACTCCTACCTATTTTCCGTTCAACCATCATATATATATATATATATATATATATATATATATAGAGAGAGAGAGAGAGAGAGAGAGAGAGATTTTTAAATTTCCATTTATAGTTGTTCTATAAAACATAAAATATCTAATAATAATATAATAAAATATTTCCACGCCTTCTCCACTGAAAACTACAAAGCATAAGAGAAACCCCGTATGTAAGCTTATGCATCGGACTTCCTCCATTATGTTCTGAAGTTGCATTCCAGTTTTTCTTTCATTATGGTAGGCTAGTATTCCGCTGTATATAAACATCACACTTGCTTTATCTGTTCACCTGTTGATTAACAAATTGACTGTTTCCACAGCCTAGCTATGAAATTTTGTTTTATTTTTTCATAGGAGTCCTTTTTGCATTTTCTTTTTAATGAACACTTGTATTACACTAAAATAAAAAAGTTAGGATGGAAGGCTAGATATATCATTTCACATGAAGCTACCATAGCCTGAACCAATCTTCTATGGTGGCAAAAATTCCAATTATTTAATGTACCATGGAGGGCACAAATTTTCGTGACAGGAGTAACTATGGATCATCACTTAAAATAACGTTTGCTCCTCTCTGTATAGAAATTCAATGTTTTCCATTGTCCAGAAAATATCGTGGTTCTAACCACACATATAACCTGCATTTACAACATAGCTTTGTCTTCCATGGCTATAAATGTGTGACTCGAACTGGCAAAATACATCATTGAGAACACTTGGCCAGAAGTAGACCAGACCCATTTCACTCAGTGGGACGGCACCCAGGGGAAGCTTCCAGTACAGGCACATTTGCACACAGGACCTTTCTCCCTGCATCCGTCACTACCAACCCAAGGAGGGCTCTGTCTTCACAGGGAAGCCCGCATTTCTCCGGCCAACTTGGCAGTAATCAGACTTGAATACCGTTTGTTAAGTAAGCACTCTACAGCAATGCAGGTAGCAGCAGTTTGTAAACAGAGACACTGGCTGTGCGGCTTCCCTGGGGAAGTGTATCAAAGGGGTCTCCTGGGCACAAAGCTTATCCTCCCAACTCCGAACTCCATGGCTCCGCTTTACCGCCCAATCTGAGTCCTGCTAGCCCCCACCCAAGGTCTTTCGCTTCTACTTTGTTTCTGTGTAGGCCAGAGAAGATCTGAGTGAGAGCCTGTCACCCTCTAGTTAAGACTTTCCAAGGGCTCTCCCTTTCTCGCAGTGTAAATTAAAATGTGGGAAATTTGTGGGCTAAAGCCAAGTTTTGCACATCATACTGTGGTATTCCAGCCCCCAGTTATGCCAGTAATGGTGCTGGTGCTTCCCAAATCACCAGTCACAAGGCCCAACCACAGGGGGATGTGGGGTGGTCCCTCCCCAATGACCCCTCTCTGGCCCTGCTGGGTCTCCAGCACAGGTCAGGAATGCGGTGGCTGTGGGGATCCACCACCCAGCTCCAGCCCCAGGACTTTGCTCCCAACAAAATCTCCAGCAGCGAGGGGGTTGTAAAAACTGGGGGTGTCTGCTCTTAGAGAAAGCAGGGTTTCTTTTCACGCTGTGTATCTCAAAGGCCACGTTCAGTCATTTTTTTAGCTAGGCAATAAAGAGAACTTCTGATCATCTGTGGATTCCTAATGCATCCATGCAGAACTAAAGGTAAAGCGGATTACCTGACCACCACGGTGCCCAGGGGCGGTTCCTTGGAGCTTCTCTGCCACGACGGGCATTTCTTCCACCCTTCGCTCACAGTGCCCGTGGCTTTTCCTTTCTGTGAGAGCTTTCTGCTTGGCTTCGGGGTCAGGTTAATCTCCGGTGGGAACTGGTGTCTTTCTAAGATCCCTTCCAAGCTGGACATGTCAGCTGCCTCACCTGGTAAGAGGACAAGATGGGCACGGGTCAGTCCCTTGCCATCTCTGTAGGGCAAGAGCCTCACAGCACTGTGAGACAGACTGCTGGAGCTGTCTTACCATTCCTTTTCAGATCTGCAGTTCCTTGATTCCAACACCACTGAACAACGCTTAGATCTGAGCCTGACGCTAGGCATCTATCAGATGCACCATAAATAAACAACAGATGGGGTTGGGGATTTAGCTCAGCAGCATAAGTGCCTGCCTGGCAAGTGTGAAGTCGTGAGTTTGATCCCTGGTACCAAACAAAATATTAAATAAACAACAGAACAGGCTGGAAATACTACAAATACCGCAGGATTCCCAAGCCAATGGTAAGACACTGCCTGATAATAATTATTATTGTTGTAATTCTCATTTTCCCTTTTATCACATACTTAAAAGATGTGTACTTTAAAGCTTCTCAGAAGAAATGGGGTGAATGTTGACACTGTTGTCCGCCTCCTGTCCTGGGCCTCCCATATAGTGGTGAGTTTTTGCTTGAGTGATGGATCACCCCATAAAGATTTGACTTAAAATAAAAATTTGCTTTACCTAGAAGCATCTGGGAATGTAACTTATTAATCCTTTCTGATTGCACGAAATTGACTTCTGGCCAAAAATGAGTTGGTTTTTCTTTCTTTTTTTTTTTTTTAATTTTTTATTTATTTATTTATTTTTTTTTATTTAAGGAGAAAAGAAAAAAAAAACAATGAAAGGGTACAAGTTATACAGATTTACAGAAGAAAAAAATGAACAGTAGGAAATCACTAGTTAATGGATTACATATTGCCATCTTAGAAATAATTGTTCAAGTCACAAAATTAAAGCTTGTAGAGTGGACATTCCAACAATGATACTGCAAACAGTTCTGTTCAATTATCCAATAAAACTCTGTGATATCACTTTCTATCTTATACACTTAAATATACATGCAGTTATATAGTTTAGAGCACTTTCTTTTCCTCTCTTTTGTACAATGACTATTACACATTTTGGGTTTCATTGCTCCCACGGTTCTTATTGCTTTTTTGGAAGAGAGTAAAACCAAATGTGACATAACAGAACAGAATCGGTCAAGTCAAAAGGGTGGACATAATAGATAATATAAAAACATAATACAAGGTGATCAACAATGGTTACCATAATGCCTCCCGCTATCTCTAATAGAATTGCCTATATCATTAGTTGTAATACAATTGAACAAAACAGTAAAGAACAAAACCGACAAAACCAAAACATTGGAGACATTGTAGGTCTTCAAAAGTAGATAAAAGTCAACGAGAATGGGCGTTATAATGAATCTCATTTCTTCTCAGCTGATGCCTAAACTTTCGAACCTGATACTATCCAGCAAAACAGAATAGAGGAACCTCAGTCAAAAACAAGATGGTGAGAGTAATACAGGGCTTCAAATCGAGATAATAGAAAGTCAAAGTGGGTTACTATATTATATCCTGCTATTATTTTCTCTTTAATTAAATGGATAAAAATAAAAAAGTAAATAATGGAGTGGAGATTGAGAAAAAAGAGGACATAACAGCGAAACAGCGCAGATCAAAACATAACCATTTAAGCAGAATAGTGTTTCACCACCAGATAATTCCGACCCAAAAGTAGTTACCATATTGACTCTTTCCTTGAAGTCCTTGAGTACAACTTCGTATACAGTAGCATTAAGTATATCAAAACAATGTAAAACCATTTAAGAGAATGACAGCATTACAGAGTATTTAGAATCGACTAACAGAAAATAAACAATGGTTTCTGTATAATCTCCTTGTCTTTAAAAGGTTTTTGCTTATACTATCGTACATAATAAAATCCAATAAGATACAACCTGTTTAGACCATTGGAGACAGAAGAATAAAAGCTAGATGAGACTTCAAAACAAGATGATACTAAATCAGTATTACCTATTAAGATGTCATTTTCTCCAAAATAGCTGTTCCTATCATCCAATCTTCTCTGTCTCATTTCTGTTGAGCTCTTTTTCTGTCAGTAGCTGTTAGTTTGTCTTCTTCATTTTGTTCTCTGCTCCATTCATTGTGGCCTCCCCACCACTATTTCTGGGTTCTTTGTATTTTTCTTTTTTTAGAACATCCTGCAATACTTTCTGTAGGGTTGAATTGGTGGTTGCAAATTCCCCCAGTTCCTCTTTATCCTGGAAGCACCTTGTTTTTCCATCAATTTCCAGGGACAGTTGTGCAGGATATCTCAATCTTGGCTGGAGATTATTATCTTTCAAAGCTTGAATTATTTCCCTCCATGCTCTTCGTGATTTGATGGTTTGTGCAGAGAAATCTGCTGTAATTCTGATGGGTGTTCCCTTGTAAGTGGTCTGTTTCTTGTCTCTTACAGCTTTTAATATTCTGTTCTTGTATTGAATTTCTGGAATTTTAATTATTATATGCCTGGGTGTTTCTCTGTTAGGGTTGTAGGTAGCTGGGGTCCTGTATGCCTCGTACATCTGAGTATCTTTACCTTTTGCTAAATTAGGAAAATTCTCCTGGATTATTTCTGTGAGTAGCTTTTGTAGTTCACTTGTTTGTGTCCCTACTTCTTCTTTTATGTTCTTAATCCTTAAGTTATGGCTCCTCTTATCATCTTCTTGTCTCTGTATTATTGCTGTTTGTTTCTTTGTTATTTTTAAGAAGTTTTTCATTTCATTCTCCCATATTACAAGTCTGCCCTCCAGTTCAGATAGTCTGTCCTTAGTTTCTTTCAAGCTGTTATGCCAGTCTTGGATAGACTTCTTAATTTCTTGATAGTCCCTTTGAACCTGCTTCACGTACTCTATGCTTTCTCTGTTTTCTCCATCAAACAATTCTCCCATCTTTTTCTGTTCTTCCATTCCACCATCTGTTTTTTCCTGGGTGGTGCTTAGCATTTCTCTAACTATTCTGCATACTTCTAGCTTCAGGTCATTGATAACTTCATTCCTGAATTGGTCTATGAGGCTCTCTATATGGCGCTTAATGTATATTGGTGCGGTGTCCGCTATTGCCTGTTTCTCAGAATTGGGGGCTGAGGAGCCTTTCTTGTTGCTTCCCTTCCCCATATTCTCTGTTCCTTATAAAATGCAAGCTTACATAGGAGGCCCAGCTTCCCTGCCTGTCAGCCACAGCCTGATCAAATTGCGCTGGCTAGGTGTTCCCGCCCACCACTGCGCACCAGGGAGTTACGGACTAGGCAGCCTCCGGGCCACCGTCAGGCTCTGGGATCTGGGTTAGGCCAGCCTACCAAGTCCGCCCACAGCATCACGCAGGCCAGGCACTTTTCACCAATCCCGTCCGAGAGGGGAATGTGTGGCTGGAGTCGCCACCGCGCCCTGCTCTTACAGGACTGCCCGAGCCCAGAAAGTCCTCCGCTGGAGTCAAACTGTGGTAGAGTGTCAGTTTCTCTCACTCACCTCGCCACCAGTCAGTGTACACCTCCTTGTCCGTCCTGTTTTCGAGTCCGTTCACAGACTCCCGTTCCCAGAGCTTCTGCGCGTCTCTCCTTGCCAAGCCGCTGTGGAGGCAGTCAGCCGCCGAGCGGTGGGAAACCCAAATCGCGGTTTCCAATGGCGCGGGGTCCAGCCTCCACACCGAGTCTTTTCTGTTCCTATTTTAGTGCCAGGACTGCATTCCAAGTTGGTTTCTCTCAGCCGAGTTCGTTCCTGAGTCAGCAGAGCATATCTCTACCGGCTCGTGTCTCCTTAGTCCGCATCATTCCTGATTTCTGAGCCGAGCCTTTCAGAGAGCCTCCGGTAGTTGCTGTTATCTGTCCGCCATGTTCTCCCGGAAGAGTTGGTTTTTCTTAATCTGTAGTATCGGTCAGTGTTTTACTAGAGAAACAGATAAGACACAAGATATACAAAGATACAAGAAATTCCGAGATTGGCTTATAGTGGCCCCCCGCAGGGTCGGATGGGGGAGTGTGCAGAGGGGTGTCTGCACCTGAAGACTGACGGATTCGGTCAGTGGTCTGGGGCTCTCTGCCGTGTCCCGTGCGAATCCGAATCCGTATCAGGAGGCCAATGGGTCTGCCATGGAACTCTGGAAGCCAAGAGATGATGTCTGCAGCGAAGCTGAAGCCTGCAGCTTCTCCAAGGAAACAGAAGCAGATCCATCCTCACCCTGGCACGAGACACCCTCAGGTGGGCGTGGACCTGCTGGGCCAGTGTAGCGGAGCTTCTCTGAATCCAGTTGGCACAATCATCAGCCATCACACCTGTCATAGGCAGGCCGAGTTTTCAACTGCTCCAATGGCAATTCTCTTCTTACTTTGGAGAGCTCCAATAATTGAGAGTTGGGAACAGCTCACAATAGGTCCCAGCTGCTGACCCCTCACTGCCCGTCCAAGTCACAGACCCACTTCATGTAACCCGTGTTTTGGCGGGAAGCGGGATCTGACCCACAGGGCTTAGACAAGTTGGTGACTAGCACACAGAGAAACCACTTCGTGGAGACCACTTCTCATAGCAGAAGAGGACTTGGAAGTGACCATAAGAATACCAATTACCCACAAAGACTGTGACTGCGTGCACTGAAAACAGGTGCTCATGAAAAGAAAAGGAAAACACAACAACAAAAGAAGCAGGAAGACCACCAGACACCAAGAGCCGGGAGAGGCAGGCAAGGAGCTGAAAGAAGCCGTAGAAATCCGGGTACCGCGGCTGGCAGCCCGTTTGTGAGGATGCTGAGTGAGAATGCCGAAATCCAAGCAGGAGGAAAAGACTAAGTTTTCCTGCTGGGGAAGGTGGGATTCCACAGTGCCCTGCTTGATGCGTATCAAGCCAGCTTTACTGATGCTGTAGTTATCTCTAATTCAGACAGGTTCACCACTTAGTGCGTGTCTATCACATGCCTGGAGTCACGCTGACGTCTAACAAACTGCCCATCTGTAGTAGGGCGAAGAGCTTTCAGTAGACTGCAGTTGAACATGGTACTGCCTTTGTTGGCAATTTTGCTGTTAAAAAAAAAAAGGAATGAAGGAAATAAGGAGAGGACGGAGGCAGGGTGGGAGGTGTAAAGGAGGGAAGGAAAGGACATGCGGTTGGCCGGCCTGCGCAGGACTCTGGGTGCTACGGCTGACTTCCGCTGGACGGTGAACCCCTCTCTCCTTCAGGAGGTAACTGTAAGAACCAAGAGTCAAACCACAGCTCACGCCTTGCGTAGCTCTGCGGTCCCCTTGGATACGTGAGAAACTAATCAGCGGTCCTAAACTTTCTATAAGAGGGGCTGAACCTGCCAGAGCTGCCGGTGACGCACAGGGAGTTACACCGGGACTGGCGCGGCCTCCCGGGGACAAACCCTGACAGGTCCTCCCATAACACGGCAATGGGCAGAGACCCTGAAGTGCTGGGACTTGGCTCAAAGAGTCCCAGCGTGGCAACCTGACCAGGTGTGATCTGATGAACAAGCTGATTGGTACAGCCTGTAGGCCACCCTGAGTGTATCAAGAACAGGACAGGAAACCCGGCAGCTAGGTCACCTCACGAGTACTCTTAGTGGCAGTTAGGTCAGCCCAGCTGTGGTGCCATCAGGTTGTGAAGGACATGCTCAGGAGCCCACTCTGGGATAGGCCAGGCGGGCAGCTTGCGTTGGTGGTCAGAGTTTCAAACTTGAACTTAATATTCGACTAAATGAATCTGACTCAGGTATTTGGTAACATTTGACTATAACTGTTTTGCATCAAATGAATTATCTTTGGTTTTCTTGCATACTGGGGTGGTTCCAAAAAGCACCCTTCAAAGGTCCGTTGTAAAGCTGTGGTCCCCAGATGGCACTAGAGGAGGTGCTGTGTGTCCCCAAGAGGGGCCTGGCAGGAGGACACTGGTGGCTGCCGGTGAAGGGTTCTGCAGGCGCCCTCTCTTCTTGTCTCCTTCTCTCTGCAGGGATGAAAGCGATGCATCTACAAGTCAAGGGGCTCCAGGGCTTGGAGCCAGCACAAAAACTAGGAGTCAGCGCTGACAGATTCTCCCCTAGAGGCATCACAGAAGCAGGGCAGTGGCATGGGGATTCAGACATCAAGCCTCCTCAACTGTGAGATGGCAAAGCTGGCTTTGAAGCCACCCAGCTTGTGCTGCTCTTACGGCCGTGCAGATGCACATGCTTGGGAAAGAGCTCTGGAAGGAGACGCTGCACACTCGGGACAAGGGGCAGCGTGAGCTTCCTTCCTGCCGTGTAGACTTCTTGGCGTTGTTCGGCTGTGTTTATTAATCACTGGAGCAGCTTCTCTTCTGTCTTCTAAGTTCACGGGCAAAGGTGGCTTCTACTTGTGCTCCCCACCCCATCACGAACAATCCCAGAGGCAGGCTTTGCTGTAAGAATGGCAAGGGCCAGGGAGTTAACTCCAAGACGCACTGCCTGTCTGGCAAGCACGGGGTCCTGAGTTCCATTTCCGGTTAAAAAAAAAAAAAAAGAATGGCAAACTATTTTCAGTAAACTTCAAGACCTGCTGGTTACCGCTTGGGTGTAGAGGCACATGTCAGAAGGTTGAGGCAGACAGATCACTTGTGCCAAGGAGTCTAGGGCCAGCCTGCATTATATAACAAGACCTCCATCTCAGAAATAGTGATAATAAAAAATGGCAAGTTATTATATCGTCGGGGGAAATAGACATCCTCTGCCTGCAGTGGCAGCATCACGGCACTAGGAGAAAGAGGTCATAGGAAGTAGAGTGAAGGAATAAAGTTTAAAATTAGACCTTCTACCTAAAAATTTCTCACTAAACTGAACAATCAAACTGAAAGGCAATTTGTAAGTTTAGTAGTTCTTCGCACCTGGTCTCCTTCCATGGGTGTGTTTTGCTGGAAGAGTGACCCAGCTTGGCTTGGAAAAGACAAAACAAAAAGAGCAGGAGGCCAGAGGTTTAGCTCAGCCGTGCAAGCGCCTGCCTGGCAAGTGTGAGGTTGTGAGTTTGATCCCTGGTACCAAAAACAAGGAGCAGGGAGTTGGAATGAGTCAGTACCTGGGTAGATCTCACACTGCACCCTGAGAATGTGGTCCCACTAGCCCACAGGTGGGAAAGGAGCCTGAAGACCCGATCACACCTGCAGGAGAAGCTCCCACTCCTGGCTGCCAGGAGGGGCATTTTGAGCGGACCGAGGTGGCACCTGGCTGTCATACCTAAACTCCAAGGCTGAAGGAGGAGGACTGTAAGTTCCAGTCCCAACTGGAACTGATCAAGAGCCACACCTGGGGCTGTAGCTCACCCCAAAGGCTCTGACTTCAGTCTCCAGTCCTGTCTTCCCCCCAAAAGACACACTTTGTGTCAAGACACAGGCTGCGCTGGCTAAAGGGCTCACGGTGTCCTCTACTCACGTACATTTCGTTTTGTCCTGGTCGCTCTTGTAGGAATACAGCATCTCCATCATGCGATTCGGAAGCAGATTGTGGAGGTTGGCCAGAGTCTCAAAGGTGTGACGCAGAACATCAGGATCGGCGTAGTTTTTCAGCTCTCTTTTCGGCCCAAAGGGTATGAATTTCATTAGCGGCGGCTCGTTGCTGGTGGTGCCCATAATGGAGCCCAGAGACTGACAAATAGAGGGTTCAGAGTGTGGAGTCCCTCCCAGCGCCTCTCCATCTCCTAGAAGGGGTGGCGGAATCTCCCTCTCGGCCTCCTGCCTGTTCGCGTTCTGGGCGTCACAATGGAGCAGGTAGGACCTGGAACCGTGGGAGACCCTGCTCCACCCCTCAGCGAGGGAAGCAGTCCAGGGAAAACCTCCTGCCCGGTCTTTCAAGGATGTCCCCCAGAAAGTCCTCTTTCCATACGGGTTTGGACAAGTGCTGAGCTTTCTACAGGGACTCACCCAGCCTTATTCCCAGCTGGCCCTGGGCAGAGCCCTTGTACCCTGTGTGTACGTAATTCAGTCTCCACAGGCTCCGGGACCCCACGAGAGACCGAGCACCTGTCACAACCTCAGCAGAACCAAGGGCAGCAAGCATGGTCCCCAGCTGAGGGATGTCCGGGTTAGCACAGGTAAGAGCTCCAGGAGCTTCTTAGCCTCCGAGCTGCACTAAGGGGAAAAAGTGAAATCAAGGCACAAAAATTCCTGCCGGTAGCCTGCTGGACCGGTATTGATAAGAAACCATTAATTCTCCATTTTAGACTAAAGAACACAGGGCAACAGAGCTACTAAATAACCTGAAGCGGCCGACTTGGTCCCAAAGCCCTGATTTGGGGAAAGGCACACAGCAGGCTCCTCTTCGTTTCAGCCTGTTTGGCCAGGCAGTCAGGGGCGTCTTTTGGAACAGCTGGGTAACCGTGCTGTGGAGCAGTGAGAGAAATGCGGGCCAGGGAGCCCAGGGCAGATGCTGCTAGGGAAGGCCCGTTTCATGTCGTTTTGTTTTGTTTTTTGTTTTGACCAAGCTTAAGAACTCTTGGCCACAGATCTAAAAATATCATGATTATGCCATATGGTACATTAGGGTTGAGGGTAAGACATATGAACCTCACTTTTTAACTCTCAACTTGCCAACTCAAAGGTAAAAGTGTTTTAAAATAAAATGGTAGACTTGAGTACAAACATGTTTTAAATGTTATAGAACACAGACCCGTTTGCATGTGATGAGAGCCTGGTAACTGTATGGGTGTTGGGGAGACAGAAAATGACAGGATTGGAGGGCAGGGTATTTGGGCAGGAGAAAGACATCCCCTGGCTGCTTTCTTCAAAAAAAAAAAAATGTTGAGTACATTATTTGAATGTTTTCCTGAATCCAAAAGAACAAAGTTATAAGCCATTCCACATGCGAAGGAAGTCATGGCTTAAAGTGTGCGTGTGTTTCCAGCCTTATATGAGAATTGATTACACGTTTGTGATCATTGCTCAGGAGCCACCGTGCGATGCTTGCTTGTAACTATCTGAAGGTTCCACGTGGAAACTGAAGGTCAAGGTCAAGGTCAGCTGGACAAAACCAGAAACAGATCACAATTGCTAAATTAGCAAAAAGACAAAATTTATATATATATATATATATATATATATATATATATATATATATAGCAGATGCCGGCAAGGCTGCAGAGGGCTGAGACATTGTTGCTAGAGGGAATGTGAGTGGAGAACGGCACAGAGGGTCACCAAAAAATTAAAAATGCAAAGGTTGGCCCAGCAGTTCCACCGCTAGGGGTCTGTGGAGGAACAGAAGCCGTATGTTGAAGAAATAGCTGCATTCCGTGTTTATTCACAACCAGGAAGCGGCATGTGAAACGAGCCTAAATGTTCAGTAGTGGAATGGAGAAAGAAAATGTGCCATATATAGGAATACTACTCAGCCATACTTTTTTTTTAAATTTTATTTTGAAAGTATACAACAGAACAAGACAGAATAAAGCCAACTAAGATTGTACAGTGAAATTGGTACAGAACTTCACAGCAGGTTACCGGGATAACAGTAATAGGTATTACAGTATATTTTGTTTTCTTTATAATAGTTGTTCTTTCAATCACGTATATCAAAGTGAGATGAAATATAGAACACTATAGAACTTATCAAAACAGAATATTGAATAGAGCAGTACTATTAATCAGAAAAGAGCAAAACAGTAATAAAAATATTTGCCTTCAAAGAGATGGTAGAAGGAAGTCCCCCTTATTTGCTATAGTCAACCTCCCAGGAGACGCTCAGATTTCTGGTTCCCATTTGCTAATGGGCGGGGGTGGGGAGAGAAGGGGGTTAGGGGAAGTGGGCTGTGCATCAGTAGGTTCACTATTGCTTAGTAGGAGGCAGGCTGGTTGTTTGGTTTCACAGCGTCCTAAGTTCCAACATGGCGCGGATCTCAGGAGCTGCTGCTGGTTCTCCCCCTGGAAGGGCAGCCTCAGCCATACTTTTTGATAGAATTTTTGGCGTGGCTAAAAAGACAGAAATATGAAATAAAAGTGGTCTTTATTTTAAGAATGCGGAGCTGGAGAATTAATGGTGTCTTATCAATACCGGTCCAGCAGGCTACCCCCACCACTGAGGTCTGGCTTTTCTGTCTGCCCAACGCGTGTTGTGGGGGGCATACATGTAGCTTAGGTTTGGAGTGGTGCCTAAGGGGCATTACTGATGCACAGGTAGCCCATTGGAATTCATTTCGAGCCACAGGTAAATAGCCTAGGGGCGGGAAAGGTGACCTCAACATAGAGCCCCCTTGGTTCCGCCTCCCAGCCTCCCACTGCTGCAGTACTTAGGGCAAAATCCTTTCACTTTTTATTACTATTTGTTGATTTTGTTTTGTTTTTTTGAGAGATAGTCTCTCTGTGCAGTTCAGGCTGACCTTGAGTTCACTATATGGCCTGGAACTCATGGTGATCCTCCTGCCTCAGCCTCCCGAGTGCTGGAATTACAGGCATGCACCACCACACCTGGCTTAATGAACTTTATTTATTTATTTATTTATTTATTTTTGCCTTTTTTTCGGTGCCGGGGATCGAACTCACGACTGCCTGCTTGCAAGGCAGGTGCTTATGCCGCTGAGCTAAATCCCCAGCCCCCGTAAACTTTATTTTTAGACAAACCAGCAGGTGGATAAATGCTTTTGTTTTCATTTTTTAATGAGTAAAGTTTCTTCCAGTCCTCAGTCCCAAGCATTTTTTCCCCTAATCACTGCATGTAGAAAAGCATTGTTTGGAGAGGAATGTAACTGTCATGAACAAGGCTGCCAAGGACCCAGCCTTGAGGTCTTGGTTTAAGCCACCCTGGCCTTCACCTGTGTTCTTAGTCTCTGATGGAACAAATGCTCCCCGCTGTGTCTTTTTTCATCCTCTGCTGAGTTCCAGTTTTATCTTCCATGGCCAGGATATACCTTTGTCCACACCGTGTTTTCAATGTGTTATTATTTTCCTCCGAGAACAGTCGCGGCCCACGCACCTCAGCCAGGGTGCTGTCCTGTGGCTGAGGGACTCTTACGTGCTGCTCCAACCGATGACCATTATTAACTAAATGGAGCCCACAGCGGGCAGAGGCTGGTTGTGTTTCTGGTTAGGCTGATCTTTTATTCCTGACTTCTAGATAATGGAAATTCCCTCCCGTCTGCCTCCTCCCTCCCTCCATCCCTCCCTCTCTCCCTCCTCTCCGCCCTTTTTCCTTCCTTCCTTCTTCTCTCCTCTTCTCTGCCCACACAGAGGGCTGCTGTGTCTCCCGCCTGCCTTCCCTGCTCCCTTGGCCACAGTGCAAGCGACAAGGTCTGCTGGCTCCCTGAAGGCAGAGTGTTCAGCAACGTTCACGGGGACAAGATCCTCTCCAGGTTCCTCAAGGGAAGCGTCCTCAAGAGAGTGTTCGGGTCACCGCAGATGAGGCAGGGGATTCCTGAGGACCAGAGAGAGGACGCCCACCGTACCCTTCCTGACCCCAGAAAGTAAGTTTCTGATGCTGAAACTCCCAGTCTGCAATGGCCAGCTAAGGAAACCAGGCACGGGCGTGGGCGTGGGGAGCAGGGCAAAGCCAGGGTCAAGTCCTGCAGTACAGGCAGGAGGAGGAGGCAGGTGTGACTGAAAAATCCTGGCAGGTGTAGAATTTCTTCCCAAGTGAGTTTATCTTACTTCCTATTGGAAATACAAACATACACGTCACTATCACATTTACTCAGGGAACAAACAAATTTCAAGCAAGATTTTCTTTATACTTGCAAAAAATGGTAGCCTTTCAAATAAAATAGTCGGGAGCAAAACATTAAAAATTAATTTTTATTTATTTATTTATGCACGTATGTATGTGAGACAGGGTCTCCCTATGCAGTTCAGGTCGGCCGTAGGCTCACTTTGTAACCCAGGCTGGCCTCAAAGGGCCAAGGATCTTCCTGCCTCGGCCTCCCACGGTGCTGGGATCACAGCCTGAGCCCCACGCCTGGCTCTATTCCTTCTTCTTTACCGAGCATGTTGCTGTCATGGGCTCAGCCTCGGCCTCGACTGAAAGCGAGGGGAAAACCTGAGGAGCCACAGGGCACAGCCCCTGCCCTTAGAATTCTGTCTTCTCCAGGGGGAGACGTGGAAAAGAGAGCAATGAAAAGCTGGTGAGGAGGACAAAGACAGGAGCCGTGCGGGGTGTTAGGGGACAGTCCAGAGGGCAGCAAAGACGTCTCTAAGGCCCTCTGCAGAGGAGGGGGAAACGGAGGCAGGCGACCAGCACCTGTGGGTTGGGGTGGGGGAACCAGAGAGCTGAGAAACCTTGACATCTCCATACATGGCTTCCTGCGTGCGTCTTTTTCTGAGAACCTTCTCCGAAGGCCATTTAGGCTCATCAGGTTTTCCCCTCGCTGTCGGGGTTGAATCTCGTGCTTGTCCCGTTAAACAGACTAGACTCACTACTGAGGGAGACAAAAGCTTCTCAACTGTTGATCCTTTATTGTAAAGAAGTGACAAAGCTTTGTGGAGTTGTATGTGTGTGTGTGTGTGTGTGTGTGTGTGCGTGTGCGTGTGTGTGGTGCTGAGGCTGAACATTCAGTTGTCGTTTACTGATTTATAATTAGCTTGGCTTTATTTAGATTCTTTCTTTGGATCGATTTGTCACAGGAGAGCGGATGAATGCTTGTATTTTCACCCTTCTCCCCTTATTTCATAGAGCTATAGCAGGAGATGCGTTTGGTGATGCAAAACTGAGCTCTCGGGGCTGGGGATTTAGCTCAGCGGCATAAGCACCTGCCTTGCAAGCAGGCAGTCGTGAGTTCGATCCCCAATACTGGAGCTCTCACAATCTGAATGCCTGCTAGACAGAAACAACAATTTACAGGTTCTTTTAATTATGATGGATCTGATCAGGACCCCAGGCGGGCTGGCTCCAGCAGGGGCCAACTCTCCCATTTTGTTATTTAATGTGCTGTGTGTTACTGCTAGAACTCCAGGGCCCCAAGTCCAGGGCTGGGATAGAGCACAGGGACTTGGGTGTTGCCAGGTGACCGGGAAGCGTTACCAGGTGACAGGGAGCATGAACAGGTCCCACAGAGCTGCCTCCAGTCCCCTATCCCGCTGCTGCACAGGGGCTGGGAAGACCCATGGGCCGGCGCCCAGGGTAAGAGGCCAGCTTGGTGACCGCCAGCCTCACCATAGGCTGCCCTGGCCAGGGCCCACGGAGCCCAGCCTCCATCTGGGTGGGTGTGGGCCACGTGCCACAGACTCCTGCCCCCGATTCCCTGAACACAGCTTTACTTGGACTCACAGTGGTCTGCCTGCAGGTCATTCCAGGTGGGTGCCTATTTCCAGGACAGAGACCTGAACGAGGGGTGGTGGCATGGCAGAGCCCCAACTCAGCAGCCTCCCTTCTCCTACAGTTTTTAGGAAAATGTTGCAGCAGATTCTCCCTAAGTCACTAAACAGCCCAGGCTGGTCATGACACTGCGATGCTCCTGCCCCAGCCTCCCAGAGTATTTGAGTTAGAGGCTCGAGCCACAGCCCGGCTCCCACTTCCATTTTTCAGTCCCCCTACATCCGTTCTTCAGGGGAGCAGGCGGACAGCCTCGTCCTGGCTCACACACTCCCTGAACTACGCCCCCAATTTCTTCAGAACACGCTTTCCCTCAAGGAGACAGTAAGACAGCCGTTAGCACATGCCCTGATGCCACAGTGGCTTTAATCTGGGAGTCTTTGCAGGTAGCTCTACCTTATCCCCTGATTGCTTGGCTTAAAACTGTACAGTTCTCCAGTATTTGTACCTTAAAGGGTGGCGGGGACTCTGGGCTCCAGCTGCCCAGTCTGGCAGTGGGCACGGGCTTGCGCACAAGGCCAACCGTGCCGTCAAGGGAGACTTTGGTTTAACATGAAAAGCAGGCATCACAGCCCCTTCTATGGGTTCCAGGTAGGGCTGGATGGGCTCAGTGGCACAGCACTGCCTGGCAAGCTCAAGGTCGTGAGTTTGATTCCTGGTACCAGAACAAACTGAGTGGTAAATTCCAGATAAGTCCTACTTTTCCCATCCTGGAGGTCATTTTCTTATTTGCTGTCTCTGTTCTCACCTCTGACCTCGATTTCGGCATCTCTGTCTATTATGCCGTCCCGTTTGTTTTGGTCTGGGCCTTTGCTAGGTCACCCCTTGGTCTTTTCTCTTCTTCTTCCTCTTCTTTTTTTTTTTTTTTTTTTGTACCAGGAATCGAACTCAGTACCTTGCACTTGCCAGGCAGGCGCGGTGTGGCTGACCTGTCTCCCCAGCCCGTTCCTTCCTGTTTCCTTTCCTCTTACTTTTTCTTTTGTTATTTTACTTCTTTCCCTTCCTTTATTTCATTTAAGTAATTACTTTTGTCTTTCTGAGACAGGGCCTCACTATGCAGTTTAGGCCAGTCTTGAGCTCACTTTGTAGCCCGGGCTGGTCTCGAACTTGCAAGGATCCTCCTGCCTCAGCCTCCCAAGCCTGGGATTACAGGTGCGCACCACCAAGCCTTTTCTTCTCTGTCTCTCTCCCCCTCTTCCTTCCCTTCCTCCTCCTTTCTCTCCCTTCCTCCCCCTCCCCACCCTGAACCCCAGGGCCCCAGGTCTCTGAGCTCGCTCCCCCTGAGCATCCTTCTCACTCCTCTAAAATAAAAGCCCGCGTGGGCCTCCTTCTGCCCACGGTGTTCCGCCCTCCTCACGCCACGCCTGTCCTCCCACCCTTACAGGACTCGGGGCGATCAGAGGAACAGCTGCCCCGTGATGGGGCAAAGAGCCGGCGAGGCGTGGGGGCCCGTGCTCGGCGTGTCGGTGTCCAGCGGCTCCCGGGAGGTACGGCCTGCAGCTCCGCGCCGGCAGTGGGGTCCCCCTGGCGCATCGGGGCTGGCAGGTGCAGAGTTCTCACGTCCTTCAATAAAAGGAGTCACCTGGCTTCCATGGGAGACTCAGAACACTGCTAAGCGCTACTGGGATTTGTTACAGATGCAAGCTAGCCAGGCAATGCCAGCTTTTTATTTCCGTGCGTGTACTTTGTGAAAAATTTTGCAGAGGGAGATGAGGTTGGAAAAGTCTAATTCCCTGCGCTTGGGGATTCTTCAAACTAGCTGACTCCACCGGCTGCCAGCCCTTAGCGGTGGACACCTAGGCAGAGAGCGCTCAGCGCATCCTTTCCTGTTTTAGTAGAAAGGTGTTTTCCCCACAAGTGCATTTCTGACGCTAGTGACCTGGGCTTACAAAACTGAGAGAGGCCTGACAGTCCCTCCGGAGGCTAAGACACAGATCTCTGGGCTCCATCCGCACCCTGCCAGGGAGAGCCAGCGGGTCCTCCTGCTTCTCTTTCTGCAGTGTCAGGAGCAGAGGGCCTGGCAGACGCTAAGCAAGCTTTCTACCTCTGAGCCCCAGCTTCAACTACTACTTTTTAAAGGTTCTCTGGGTGACTCTCCTGTGGAAATCAGGCCCCAGAGAGCAGGAAACCATGCATTTGACTTATCAAAAACCTCCAGAGAAAGATCAGCAGCAGCAGCCAAATATCGCCCCTTCCCATGAATAAGTTAAAGCCTCACCCCATGGGAGCCTAATTCTCCCGTTCTGCCTCAGTGTGGAGGAGCTGCCCAGTTACACTCAACACTGTGCCTACTCAGATTCATTTGCAAAGGCTCCGCCTCATCCCAGATAGGAAATCACTGAGCTCTTTCCTAACACCATGTCCTGTCTTACAAACCAATCACCTCATCAGTTTCTCTCTTCCAGAATAAAGTATCGCGGGCTCCCCTCCCACACACACAGCCACCGCATGAACACAAACACAGCATTTGTTAGCACTTTGCCCTTTCCATTTGTTTTGAGCTTCCTTTGGACTATTTCCTGAGTATTTCTCAACATCTGAAATCCACGACTAGGGGGCTGGTTGGTGCTGAATACAATGCAAGGATTAGAGGTTTTCTTTGGTTGTCAGAAAGATTTTGTAGGCTTTTAGATCCGGTCCTCGGATGCAGAAAACGCGAGAACTTTTGCCCCCCTGTGCCACTCACGCTGAATGGGTGGTTCTGCTCTATTTTAAAATCAGTTTTGAAAACGCACCATGTCATTACTTTTCACAAAATGACTTGGAAAGCATAAGTTCCTGCCAGAGCCTTTTCCCATTTGCTGAGTAACAAGCATCACCAGCCCGTGATGGTCTGGTAGGAGAAAACTGCGTGTTTCTCCAGAGTGTGGACCCTGTCCCTGCAGGTGGCCAACCGGGCATTTGGTTCTGTGTATTTTGTCTTACTTTACGCAAAGAACATGTAGAATTATGCATTTGAGCTCTAAAAATTTATTTTTTATGCTAAGCATATCCTAAAACAATATCGTTTTAGAGCTTATCTTACTGGAATTTGGATTCAGAAATGTCCACTCCTGAAAGTAAAAACCTCCCTCGAGGAAGGAACAGTTCAGCCGGTGGTAAGAAACCCCGGATGTGCCCACTTCTCCGGGGACAATGACTCGCACTACGGGGATTTATTTTAAATAATACCTGCTTTATGTGACTATTAATCATCATTCTTAAATTCATATTCTTTTAGGCAAAATTGAAAAGGTAAGGATGTTTGGTTTTTCCTAAGTCACAAAACCTACTGTTTGAAAGTTATGTACATGTTAAGTGGTTTTTTTCCAACTTAAAATTGTATTTATGTAGAGTTCATCAAATAAATCAAAGCCGTTACTACTTTATGAGGCTGCAAATTGGTCATTACTATTTTGTACATTATTCTTTCCCATATAACAATACTATAATTGCAAACTGACACTGTAGTAAAGATAGTGTTTTCTAATCATTGCCAGAAGGGATGTAGCCACAGCCCTTTGGAAGTCTTAAAGCAGCTGCAGTGGTCACCACCCTGTTTGCAAGCAGTATAAAGTTAATGCTTTAGCAGACCATTTTTGATCAAAATATTAAACACAACTATACAACCAAGGCAATCTTGGGCCGGGGATTTAACTCAGTGGTACAAGCACCTGCGTGGCAAGTGTAGGGTTGTAAGTTCGATCCCCAGTACCAAAAACAAACAAAAAGGTAATCTGAATTATATCTACTTACCTAAGGTTCATTTGGTAACAGTGTTTAGTTAGTATTAATAATAGAATATGAAATTTCTGCTGAAATCAATAGGAATTTATCCCTCTATGTCTAAGAGAGAGTACACTGGACTTTATGTATTCCTTGGTTAAGACAAGAATTATATGTATCTTAGAACTGAGCAGGGGCAGAGATTTGTTTCAGTGTCTGCTGCTGCTTTGCAGAACTGTTTGGAGATTTCCATCATGCAGCTGATGCTAGAACTGAGTTTGTCAGATCTTCCCCTAAGGAGAGCACAGGTGAGATCTTATGCGTCACATTCGAAGTATCATTTTGTTAAAAAAAAAAACTTCACACAGCTCCTAAAACATTGTCCATGATTTTTCTATTGTTAGAGCAGCAAACAAGGAATATTCCAGCTATGGAGTTACCCTTTTAACAATGAACTTGGTATGGAGAACAGGTGAGATGTTTGTTTTGCAATTGTTTAGATTACTGAAATAAAGCTCAGTATACATGATTAATCACGTGTAATGCAAGGACCAAAAACTAACCAGAAGAAATAGAAGTGCGGTGGGGGGATAGTGTGAAGTGATACAAATTCAGCCTAAAATCCGAAGCAGCTGCAGACGCAGACACCAGCGGATGGGTAAAGGCGCAGAGCTGCCCTAGCCTCGTGCAAAGGCTTAGAGGGGTGGGGCTGCCTTCTTGTAGAAAGGACATTTTAATGTTTAAATTGAAAAAATTATTACAGAATAAGACACATTGCTACCAGTCCTCTTCAGAATCTTCCCCCTCGCATCAAACACACCTCTCCCACCATCCCTGCCACTTTCTGAAGCAGTCTCCAAGTCTTCTTTCATGTCTTTACGAGGTGTGATCAAAAATACAGTGCACGCTGCTACCCGAGGCCATCGGACGGAAAGGCAGCCTCATACACACAGCCCCAGGTCCTCGCTCGCCTTATTCACGGGATCCGGCCCTCTGCGACTTCTGACTCTTCCCCAAAGTCAAAACGACCACGAAGAGTAAATGTTACAATCAGGTCAGGACGCTGAGGGAGCACAGCCATGCGACTAAAGATGCCATGCAAGAGGACCTGGTCGGCTGCTGCACAAAGTGGCAAGAACGAGGGACAGATGCGGTGCAGGAGGAGGATTTCTGAGGGAGAAGAACGGCAACGTGTCGTTCCCCAGTCATTTCCTTGAATTTCACTGGTTTTCAGCCACACTGCGTGAGAGGAAAGTGCTATTTCACGTGCCAGGAGCTACTTTAATTGCTTTGATGTGTGAGCAAGTTCAGTGCTCTAGCCAGTCTTACAGCGTAAGTGCCGCTGTCAGGACCCTTGACGTACAGATGGGGACCCCACGGTCTACAGTTAAGTAGCTTGCCCGAGTCACAGAGGTGTTGAACCAGGATGCAAAAATAGCTTGGTTCATGCTCACAGTTAGCACTGTTCATTCTAACTTCGCTGCGGTTGGATTCTTATTTTTTTGGTTCTTAAATTTCAGTTATACCTTAGAACAGACAGACTGTTTAAAAATACAGGTTACTGGTATTCAGAAAAGGCCTTTTCTTGAACACTGTTTTGTGTCAGTTTTACAGTGTAGTGTAGTCGGTGGGCATCCCGTTCCATTCCTCTCTGCTCGCGGAGTGCTTCCCTGGCTGGCAGCTGTCTGCTGCCGAGGATTTTACCTCACTGGGCCCCAGCAGAGCTGCCCTTAGGCGGCAGCGCAGGGGAAACCAAGAAGGGAGCTGGCTGAGCCGTGACTACGTGGGGATTGTTGCTGATGGCGACAGGACAGCCTTTTCTATGAGAAAGAACTCGGGTAGAGCAAAGAGTTTAAGGAGAGAGGGCAAAGAAAGGGGGCCGAATTCTAATCCAGGACAAAGGCACGAGCAGGAAGAGGCAGTGGTTGGGGTCACAGCCACGAGATCCCACCGCCGCACTCGTGTCCTGGCTACCGCTTACTGGATTTGCACCCTCAGCTCTTACTGTCCTTAGCTTTTTTTTTTGTACCAGGAATCAAACTCATGACCTCATGCTTGCTAGGCGGGTGTTTATACCACTGAGCTAAATCCCTGACTAATGTCCCTATCTTCAAAGGTGCAAAATTCAAGAGCCCATCTCTGGGGGCTCCTGGGAGAGCTCAGCAGGTCTTGTGTGTGACAGGAATTCACTGTCAGTACTGGCTGGCTCTCATCATGGTGCACACATATAAGTTTGGTATCAGGGAAATATTTTATTAAAAATGTTCTCCTCAACACACGGGGCACTGACATAATCACTACCACAAGGGAGAGAAAGTAATGCTAAGTTGCCCTCAGCACTGAACATCTCACAAAGTGCCCAGAGATGACCTTGTTCTCCTTCTCTGACCACCCAAGTCGGCGTGGCCATTTCTAGTTCACTGAGTCTGTGGTGGCAGAGGGGTTAGGACCCGGGCCTCTGCCTCCAGATTTCATGCTTTTTACTTGTATAGTAAAGAGTTTAAGAGATACAGGCTTGTATCTCTTAAAAATTGTACATTTAGATTTTTCTTGTGATTGTTCAAAGGCAAGACAATATCCTAATATTTAGCTAAATGAACACATTTATCACTTTCTATAAAAATGAAAATATGCTTCAAGATGCTAGACTTCCTTATTTTTACTATAAGGGAGCCTAAAAAAACAAAGAAGATATTGAAACTACATGCAATTAAACAAACCAACTCTTTCAATTTTTAGTTATCTTTAAAAAGCATAGAAAGAATCTATGGCCTGCCTTTTTTTTTTTTTTGTGCATTTCTCAGTATAATTTGTGTAGATTTTAGTACTAAATATAATGCCTACAAATACTACTCCTAAGATAATTACCAGAGACTGTGTCTGGGGTTGTTTGTTACACTGTTTACTATCTTTCCTTGTTACAATAATTTTAAAAAGTGAAGCAGTTCACGTAGAAGCCTTGGTTAATTTAAGTAACCTAAGTCTTTCAAAGTTTCCTTTTATTTAATGCTGGGGTCAGTAAGCATTTCATTTATTTCAGCTTGAGCTGCACAACTTTATATCATCTTTATATTCCGAAATTCATGTACCTGTAGAGGCAAAGTAGCCATTTTTGTCCTAGTCATGGCTTCAATGAGCTATTTTTAGACTTGCTGTTAGTTAAAAGACTCAGAGTCAATAATAGACTATTTTTTGGCTCATAATCTAGTGAGTTATATTTGTGCAAAGGGTGACCAATTAATATTTTAGGGTATATCTGACTTTATAGTTGTGTATAACTGAGCATATTTGGAATTTAACATGTTTGTTATATCTATCTACATATCTATCTGTATCTATCCTGGTCATCTATCATCTACGACTGAGAACTGAACATTAACCAATTTTGGTAAAGTTTATGTATTTATATCCTTGAAGCACACCTTAATTCTACAATAAAGCATTTACCAGTTACCTTACTTTTTAAAGGGAATTCGAAAACTCTTCCGTGGAAGCCGGCTTTGACGGGAGCGGTAGTTCCACAGAGCCCTGCACTCTGAGCCACCCTGCAAGCACCTGGGTCAGTGCGCGAGCTGCTTCTCACACCTCACTGCCGACGCCCAGTTTCTCCTGGTCCTACACTGATGGAGACTTTTTTAAGGGCCGAAATGAGCTTCAGGTGAATTCATGTTCCACTACCGAGAACACCTCCGGAGAAGCTTTGCCCACTCCAGCTTGTAATCAGGGACATGGGAACAGCAGTGTGGAAGAAAATTTAACAGATGAAAGTGATTTATCAGAGAACGAGAAGGCAAGTGACACCTTGCTCAGCTACACTAAGATGGACCTGGATTTGAAGCCAGAGACGATAGACAGCGTTGAGGAATGCTGCACCGAGGAGCCCAGCGAAGCGTTTCTGTACCCCGACTTTCTTCCCACTCCCTTCGACACTCTGGACTTGCACAAATTGGCCTTTTCAAAATTTGAAAACTGGAAAGCGGCCGTGGACCCTCAGGACAGCTCTACGGAGCGCCTGGTAACTCGGTTACTGGAACTGGAGAGATTACAGCACATGACGATCCAGAAGGAGCGGCCGCGCCTCCCTCTGCTGGCCTGCGGTTCAGCAGTTTCTGAACACCCGTCCGCCTCCAAAGCTGCACCAAAAGCAAGGCCAGCAAAGCCGCCTGACGCTCCGAGTGTCCCGGTACCTGGTGTGGATAAAAACCGAGACAAAGCGAAAACCAGTTCTGCTTCTGGCAAGCCTGAACAAAATACGTCAAGATGGCATTGCAGCGACGGCAGCAGAGGTAAATGGACCCCCAGACCACTGCCTCTGAGAAGTCCGTCCACCACAAAACCACCGGCTGCCACCTACGACGACACTAAGAACACCCAAAGTCCCATTTTAAACCCATGCCAAGAAGTCTCACCCAAGTCTAGTACCACCCAAACAAGCCAAGCACCGGTTAAAACGCTCTCAAAACGCTATCTGCCACCAAGATCTCCAATACCAGTTTCCTCCGTAGCCTTGTCTTTTCCTGAAAATCACAGGGAAGAACCGAAGACGCCAAAGACCAGAAAGAAACTCCACCATAGAACTGTACTACTGAAGAGACCGTTCTACATTCAGAAGCTAAACTATTTGTCACCTTTTATAGGTAAGGGTAAGTGCTCACTCATTGACCAAAAATAACTCTTTCATACATTCCATGGTGAGCAAATCCATTCTAAGGAGTCCAGCTAAAATGTGCTTCATTCATTCTGAGATACAGGCATTAAAAACAGAAATCACACAATTGCTTGGTTGATTTGAAATCAGTGCTGCAGTGTCTGTGCAAAGGGCCTCTACACCGACACATCTGACAATCTTTTGCACTTGTTTTGAAGAGAGGTTTTACTTTGTAAACCAAAATGTTCAGAAGATTGTTCGTTTTTTTGCAGTATAATCCCACTGTCAATAAATGGTATAACTTATTGCTGTTGTAGCCTTGTGTGTTCAGTCACAGTCATATAAGAGAGTAAATTTGGTCAGCGATTTCCTGAGTTCTTCACCTCAGACGATGCTCCCTCTCCACGCATCTGACGTCCTGACCTCTGGGTATTTTCTTATCCCTTAAAAATGTAAAGAAATTGCTGTCTCCATAAAGAACACACAAGAGGTGCTAGATGCTCTCAAACCCTAACCTTTTATTTCTTGGGCCCCTTGTTATGTATAATGGAATTAGTATCAGTTCTCACTTGAGCTCAACTGCCAAACGGGATGGAATAGCCTGTCTCCACCCAGACCTAGTCTTTCTGAAATGCGGGGGGAAACACTGCTGAGAACGCAGCCACGGAGCAGCCGAGGTCTCCTGCTGCTGGTCTCCCCCACGGCTGGACCTTGCTGCCTTCAACGCGGTTAACTGAAACCCAGAGAACTCATGGGTGCGGGGGCGGGGGTGGGGAGTCTTGGGGGGCGCTACAGGATGGAGAAATTTCATTCCACTTTAGAGTCAGGGAAACAAGGACATGAGAGTCCTGCCTTCAACCAGGCTCACTGAAACAGGCCGCCGGAGCGAGACACGTACGGAAGCAGGCATTTTAATGCAGGTGGTTCTTGGCTCACACTTGGGAAAATGTGAAGACTCGATGTCACAAATCCCAGGTTTGGATACTCTGGGGCGTAGTGTGGGCTTAAGTGGATAATTGTCGAGTTCACATTGTCCGATTAGGACTTCAGACATTACCAAAGGCACCAAAGGCCTCTCCCGGCCCACCAGTCCCGCACAGCTGCCGTTTTTATGCACCATCCTCCCGCAGGAGCGGAGAGCCTGAGTTCAGGATGGGGGAGGTGGATTAAAGGATACCCAGCTCGTTTCCTTTTTCCTTTAGCAAGAGCAAGGCTTAATTTTTTTTCTTTTTTTCCTTTTTTAGACAGGGTCTCGCTATGCAGTTCAGGCTGGCTTTGAGCTCATTTTGTAGTCCAGGCTGGTCTTGAACTCACAACCATCCTCCCACCTCAGCCTCCCCGAGTGCTGGGATTACAGGCGTGAGTCGCCACGCCCAGCTAAGGCTTAGTTTTCTTAGAAGCAGAGTCACAGGGAGTGTACTCAGTTTTTCAAAAGAATACTCTGGAACTGTCTCAGCACATCAGAAAATGAACTGGTCTCCTGTAAGAAAACGTGTTCCACAGCCCAGGGTGGTTCATCTCTCTTTCACATCCATACACTGCAAAACTGGACTTCCTGGTTGCTGCCAATCATCTTTCTTCTCCTTCCCATGATTCCCTAGTCTAAGGCCTGAACCTTATTTTTGATCAGCCCTTTGTACCCACTCTTCTACATACTTGGGATTTTATTTCAACTTCAGGGTCACAATGATGACTTTGTCTTGAGGGATATGTTTGTATCTTACCCTGCTAGGGGTCAGCAAATGGACCCCCACATCTGGGATTTCCTACCTCAGTGGTTAAGCACTGACTGGCCCCAACTGGCAGGTCTGAATTTGAACTCGGCTCCTCACCAGCTCACACACTGCAGATCATCTCATTGACTGTTCCCCTCATTTGTGAAGCGGATGGAATTCTTTCATCTCTCATGAGCATAAGGCCTAGGGGACTGAGGGTAAAAAGCGTCTGACCTACAGAGACATTCAAAACATACAAAGGAAAATGCACAACCCCGGAGGCTTACAGTAGCCCTGGGACTGAGTTTAATGTCAGCAGAGAGTGATTGCCAACAGGGCACCTCCTGGACCCCTGTACTGCAGGACAGCTTTGGGTGCTGCTCAAGTGCAGGCAGCCTGTGGGCCTCATCTCTGGAAAATTCTAGCTATGAACTTACCTGCCAGGTCCTCGGGCGGAAGGTTCAGGACACAGGCGGAAACAATGTTCCATGTTTGTAAGGTAAGGTTTTTAACTGGGAACCAAACCAGGCTTCTTCGTTTAGGTCCCGAACTGCTCCGTGTAAAACACATAGAAGCACTGCCCTTTTCAATTATTAGGCAAAGGCACTGGTAACTTCTAAGACAAGACCACAGTGCTGTAACTGGGTTCCTAGAATGAGACAAGCGGTGAGTGTGTGGGACCTGGACGTGTGGCCATCTCCTTGCCCCAAGGACGTGAGGGAAAGGCTTGGTTCAGACAGGCAACAGCTGCACAGTGACTCGGGGAAGGGAGCGCCACTGGGGCTGGCTGTGGGCATGGAAGCCAGAAGCCAACTTCTACCATTATTTCTGCAGAAAACACCCAGTAACTCTGTTCAAGGACATTTAATCAGGACTGCTCGAAAACCCCATGTTTAGTTCTCCATTCTTCAGACTCTGAGCGCACCGTGCCACCTGACTGAGGGGTGTGACCCAACTTTGTCATCCAGGCATGCAGGAGCCCAGCACTCTGCCAGTAGGACATCTGAGCCCTTCTCTCAGCTGAACCACAAGTGAGGCCTTTGTGGCCCTGGCAGGGTGACCACAGGGCTCCCAGCCCAGCAGCCCGAGTAGAAAGTTACAGCAGGACATCTATGGGGTCACTCGAGCCACTGCCATCTGACCCAAACCAGCCCCCACTGCACTCAGGGGCGGTCAGTTCTGGCTGGGTGTGTGTGTGTGGGGGGGAGTCTTCACACCCTTCCTGTCCCTGGAGCCCTGTCTGGCACACACCGGAGAGCCACACTCCTCTGTCCCTAGGCTTACTCACTTTGAAAATGCTGAAACTTCCAAGAAAACAGAGGGGCGAGTTGAAGGTAGACAGCCCGTCGTGTGCTGGATAACTTATTTACATTGAAGGAAAAGGGAGTCAGCTCCCGACTGTTTTCACTGCCAGGAAAACCAGGGGAGGGGCACGATGCACCCCTCTGGGGACTTCTGCGAGGACAGCGCGGTGTCGGGGGCGCTCTGGGCCACACCCTTCCCTGTCCCCGAGGTGCACAGGCATGTCCGTGGCCTCCGAGGGTGTGACAGGACTCTTCTGTCACAGCACCCACCAGGCCTGGCTCTGTCTGAGCAGCAGCTAAGCAACGCGAAACACAGTGATCATAACTGAAAAACAAAACACGAGACGCCTAACTCAAGCAAAGGAAAACCCTCAGCGGACGATGTGGTAACAGCAGGTGGACTTTATTGTTTCCAGAAAGTCAGCCAGCAATGTGTGCTGCTAAAATGCACGTCACAATTCAGAGTGGGAACATCAACAGTTAGGACACACATGGCGGATCCCCAGAGACCAGCTTCTGCATCTTGGTCACTAAACGGAAAGGTTCTTCAGAAGAAAGTCCCTTACCCTACATACAGAAGGAGAAGAAAAATTAAGGGTGCCACAGTGAGTCCTCAAAATAACCGGAAAACACTTTAAAGCCATTTAGTGTACATCACTGATAGGTAAAAAACACAATGAGCCTGATGTAAACGTTTCTCTAAGGAGGACGTTTCATAGGGTAAAACTCACGCTGGGTGTACGCTGGAACTAGGTATAGCGACAGCACCCTTCGGTGACGCTGTCTGATCCCGAGGGAAGGAAGCTACACCTAACTTCAGCTGCATCCCCTGCTGACACGTAAAGGGACTGTCTCTACCTGTTTACTACCCTAAATGATACTGCGACCCTGGAGCTGCCCCGGATTTCTGAGGTTTCACTTCCGACTACGCAGCTGGAGTTCTATGGACAGATGATGATAAAACACAGGTGAACAGCGCAGAGGCGCTAGACCTGAGACATTGAATTTCTCTGCCCCCACCACATACTATAAAACCGCACATATTCTGTATTGTAAGAATGTCCTGAATGTTTATTTTGTTAGGAAAAAAGTAGCAATTACAATGGTAAGGTGAAAACTTTACAATACACAGTTTGGGAAGTAGAGTGAACTGAGGAAGCCACTGGAGGGTGACGGGGGGTGGTGCTATAAGAACCCGGGGTGGATGCCAACACGGGGTCTCACTCTAACAAGATGCTGCCCGCCCCAAGCTTTCACAGCCGTCTGACGGCCTTTGAGAACAGCCCTACTCACAAGGCGTCTAAAATGTCTGCGCTCTACCGTTCTCCCCCAGTTCCAGAAAGAACAGTAACACCTTTGAGCATTTTGCCTAAGGCTTCCATGAAGTCTGAGTCACTTGACAGCATTTTTGCCATAAAGTATACGAAAGCCAAAACCTCAGACAGATAACTATATCTGAAAACTAAGTTATTCTGACAAGCATGAAGTTTGTTAAGCAGGATGATCTCAATTGAACAGATCTTTAGAAGTTCCAAATTTCTGTCTCAGCTGAATTACAAGTTCAGACAAAACCCTGTATATGTATATACGAGAGTTTATAGGGTTCTCTTTAAACAGACAAATTCAGGAAACGAAATTTGGTCATAGGAAATCACAGTATCACTTTTCTCATTTTCCCTAAGAAAAACCAACAACAGCTCTGAATATCTTGTCTAGGTTCAGACCATGACCAGAACACTTGCTGAAATTAGGTTACTAGAGGATAATCAAAGAACAGGAATTAAAGCAGCTGAGCAGTCCTCTTCAATGCCAATTCTGAGTCTTCCGCCATCTGCCGGAAGTTCAGGAGTACCGCAGGCGCTGACTCGGGTACCTGCCGCTCCTCGGTGACCCTTAGGATCCCACCCTGACGGGGCCCTCACCCCCCAACGGCTATCTCGGAGGAGCGGGAGAGGAAGGAGAGCCGAGTAGTATGATGAAGCAAGCACTTACAGATGGACACCATGATCAGCGCTACCGTTCTAAATACCAAGCACTAGGGAAACCCAAATCATAATGCTGGGAACTAAAAAGTAAGACAAAACTAAAAGGAAAAGTTTTTTTTAATCTTTTATAGGACAGAAACCTTAGCTCATGTCTTCTGGTTGTCATCATCTTCCACTGAGCTGCACCTAAAACACAAAGAACAAGTAACAAGCAACTTTGTTTTTTAAAGAACAGGCAATAATCTCGAAGGTATATGATGAACTGTTTCTAGGGAAAGTTAACTTACTAAACAATTATCTACAATGAAGCCAAGAAAATCACCAGAAGCATTAAAATGTAACTGTTTTGCAGTGAAAGTAACTGCTAGAGACTATTGCACGGAAATAAACCACGGTGGGGGCCCCTACCCACAGCCTCAAGGTGGGCGCGCTGCAGCCGTGACGCCCGCTTTACAGGGCATCACTCCACCTGCGGATGAGAACAATCACCTTGACTTATTTAGGTCTAAACCATGGAGACACGGGGCGTGGGTCGGGCTGGCTTTTTAGATCATCTATCACCTTCCTGGCTGTGCAGTTCCTGCCATGTCTTTAAATGGAGCAAAGCCCACCAGGAGAATGCTGCTATTCTGATTTTCCATTCTTGAATGCACCAAAACGTGCATGCTTGTTGTAATTAGGTGCCTGGGTGAATAAAAAAATCCCATTTACAATGTAAAAATATTACTTAAGCCCCTTCAATCGGATTGTTTCTCAGGGAGACAAACATTAACCCCAAAACAGAAAAGATTACGTACGCTTTTGGACATTGTCTTCTACCATGTTAAAAATAGAATTCCCTTGTCATACAACCAGGTTGATTTACATGATTCTGTTTTAAATTGTTGCTAAATGTTTATCTACACATGCTGTCAGAAATAACCTTGTTAAGAAGGTGAAGCTGGTGTCTCAGCAAATCAGACCCCTTGGAGAAGGCGGTGAATGGCCTGTGCCCCGTTTTCCTTTTTCTCTTTCCGCACCATCAAAAGGAAAAGTGAGAAAATAGCAGAAACATTAGTTAAATCCTGAATTATATCCCATGACCTAAAGGAATAATCTGACTACTCTGAAAGCTGACAATAATTGTAGGGCTTTTCTGGATGAAATAATTAGCACCCTAGTTACTAATAAAATGATCAACTAGCTAGACTTAAATCTTTAAAACAATACTATCAATAAAAGCTTTCCAGGGAAAAAAGGTCTCTTTTAACTACGGTTTACCTGACTTACCAGGACTGCAGACAAAACTTTTAAAAATGGCTACGAATGCCTTGTTCACAGAAGACTTTATTATCTATAGAGATGCAGACTGAAAACACACAGAGCTCTGCATGGCCGCCTCGCATGCAGCAGAGCAGTCTCCACTTTACAATAAGTGAGTGTCAACTGTTTTATGCAATAGACAACACTTTAAGGTCACAGTCTCAAAGAAAAGCTTCATTTACAAAAGAAATAAAAGGTAAAGAAGCAATTACCGCTTTTAAAAAGCAGCTGCTTTGTTCAAGAGTGGAAGGTTTATGCCTGTATTGAAAGACAACATGATCACAAATAATGAAAACAATGAACAAATGAAAAACATTGTTACCATAAAGCAGTACACTTTCAAAATGACATACAAATAGTTAAAAATTTCATTATGTTGTCTATCTAACCTTTAAATATGAGGACTTTCAGAATTAGGCCTCAACATTTGTAATTAGTAAATGAAAACTATGCATTGTTTCTAGGTCACTAGGAACTGTATTTAACAAAATGTATATAAAGTCTATAGCAAGTTGATTTAAAAAAGGAAAGTTATAAGAAACAGTACACTGAAGGCGCTCTACCCATCAAGCGCATACTCTTCAAATTTTAAATGTGATGAACAGAACAGAAATTATAACTATGCCACAGTTGCAATGCCAGAAAATAAAACAAGATCAGTTATCACACATGCAGGGAATTCTGCCACAAAGCTAAGATCCCTCATTTGTCAATTATTCCAATAAATTCACACCTTACAACACCAGTGATGTTGATGGCGGCTTACCTTCAGTGTACTGAATGCTGTACACAACCTGCGTTAAAAGAGCAGAATCCTGAGGCAGGCTCAGAAGGAACAGCCCCCTTCGGCACTGACTACGCCCAGGGCATGCTGCCGTGGCCTGCACACACACACCTAGGAAAACGTGAATATAAACAGCATTTATGCTGGCCATTTCATCGGGAGCCCAAATGCAGCCAAGTCTGCTACAAATGAATCAACCACCCGGCATTGCTACTCATGTATAACAGAAGCTGTTGTCTTTATGTGAACTGCAACCATATACATTAGCACTATAATCCTGTGCAGTCTCGGCAACTAAAACAGTTCTACAGTGAAACTTCACGTAAGACACAAAACAGATTAACTAACATTTCTAAAAGAAATATCACCCTTGGTGTTAATTCAAATATATCATGCTTCCTCAAATTTGCTGGAGAAATATTTATAAGTTTATATACATTAATAATAAACTGCTGTGAAATTTCTTCAGTCTTTGTATTAATTACTCAAACCCTTGCAGTTTCTTCATCTTGCTTAAATTTTTTCCTGGATGAATGCGTGCTGTAGGGCCTGGTTGATGCTAATTCGTTTAGCTGGGTCCAACATTAGGATCTGGTCCAACAAGTCCTTCAGCTGGTGTACTTTTTTACGCTGGTCTTCAGGAAGTCGCTGGCACCCAATCAAGTCAGCCAATAGGTCCTTAGTTGGATTAATGGTGCTCATGACAGTAACTTTCTCCTAAAAATAATTTTTACAATGTGTATCTCTAAATAAGTTACTAAATGTATGTAACTTAGCACAATTTTTTTCTGTGCATCCCAAACATTAAAACACACCAAGACTTTGTTCACTAACAGCTCTGTATCTTCTGTATTTTTCAAGAAGCAATCAATGACTTGGAAATGGTCTCCACCTTCACCACGGAAACGGCGGGCACCCACTGCCTCAACTACTTCCCTATCCCTATTCTGATGGGGAGCACAGGAACAGACCAACACTCCGGGGGCTTCTCAGCACCTGGACAGAGCCAGGGACACAGGATGTGCGGGGCAGAAGCAAGGGAATCATCACATCGCCCTGAGGGAAACTGCTTTGGAAAGCTGAGCTCACGGCAGGTGGGAACCCAATGCCTGTGAGGAACTCAAATGCTGTTTAACGGGCAAAGGAAGGCCAACAGGGCACCTGGAGCCAAGAGGAGGGCACAGTAAGATCTGCTGACGAACGATCACTCTGGGGGCAACACAGGAGCTGCAGGGGAACCAGATCAAGAACACGGCTCGGGGAGGGGCTCGGGGAGGCAAGGCGGGGCGAGGGCCTGACGATGATCTAGCACAAAACTGTTTATTCTGCTGCTGGGAACCGAACTCAGAATCTTGTGCTTGCCAGGCAGGCATTGTACCACTGAGCTACAACCCTGACCCCAAAAGAAAAGTTTTTCATATCATAATGTATTTTGAACTGCAGAATTATATATTCTATTAACCAAAAAACTTCACAGCTCTGAGTACCAACTGGTACTCAGTTCATTAACAACAAAATAACTATTTAACATAGTATGTGGAAGTAGACTTACCCTCTCTGTTACTTTATCAACTTCTATGTACATGAAGTTGAGATTTTGATCAAAATGCTGATCTTTGAATACACCTTTCCGAATCATCTACAAAAAAGAAAAAAAAAAAAAAAACCACACACACAAAAAAACAGAAAAACAAAACAAAAACCTGGGGTTTTGAATGTTACGAAACAAGTCTAGCCTAATAACAATCTAATGCATAACAATTCACACAATATATTATTAGTTTATTTGACCTGATTTTCTTGCTCTCAGAAATCTGTTAATACCTACACAAGAGTCAATTGAAATGCTCAATCTAAAACTGCCTAGTAATAAGAAGTTACATTTCCCAGGTAGTGATCTAAACCAATTATAACACCATGTGATGCTTTCACTATTCAGAACTGGGGATTAAGTAAACCCTTGAAAGGTACTTGTGTTTAGGAAAAAATACTACACAGCTCAGTCCTTTCCAGTTAGAAAAGTATTTTACAAATTATGTTCCAACAACCATAATACAAGTCAGACGTCACTAAAGTACTGACACAGCTAATCTCTGTGGAAATAACTGTAAAAGCCTAATGGGACAGAAGCTGGACAGTATCTAAAAACCATGATGGCTTCTGATCTATGAGAAAACCAGTAACTCTTTCTCGAGTTCAGTCTAGCTAAAAACGTTACAAAGCTAAGGCTATTAGCATATTAAGGCTATTATACGGCCCCTGGATATTTTAATAAATTTCTAAAGTGTTTTCTTTCATGTTAAGTAGAAACTAGTCACCACCCCTGGTGCGTCCAGGGTGACTGTTACAAAGTGCATTTTCCGCTACCTTCCTTTCTCCGACAGCTGCTGGCCCTCAGTACTCAATGTTCCTACTCACAATCTGCTCCCTAATTCTGTCCTTGTTTTAACTCAGGGTCTGCTCTGATTGTCCTCTCATCTCCCAAACATATCTGCGGTTTCCACAAGGCTATAAACACATGTGTGCACCCATACACTGTTCTGCCTGCCACTGAAAAGAGAGTTCTTTTTTTCTCCTTTGATAGCTCTTGTATGATTAGAATTAATCTGAACACCAGAAACACAGAAGGAGCTGAGGAATCATCCATCACAAGCTATGTCCCCTCTACTAACTTTGTTTCATGGCTACAGGGTTAAATGCCAGCAATTTACTGATCTATAAGAAGCCAAGCCCTTGAAAGCAGTGATTCGTGCTGTGTCCTACCTTATTTGGCATCTTTCCTTTGAGATCCATGGCAAGCTTCAACATGTGGTTATTGGTTTTACCAGGAAACAAGATTTTTCCGGTATAGAGTTCATATAAGGTACAGCCTACAGACCACATATCTATCCCATAGTCATAGCTTTTACCTATAACTGGAAACAAATGCAAGTTTTAATACACAGGGTAAGAATGACTACAACTTTAGTTTCGTCACTTGGCAATTAGTTTCATGTTCTTTCCCACTAATTCTTTTATTCCTTTGCACCAGGGATCAAACTCACAACCTCACACTCATGAGACAAGTGCCTGAGCCACTGAGCTAAATCCCTGGCTTTGCTACCAATTCTTTCTTCTTTTTTTTTTTTTTAGCACTGGGGATTGAACTCATGACTGTGCGCTTGCAAAGCAGACGCTTATGCCGCTGAACTAAATCCCCAGCCCTTCTACTAATTCTTAACAGACTTAAAAACCTTTAAAAATGGAGGAGTGGAAATTGGGTGACACACATTTCTTTTCTACTTCCCATTTCACCTTTGGTGGAGATGCTAATCAACCTCAACCAAGGCAACAGGAAGAGAAAAAGCAAAGCTCTAACCCAGTCCACAGCCGTGACGCTCAGACCTTGAATACACCATTTGGCTGCTCCTGCTCGGCATGACCGAGAGTCCTGTGACAGCTACCTCTGTTCCTCCCAGGAGGAGCCATGTGCCCTGGCCCTGCTGCAGGAAAGGCCTACTGCGGCTGCTGCAGTGACGCACGACAGTGTGTGGCCATCAGATCTGTGTTCCCGTGAGAGAGGCTACCCGGTCAGGGCCACTGAACAACTTACTGATCTCGGGAGCACGATAAAATCTACTGACAAGGTAAGGCGTTATGTCGTTGTCTGCAACGTGGGAAGCTGATCCGAAATCACAGAGCTTTAAAATCGTTTTCGATTCATTAACCTGTAAAACATTTTTAAAGAGAATTTAGCCCATGACAGGAATAATAAACACAAATAAACGAAATCAGCTTTAAGTCATATCAATTCCAATGCTGAGAATACATATCACTCATTTTAAAATTCCTTCTCCTTTTTACAACTCAGTTTCCTAATTATAAAACTTGAAAAGCTTGCAAACATTTTACTACAACTGGAAAAACTTTTTAGTGAAGAAACAAGATAACACTATGTACATTTAATGAATGAATGGCATTTTAAAAAGTGAGGTAGCGGGAGAAAAATCTCATTCACAAAGCAAAGCATCCCTCAGAACCCACTCAGGTAACTGAAGAAGCCGGACTCCCTCTGAAGGACAGGAGGCACCAGTCCGGAGCCAGCCTTCAGTCAGGGCCCACAAGTACCAGCCATCGGCATAGAAAAAAAAGCGGGAGGACAGGACAGAGCGGGAGGAAATGGCGCGGGCTGCAGCTAAGACTGGCCCAGGGCTCCTAGACGAGCGGCGTTAAGGGTCCCAAATGTCCCGAGCCCCTTAGGGCTAAAGGAGCTACCAGTCAGGGAAATGGTGTGAGTGTCCCGCCAAATGACGGCATGGCTCACACCAGTCGGGGCCCCCGGTCCCTGGTCAATGCCACATGAGCGGCCATGGTGACACTGGCCGAGGAAGGCTGGCGCTGCACCTGCCCGCTGCTCGCCCCGAGTCAGGACTGACAAGTGAGGGGACTCTTACTCCACAGTCCCTGCCCCTCCTCTAAGCCACACACAAACACTGAGCTGGGAACGGAGCTGGCCCAGGGTTCCCCACCCCAGAGGACACAGCACCTCCCAGAGCCCTGGCACTGTCCAGGGCCATCAGAGCGAGGCGCACGCTGCAGACTGGGCTTATGACACCAATCGGCAGCCGCGGGGAAAAGCTAGCACAGACCGGTTACTTTAGCGCACATCAGTGGTGAGTCTCTGATGGGGTTAGGAAAATAGGTACCCTACAGTCCAAACAGACAGAACAAAGGCTAGAAGCTTTCTCTCTATTTTGGTGGCAAAGCCAGGTCCCAAACCCAGGACTTGCACAGTGGGTTAAGTCCCCGGCCCTTGTATTTTTCACTTTGGGACGAGGTCTTGCCAAGTCCCTGTCACCCAGGCTAGGCTCTGACCCAGGGTCCTCCTGCCTCAGCTTACCACTGTTGGACTTACAGATGTGCACTATACACCCGGCTTGGAAAATTCCTTAAAGCTTTTTATAAGTTGAAGCTGATTCAGCTAAGGAAACCCCAGAGCCATTTTAAAGTTAGAGCTGAGCAGGGCGCTCTCCAGATAGCTGTCTGCCTCGGATCAGCAGGGCCATCACGCACCTGTGCACGCCACTGTGCTCCTCCTGTGCCTGTGCCCAGGCTCAGCCCTGAAGCCTCGGGCATGCTCGGCCTGCTCCAGCCTGGCTCCACCTGCACTGGCCTCACGGCCACCTGCCACACAACTTCTCAGCCTCCATGATGAGGAGACTGCGCTCTCCTCATCAACTGCCGCTGAAACCACGGGCCGAGAGCTCCGGAACCTCATTAACCAGCAACAGCTCCATGCTCTCTGATGTTTGAGGGTTTCCTTCTCAGGAAAAGAGAATTCCTAACAGTGATTCCCTCACATCCATGGGAAAGCCTCTAATAGTTAGTTTACCCTTGATTCAAGGAAAAGTGAGACCCTAAAAACAGCAGCTCCTGCCGGGATGCTCAGCAGCTCATGTGCCTGCTGCCCGGTGAGCGCAAGGCCCCGAGTCCAATCCCCGTACAAAAGCAAACCAACCCCAGCGGTTTCTAGGACCCAGGCGCACACGCTGGTCTAGCTGCCAGACTTACCAGGATGTTGTCTGGCTTGATATCCGCATGCAGGATGTTGCATCTTTTAAGGAGTTTCAGTGCCAGGAAGAGCTGCTGACTGTAAGATCTTACAGCTTTAATATGCAGACCTACATCCTTACCATACTTTTTTAATACCTCTCGTAAATTCATACTTTTAGGAGACAAAAAGAAAACAAAGCAAAACAGGGGTTAAAATACAAAATGTAGTTTTATAAAAGGCAAAAAGAAAAAAAATTCACACATAAATTAAAATCAAGTGCAAAATACAATTTACAATGAAAACATTCTAGGAATTCCCTCCTCATTGCTGATAAATTATCAGAAAACTAACTCCTGCCCCAAAGTTAAGCTACAAAACAAAATCCAAGAGCCGCCTGAAGAGACCCAGCCACCCAGATCTCTGCCGCCGTACCTGAGAGGCTCAAACACGAGACAGAGGTGCTGCTTGTGATAAAAATGTCGGAAGAGTCGCAGACAGTGGAACTTGTCATCGGGATCAGCATCATTAAGTTTCTTCAAGAACTCCAGTTCTTTTAAACCCGTCTTTTGCCTGCAAGTGAAAGAAAACCAGGCCTAAACTAAACACACACGGCGCTACAGAGAGCAGCATCTGCTAGACCCAGGCTGATGGGCTGGAGGATGTATTTTAAATACAAGAATAAATCTGCATGGTTTATTCTTAGCTGAGTACATCCACGCACAGGATTAATCTCCAAAATAACCAACGGATACACAAACACTGAGCAGCAAACCAGCGTGGCTCTGAGGGAAACCAATCTTGCCCACTTTATCTCTACATGTCTCGGTAGCCTGCTTTTTAACAAGAATGGAGTCACACTGTAAAATCGTCTCCTAGTTCCCTTAATTATGAAGTCGCAGATAGGCCTTAGTCAGTTTTAACATTTGGTTATTCTGAGTATCTGGTTATAATTTGTTAATAAACTACACTGTAAAGTGAGTGTCTCATAGAAGTTTCTCAAGCTTTCTAAGCCTATGCAATATAAACAAGTAAAAATTTACAGTACTTCATCCCAGCATTTCAAAGCCAGTAAACTGACTTTTTTTTTTCCATCTTTTTTGAGACGAGGTCTCACTATGCAGTTCAGGCTGGCCTTGAGCTCACTTTGTAGCCCAGGCTGGTCTCGACCTCGCAATGATCCTCCTGCCTCAGCCTCCGGAGTGCTGGGATTACAGGTGTGAGCCACCACGCCCAGTTCAGTAAACTGATTTAAACACCAGCTCTGTATGTGGCATATACAATGTATCAAGACACAGGCACAGTAATTATTTATTCCACTAAAGTGAAAAGTTAAGAGATCAGACACAAATAATTCCCTTGATGAGTTAATAAATGAGTTGTTTTCTGAAGTCCACCATGTGTTCACCAACTTTCCATTTCTCACTTCTGGTATTAAGACATTTCAGCAAAAGACAGCATAAAAGCAGCAGCAGAAGGGAAGCATCCAACTCCTACTAGCTTGCGCCAGGTACGAATGAATTCAACACAGCTGGCCTACGGTTCTAGGACTTGATGTCACCACATGCCTGCAAATCAAAAGCCCAGCCAAAAGGAACTGCTTCTGTCATTTTATAGATGCAACACTCTTTGCAGGCCGTGCTGCACCTTAAAGAGGACTTGCAGGGGTCGGAACCTGTGTCACGAGGGCTCTGAACTTACATGAGCTCGTTGTTCCTGATGATCTTCACAGCCACCTCCTGGTTGGCTCTTGCGTTATCCCTGGCGCGCACAACATTGCTGAACACGCCTTGCCCGGTGTAGCCATACACGTTGTAACGCTTGTCTAAGACTTCACCTATATTCACACCTAGAAAAACCAGGGAAGAGCTGATCGTGATGCACAGAATCAGAAAGCAGGAACAGTGCAGTCACTTCAATATGAGCGCTGGTTTTCCAGAATGGAGAAGCACAGCCATGCCCCAGCTATTATAAGCAATGCTTGTCCTAGCAAGTGCCGATGACTTTCACACCGAGCAGGCAGTAAATGGACTCCCTGACACACTTGCTGCTGCAGTCCTTCTGCGGGACACCACCACCTCTCTGGCCCCCCACGTGACTTGGTATCTGTTTGGATTCACGCGAAGATGAGGGAGTAACATCAGCTCCCTCGGGAGGACCCCTCAGGGCTGAGAGCGGCTGGGAGCAGCCTTGGGCTGTAGTTAAGGCTTCCCCTCCCCTGGAGCTGTGGCGCCCCAGCCAGCTTACCAGAACAGGAAACAGGCAGCTGCTGGGAGGGGCGAGATACCCTAGTAAGCCACGGAACTGGGAGCGCTTCAGTCACGAAACGCACCATTTCAAAGTCCTCCATCCGTGTACCTGTGACCCACACAACGTCACCTTTACAGAGTCTTAGGACCAACTCGCACTTACGATAGTAGCCTTCCGCATCGGTCCAGTTGTCTCTGAGGTTGGGGTTCTCTTTGAAATCTTTCCCGATGCCAGCGGCCCGAAGACGAGCACTCTGAAATGAAGGGGCAGCATGTGAAGGACTAAAAAGGCGCCCCAAGCCAAAGAGTCACTACTCATCAGGCCAATGTGACGCAGCTGGGATGGCACTGCACGCTGCAGGGACACTGGGAAATGTCCAGTGTCCTCAAAGCTCTCACGATTAGGATCAGGGTGTTATAAATGAAAACGAGATCTAGTTTCCTTTAGCTGGAAACAGAGTGGGACAAAACAGCCAGGCTGGCACTGAACTAGCAACCTCAGGTAGTGGCCCGTCTCACTTGTCAGTGTCACCGTTTCCCGGGCTACCTGCCCACATGGACAGCATCTGTGCTCCTGCCACACACGCACAAGACATAACAACAGTCACCGGCCGCACTTGCTGTGCACGTGTGCAAAGCTAACACCACACCTAGAACGTGGTAGAAACACTGCAGGTCCCGGGGTCCACGATGTCCACAAGAGCCTCCCACCCTGCTACCGCCTAGACACTCAACGTCCTCCGTGGGCCTGTGTGCCAAAGCCTGGCCTCCACAGTGGCGCTACTGGAAGGCGAGAGGAACTGTGTACGAGGGGCCTGGAGTCCTCTGCTCATCAGTAACGTGCTCCTGAGAGGCAACTGTAGGCCCCTCCTTACTTTTCTGCCCCTTCCTAATGGCAAAGGAGGAAGCCGGGCTCTGCCACACGCTTCTGCCACGAGGCAGTGCCTTCCTGTGCCCAGGGCAACAAGATTCCCCCCGACTGTGGCCTGCAACCTGAGACCAAGAGCCAAAAAGAGCTGCTCCTGCTCAATTCCTCATCTCAAGACTGTGGCGACGGACAGAAGGCTGAGGGACACAGATGTCACCTAGGCAGATGACAGGTGCTGGCGCACCGGCCGTTTCAACACCCGTTCCTTAACTCACCTACTTCCAGGGCTCCCACTGCGGCCTACAGAGCACACTGCAGAGGACCGGGGCCACATGCCAGGGTCTTCCAGGTCCCTCCCACTGTGTATGTGACCCCATCTTTATTACCCCTGTTATGTTTGGCTTCTCCACTTGCTCTTAGCCAATAATACAAGTAATTCCTTGATTAGTTAATAGGTGAGTTATTTCCTGGAGTTCCTTAGCAAGGCACCAATTATATATATATATATGCGTTTTAAAATTTGTTAAAAATGGCCTCACACTTCTGAATGTATTTTAAGACTTTTTCAACAAAAAGCACTGTAAAATTTTCAGTCCATATTTTTGTAACATTTCCAACTTTTCAGTGCATACCGCCAAGCCCCAAATCAATGAGCTACAACACAGAAACGTGAAGTGGCCTCTGTTCTGAAGGTCTGGAAAGCCTTCAGACACTGCCCGATCTTCACACACACCTGGGTACGGGCGCGCTGAGCACACACACAGCACAGCGTGCACGGGGCCACTTGGTGCTGGGCCTTCCAAGGCAGCTCTGCAACACACAGGTGGGTTCACGGTTTTGTAAATGGCACCGCAGACCAGACTCCAGGCCTGCTCGACACAGGCCAGCCGAGGGCCTCGTGCTCAACTCTACCCCAGGCCCTCGGCACCACTTGTTCCTGAGATTTCTGACAAAATCTCAGATTAGGGCAAAGAAGCCAAAACTAGTAGTTTCCAGACACCACCCACCCAGACCAGCCAAATGCTCACATCCAAATAAAGGAAGGCTTGCTCCATCACCTGAGTTCTAGTCTGATTTCTGCACTTACATGAATTTATTACACTTTTTCCTTTTTACCAATTAAAGTTACTTACATCAAAATATGCAGCAAACATATCATCAGATTCTGTAAACATATCAGGGGCCAACAGCTTCTTCTGAGATGAACCTTAAAGGAAATGAGCATTAATATTTGAAAAACAGACACAAATTAAAGCACAAGTAAATGAAAGTCATAGTAACTCAAGCATGTTTTCCTTCTTGCACATTAGTTTCCAATTAGTAACTTACACTCACTGTATTATATGTATTAACATACAGGAAACTAACCACTTTACTAAAAAGATGCATTTCAGAAAGACCTAAAACCGACTTCTGCCACTGTTTAAATCAGTAAGCTAACAGTTAAACAATGATTCCATATTTAAAGAAATATTTAATATTAATATTTAATTTGCACCTTAAGTTCCCCACTACAGATAAAGATTGACAGTGATTTATAATACATCATTCCTCTAAAAGGCCTAAGTAATCCCACAGAAAACTGAGTGAAAATCTCAAAAAACATGTAATTGGTTTTAGCATACATACATATACCCAATCTCAATTACAGTACGGGAAATACAAGTTAAAATTAAAGTAACATACTGTTTCTCAATTCAAATCTCGCAAAGCATCTCAAACTGTGATGGTAGTTTATTAGTAAGGTTCTGGATAAATAAATACTAAGACATTGTTTATGGGATAGCAAAATTATACAGAGAAGCAGCTGACAAGGTACAGCAAACGTACAGAATCATTCATTCTTCTACTGATTTCACTTTGAGGGAAAAACAGCACCCCGAACACAGAGGCCACACATTACTAATGACACCAGGCTATTCAATTAGTATTCCAAACACAGCCAATGACTGAACAAAATCGAAATATTCACTGCAGCAATGTTTTAGAAGCAACTAAGATCATACTTATACAGGTGTGTATAGTATACTTTTTTGTGTGTGCAGACAGAATTTAAAGTACACAAAGATGTCTTAATAATTTAAAAGGATACTTCCTAACATTCAAAAGCAATATGGAAAAAAAAGACACTAAGCCTACCACACAACCACATGAAGTTATTCCAAGCGGTTTTAAAACAGAATTATGACTCTACACTGCACCCCAAGTGTACCCTGGGCTCAGAGGGGTCCCGTAATCCCAAGTTGCATTTCACACACTTAACGGTTGTAATATGTGTTACAGTTTGAATGTAATGAGCCATCAGTAATTGTGTTACTAGAACTAAGTTTTTAATTCTAAGAGAAACAATATAAAATTAAAGAAGTTACTATCTGTAGACTGGGCTATGCTTTTCTCCTGCAGTACTAGGGATTGAACCCAGGGTCTCACTCAAAGCAGGCGTGCTCTCTACCACTGGCCCTCATCCCCAGTCCTTCCTAAGCTGCTCAGCTGACCCTGAACTCAGCACCCTCCTGTTTTAGCCTCCTTAAGTCACTGGAATTAGAGGTACATACCAGAGCCAGCCTGTGTGTGTGCATGTGTGTGTGCGGGGGAGAGAGTAGTGCTTTGTGACAAACTGCTACCTAACCCTCCTTGCAAAGGAAACTGAGCCTGCAGGACTGGCAAGAGTGCTTTTAAATATTAAAGGAGCTGGTTCACACCTACTTAAAAGGGCTCCCTTCACGCCCTGGTTGGAGAGAAAATAATTTGTGCTTCCAAACAAAGATAACAGCAGTGGATGAAACTGAATGGTACTAAATGATAAAAACCCATCAAAAAGTCAGAATCTCATCAGTTATCTGTGGAGGTTGGTAGGGCATCAACTGCACTTTATTCTAAAAAAGGACAGTGAAGGCAAATAATCACATGCTTACTCTGCCTTCCCTATATAAAGTACATTACATTCCAGCTAACCAATAGGTGGAAGCAGATTTCATAGAAAAACTAAAAATATGATTTAAAGAATGGTTGGAATAAAAAAATTATTTTAAAATACAGACTCCCCAATAAAATAATGGTCTTCAGTGATAATTATTAGGAGCTATTAGAATCATTAGGTAAACAGCAACAGAACTCTGTACAGGATAGATGCAGTCCATTTTAACTTCATGTCAATAAAAACAGGACAACCACACACCGCACCACGCGACCGAGGGCGCCACCCCACTTGGGAAGTATCCCTGCCAAAAGCTAAACTCCGCTGCCTCCAATGCTAATGCCTAGTTTCCAAGAAAAACTAGGTACAGCACAACAGTGAACACATCTGAGAGTCGGGCCAAACCCAGGATGAGAACGTTCTAAGACACACTGCTCAGGACTCTCAGAGGAAGTAGCAAGAAGGAGAAAACACAAAAGGAACAGAATACAAAGATGAAGAGAGGCTTAAATGATATAAAAGTGGCAGATGAAAAATACAGTGGATATTTAAATTAAAAACATTGCAATTAATCTCTCAAAATACCCCCCCCCCCGCAACACATCTACCCCGCTGTTCCCGCCACTTTCTGAAGCAGCTCTGGAAGCCGCCCTTGGCGCTGTCTTCAGGAGGTGTGATGACAACTCCAGTGAATGCTGACACAGAGCGCCATCCCCTAGAGAGGCAGGCTGGTGACAACAGTACGGTGCAAGCGCACCTACCTAGTTCCCCAGACCAGGCAACCTGCTAACTTCCAGCTCCCCCGACCCAAATCACGAAAATACCACACAACTCCCACGGCTTCGAGAGAACAGCAGGATTGATGTGACAATGTGTTCCAAGTGAGGGGACTAACTGTGATGTCTCTTCCTGTAGGAAGTGTTTTTTACTGAATCACACTGTACTTTTCAATCACACTTCATACATACTAAATGTATGCACCTTGCTTAGATTTTGATTTAAACCAACCAACCAACTGGAAACAGGTATGAGTGATATTAAACAAGTATTCACAGGTTGAATGGAATCATGGCTGGGCTCTGCTTAGAATGTTCCAGCACGCGAATGCAAGGCTATGGAAACCTGGAGCCCAGTACACGGTGCCCAGGGTCCGTGACTAGTAAAACACGTTTACAAGCAGAACGTCCAGGAGCGCACACTCAGGATCACTGCAGTATTGAGCAGAAACGATTCTCCTCTTCCCTTTTTCCGTACCCTAACTCTCACCTCAAACAAGGTCTCTCATTACAGTCACACAGCTAAAAACTCAGGGAAAAGTGTGGCCAGAACAAAAATCTACCTCACGCACCATTATTTTGTTCAACTGTCATGAGATTATGCTTGGCTTTTACTGAGGCCTCAAATGTGTCAACGTTTTCTCGCTCGTACTCTTTAACATCCGCAGCGACCCGCTCCAGGATGTCTTCTGGAGAGGGCGATCGCGTTCGAGTGCTGCTCTGGGGGCTGCTGGGTTCTGACGGCACAGACATGTTGCTGTCTTCAGCCAGGTACTTGTATTTCTGCAACAACAATGCAATTGGTCATTGTCGTACATCTTACGCTCTCTGAATACACGCATTTCCTAAGAGATGCTGCACTGAAAAGTTAAGTCTGTGACTGTAAATCAACAACAAAAGAGGCACTGACACCTTGGTTGAATCCGAAATTCCTGACCAAGTTTTTTCCACACCTGGTGCACATGGACTAGGGGACAAACCCTGAGCTGCCCAGATGAGATGCTGTTTTCTGTATTATACCCCAGGGCGACACTTGCTCATCTCACCACAGAAATGTGATTATGGGGTGGATGATGTGTTGACTACGGGGTCTGCTTCAGACCCCACTGATGGCGCTATGTGAGATACATAGATGCACCATATTACCTTTCTAAATTCAAAACTTTCTGAGTTCTGAAGCACATCTGGCCCCAAGGATTGGAGATAAGGGATTGTGGACCTGGGCAAAAACAAAAAAAGATTCAACCAAGTTTTCAGGAGTTCCAGTTTAATAACAACTTCTCCAGTGTTCCCAGCACCTCTCTATTTGGCCCTGCTTCCCCTGGGACTCTGGTTCCTTCCTTCCTTTACGTGACACCCGATGAGCTGCCCTGCCGCTCTTTCTCTATTCAGCCCTCTGTCCTTGTGAGAAGGCACCGTACAGAGAACTGCTGCCCACAAAGGACCCAGGGCCCAGGTATGGTTTTGTCTCAGGGCAGCCAAACAGGCGCCCATGGTCTTCCAAGGCAACAAACCCAAGTGAGAGAACTCTCTCGAGATCCGGTACAGCGCGCTTCACGCTCATTCTCTTCATCATCTGCTTCTAGACCAGTTTTGAAATCGTTTTTCCAGTGTTTCACTGCAGTACTTGCTTTTTTCCACATAGTAAAACATACTATTTCTGCTAAGAAATTCTTCAACTCTACACACGTGAGAATTTTCATGTTCATTAAGTTAAACTTCAAACTCTTATGATTTACTGAAGTTTTACAAAGGGTAACAACATCTCAGTTCTGGTAAGTAACAGAACCACCGAATTTCACAAATTCTATATATGTGCTCCTTTCCTAAAGACCAGCTAGCACTATCATCACTTACCAGTAAAGCATTTTAGGTGACGACTTAAAAGAGAATTCATAAAAAATGTTTGGCAAAAACCACCCACCTGGACAATCGCTTGCCTCTGTATTCTTCTCTGTTCTATTAGTGCTTCTTCATCTTCTTCCTCTACATCAAAATCTTCGAGGCTTTAACACAAAATTTCAAACATCTTTAGAGTCTGAAACTAACTCTTACAGGATGAAAATTAAAAGCTGAAAGGTATCAGTCATGTTTAAGATAGAGCAAAAGTCTTATGCTGTACTATTTATTTCCAAACTGTCTCAATCGCCTGTTTGGAATCCTAGTAAGTAACTTACTGTTCTGTCTCCTTTCCTTCTCTGTGATGTTTATGGCACAAAAGTCAGCAAGAATAAAGATGTCTACGTTTGGGGAGGTCATCCCTGCTTCTGTATACCCTTAGCGATGCTGCTGCATTTCTCAGATTTCAGTTTTCTCACCTGTACTAGGGCTGAGACAGGCGAGTGAGCTGTTATTTTCTCTGAGCCACTTTTGAAAGCTCGTGCCAACTACTGGTTCCTTCAGTATTAGCAATGCACACGCAAGCATTTGCACATAATCTGAAGAGGGATGTGGCTCAACCCCAAATACTGTCCCTACCCCCTCCTTCCATACCCCATCACCTCCGTGCTCCTGTCTTACGGTCTCTGTCAGTGCAACCTGTTTGTATACCTGGACTGTTAACAGAAGGAATATGAGCTGACTGCACTCTGACCAGATTAGCACTTCTACTGAACACTCTAGCCACCTTCCTTAATCATCAAGCTTTAACTGGGGTTTCTCAGCACAGCACTGTTGGTTTTTTGGTATGTATATTTAGGTTTACTTGTTGAGAAACGCGCTAGTGTTTGCAATGTAGGTAACAATTATCTGTGGCCTGCTGTCATTAGAAGACAACCAAAAATATGTTTAATACACTGCCACAATATCTTCAGGCAGGCAAGTATCCCCATGTTCATGACTATCACCCTCAATTATTTATTTTTGTAATATTCCATTTAGACAACCAAGTTTGCAACTTAAAACTTTTTCCGGTGTTTTACAGTTCACCGCTGAACTGTTTCTCTATTTTCACATTAGAGGAGGCACACCTGCCATCAGGTCGCCTCACTCGTAAAGACCCAACATGGGCTACGAACTGAAACACCAAAACTCTGTAAGAACCTGTGTGACAGTCTATACAAATAAAAGACTCCCCAAAAACCCCCAGCACAAGATGCATCCCGCCAAAAGGGCACCTTACATACAGCACCTACTGTCACTTGCCACAAACCTGCCTGGTAAGACCACACAAGCAACTCTTGAGTCCACAGGGTTTACAGGACTAGATTCACTGATCACATCCTGGGGGGAATTATTTTAAGATTTCCAGTCAATCACGGTTTCCCTAGGCCAGAGAAATGAAATATGGGCAAGTTCATCTTACTTGTCATCAGATGAAGACTCCTGCTCCACCTTCATCCCTTCTGAAAGACTGCCTTTGAATTTGTCCTCCTTCACTTTGCTTCTGCTCCTCCGTCTACGGCCGCCCCGCGATCGAGACCTCCTCCTCAAGCGTGACCTGCTCCTCCGGGCTCTGTCTCTGTTAGAACAACAACAAAAAGACAAACATATTTCTTAGAATGCCAATTAAAGTGAGGCATGGCAGGGGCGCGAGGGAGACCTCTTAACCCAAAATTGCTTTTAAAAAATAGTATTTAAAATTAATATATATTAAGTAGGTCTCAAAAAACTGAATAATTAGGTTAACTAAAATGACTGAAACATAGCTACTATTCTTGCCAATTTCAAAGGAAAAGTCTCAAAGTATTTCTTAGAATACTGACTTGAACGTAAGCTCTACAGGAATAAACAAACACAGCTTCTCTGCTTCCATTTCCTCTTTCAGGACCCGGCTGGAGCCTGAGGTGCATGCCCCGCACCAGTCCTCCCGCACCCAGAGGCCCTTGGTCCAGACTTCTCAGCTGATGCACACTGATCAGGCTTCTTTTTGGACTCACCAGGTGAATTCCACGCCCACCAAGCGTTGCCTATGTGTGCTCTCTAAGCTGCACACACTGCGAACTACGCTAAGCTTTTTTCCCATTCATCATGAATTGCAAAAACATACGAAGTAAGAATTTTAAAGTTATGCTTTGTATGAAAGGTACATTGAAGCTCAGGGATACAGGACACATGGATGCCTGCCAAGGCCTGGAGTGAAGGGAGAGAGAACTGTGCACCTGGAGCACAGTGACATGCCCTGCCTTGACTGTGGTCACTACAGGACATGCGCCTGCAGACCTCAAAACTCCACACCATAAAGGGTGGGTTTTACTTTGTGTCAAGAAAGTGCGTCAGCAAGCCCAAGCAAAAAGACAGTTAAGACAGATTGGACGAAAACCTGAAGTCTAATGAGTGGCCTTCAGACATTTTTTATGAATGCCCCTTGGTGTCCGCCCACTTTTAAGCACAGAGAGGGTGACTTTGAGAAAAGATGTGGGTCCCCCTGGAGATGGCTGCAGGGCTCTATCAAAGGCCCTGCCAGCCCCGGTCCTGCCACACTTCTCCAAAACTTACTAAGGTAGTGACATGAGAAATGCGCAGGGAAAGAGGAGACGAATGTGTGTGATGGCAGACACACCATCTTCAGGTATGCACACTGGACGGAGGAGCAGTGATAGCTCACAACTGAGCTGAGGGCCAACACAAGAGCAGTAAACAGTAAGCTGGTGCCTGTCCAGAAGCCCCAGAAGGCCTAGGAACCAGAGAAGCCCCTAAGGCAGTAACAGCGAACCTTCCAGAGCCTTCGATGACACAAACAGCCTGCCACAGCACATGCACCGTGGGTCACCACCACTGCCCACTGCCCACTGCCCGAAAGGGTGGAGCATGAGGTCAGAGCTGGGCATGACTGACTGAAAGACCGATGCAGACTGATCCCCTCCCCAACTCACTGGAAAATGCCAACCGCTCTTCACAGAGTGCCGGGCTCCAGAAGGTGCAAACCGGACGGAGGAGTGCCAACAGCTCACAACCGAGCCAAGCGTCAACACAAGAGGAAATCAACAGGGATAAGCAGCTTTCTTGAAAGCTTCTGGTTACTATAAAAACTGAAACAAAGGGGCTGGGGATTTAGCTCAGCGGCATGAGCGCCTGCTTTGTAAGTAGGCAGTCGTGAGTTCGATCCCTGGTACCGATAAAAATGAAAAAGACAAAAAAAAAAAAAAAAAAAACTGAAACAAAGCACTGAGTGGCAGTGTACTGAAACCAGGAAGTCTAAGGACAAGTTTACACTGTGAAGACAGACAGAGCTCCACCAGAAGCCACAGCACAGCAGAGTGCTCTGAAGAACTCACACAGCCCAGGAGAAAAGGCCTGCCTGCAGTCACCGGCCTGCCGAAGTCCCTTCCTGACTACCCTGAATGAGGGCAGCCAGCTGAGGCGCGCCACACTGACAGAGGGAAGGAGGCACCGTTCGTTAGCTTTCCCGGTGCTCACGAAATCACAGCACCGAAGAGTGAAGGACTCAATGGTCCAAGGACAACTCTTCAAAGAAAGGAAGGGCCGGGGTTCAGCTCAGCAGTGTAGGGCTGGCGCCAGGTCACCAGTACAATCCCCGGTATCAAAAAAACAAAAAAAAACAAAAAAAACAAAAAAAAAAAAAAAAAAAAAAAAAAAACCCCAACAACAAAAAAAACCCAAAAACCCTCACAAAATGAAGTGGGTATTTGCTGAACTACAAAAACAATTTAAAAAATTTTTAAAAGCCAATAGAAGGGTAAGAAAGTAGAATAAGAAAATCTAAAAGCTCAAGCTGGGGGCTGGGGATTTAGCTCAGCGGCATAAGCGCCTGCCTTGCAAGCAGGCAGTCGTGAGTTCGATCCCTGGTACCGATAAAAACGAAAAAGACAAAAAAAAAAAAAAAAAAAAGTGTAAGTTTCCAAAAACCTGCCTGCCATGTGATGAGGAAGCTGCTGAAGATGAGCTACCAAAACACAGGGGTAAATAACTAAAGAACAACACTGGACAAAGAAATGGGGTCACAGCACGACAGGAGGAAGGGAACGGCCCAGGGACGGCAGGAGGGAGACACGGGGTGCACCCTTCACCCCACTGCATGAGCACACTCGAGAGTACAAGCTCGTGCCCTCTGCTGCCAACATGCGGCAGAACAGAAACACGGGTGACGCTGTCCCCTTTGGGGCTGACCAAAAGAACTACAGGTGTATGCCGCATTCTCCAGGAAGAACCAATTACAAATTACTATGATTATAAAATGAGAAGAAACCGGGTCACACATTTACTACGCTATGATCTTGCCAGGTAAGCCAAAAAAGTCATTTAGTATTAATTCTGATAAAAAGGAAGTCCTACTTTGAAAAGACTGAGCTGAAGAACAGTATGCCAAGGGGAAACCAGGGTCCCAGCTGAACAGCAGCCTCAAAAACACTTTGAGGCCAGCGAAGCCAAAGGAACCCACACTTTCCACACTGGTCCCTACCTTCTCCGGGGAGACCTGCTCCTTCGCCGGGGAGACCTGCTGCGCCTGAGTGGGGAGCGGGAGCGCCTTCTGATGGGAGAGCGGCTCCTCCTCCTGGTCGGGGACCACCTGCTGATGGGGCTGGCGTCCTTGGACCTCTCCCGCCTGCTGAGGAGCTCCTCCCGAGGGCGCGTTCTAGAAGGCCAAATGCAAAGGGTAAGAGAAATCAGGCACATTCACTTTGTCCTACATGGAAAGAAAATTCCAAGAAAAGATGCACTGACAACAACAGAAACACTGACTAAGGCTTTTCGCACTGATTTTAAACTCAGATGATCACAGAGACATTCTGCGCTATGCTAGGCCACCGATGAGTGTTTCCTCCAGCCTCATGGTCTGAAGAGTTATTAAAAGTAAAAGCCACCTATTCCAGTTTCAGAAAAATGACTGGAGCACATGTGGCCAAGTGATACCTCATTTCCTCAGACTTTCTGCTACATTTCTGCAGTTAAGAATTTTACTTTTCATGTAAATTGTGACAGTATCTCATGAAAATCATTAACCTCTGAACTGAGGAAACGGGGCTCAGCCTCCTACTCAAAATCAACTTTTCCAGTCTTGCAAGAGGCTTTCAGTGAGTTTTACTCTCTTAATGTGATGCCTGGATCACCACGAGCACAGGCCTTTCTATGATTTAATTGTTTAAAAGAGGCTTTCAACATTTCTTAATGTTGCTTCAGATTTGGATACAGCTATTCAATCTGAACACCATAAATAGTAGTAAATAGTTCTAAGTAAGTAAGTAGTAAGTCTAAGTAAATAAACGATATATAGTTCTGCCTGAAATAAAAGTAAAAATTACAATTTCCCTATTGATAAAAATATGAATTGCCTTGTACATTTCCTAAAAGAATCTTTCTTAGATCCAGCTAAAATAAGCAAGGTACACTCTGATTCAGATCTGTAGTACATATATGTTTGTTTGCTTATTTATTTATTTATTTATGTTTTTTTTGGTGGTACCAGGGATCGAACTCATGACTTCGGGCTTGCCAGCCAGGTACTTATGCCGCTGAGCTAAATCCCTGACACTATAATCTGTTTATACAGACATTCTTTTCAAAGACTGGTTAAAACTTGTCAACAGGATAAAATAAAGAGTGTACAAGGGAGGAATGAAGTATTAATTGCTTAAATGCAAGCAAAATAAAAATGCTTAATCTCAATAGTGATCTAAAATACTTAAAAGTGTTTTTCTTTCATTATTTAGCGTATCACATGGTATCTTGTATAGTGAGAGTTCTGTGAAAATACTAGCCCGCACAGTAGAGGAAACACAAGGTGGTCTATCTTTCCTGGAAGGAAATTTGGTTGTAAGTTCTGAAATGTGACTGCATAGGGCAGTTTGCAAGTCTGTTTCTACAAATGTATTCTACGGAGAAACCACATATGTGATCAAGGGACATCTTTACATACAACACTGAAAACCTGGGATGACTAAATTTTCATCAGTTTCAACAAAGGAATAATTACAGTTCAGCTGTGAAAAGATGGAGACGCAGAAACTACTTCTGCGTTACACAGATTTAATGACTTATACCTCTTCTGTGACCAGAAAACATTTTTGCTTCAAATACTCAGGTCTGGTATTGGGTAAGTTTAGAACCTTGTCTTCAAACTGCAAGATTACCAATATAATTACAAAACACTTTATCAAGAATCATTAAACTCACAACTGCTTCAATGCAGAGAGTGAAAGCAAGAGGGGCTATTCCATTCCAATGTGATTTAGAGGAGTAAAAGTAGGAAAGTGTCTCTTTAGAATACTTTGAAAACAGTCTTGCAGTTTCTGAGAATGTGACAATTTAAACTTCGAAGTTTATTTACAACTATACAATAAAAATTTACACAGTGAGTGACTAGGAATTCACATTTATGAGCCAACACTTTTTTTTTTTTGAGATAGACTCACTGTAGTTTACACTGGCTTTGTAGCACAGGCTGGCCTCGGGAATTTGTGCGAGCCTCCTGCCTCAGGTGTCCAAATACCGGAATTCTAGGTGTGCGCCACCATACCTGGCTCAACATCCTTTTAATCAGGAATACTTGGCCAATAATTCCAAATCACACAATTACTCAATATACAGAAGATATTATCACATCAATTTCCAAAGTGGCTTACAATGATTTGGCTCTACATGACCCTCCTTCCACCTTCCTGAAAAACTCAGTTCTATGATCATAGAACTGAATCACATTAACTTCTCTGACTACATCATTTGAAAGCCAGGAGTAAAAGTGACCCTTGTCACCTCATGAGTTAAGATTAACAGCAAGAAGACGTAATCGGTTAACGTGTTCTTTAGGGACCACTGCTGGCAGAAGACGCTCGGGGGGACAGCAGAGCACATGTGGGCCTGTCGTGAAAGCCTTCAATCACCTGATTTAGAGGCGTGATCCAGCAAATTAACCCAAGAACTTGAATGGAAAACTAATTCTGCTGTCAAGCTCAGTATTTGTAAAACATTCATAAACATAAATGTTTACATGACCAATGAAGTGGGTTATATTTAAAATTACTAAACTCATGACTTCATTTTTAATGGCTCGCTCTCAAGTTCTATTTTCCCCTTTAAAATATGGTACACTGGTAAAATGCATCAACGTTTTGTGAACAAGCTACCTTGGAGAAGAAAGTCGCCTCCTCTCTGGCTCCCTGCGCTTTCTTTCCAAAGATCGGCTCCTGGCTCTTCTACCCGGGGACAGAGTTCGAGAAGGCGACTTGCTCTGCTTAGATCTTCTGTCGTTCAAGAGTGGAGAGCGACTTCTCCGGGCCTTATCGCGCTGCTTTGGAGACAGACTCCTTCTCTTAGGACTGCGGCCAGGCCTTCGACTGGGTGACCTGTTCTCTTTCCCAGAGGAAGCGTCCTTCGAGGGCGACTTGATGGGCTTCCTCTCCTTATCGAGGTCAGAGCGCTTTGATTTTCTCTCTTTGGACCGCGACCTTCTGTCTTTGGATTTACCTCGCAGGTCAACTGGGGATCTGGACTTCTTACCTCGATCTCGACTTCTACTTTCATTTATAATCGGGGATTTTTTCCTATCTCTTGTCTTACTTTTATCCTCACTTTTCACCTTTTCATCAGCAGGCGATCTGGCCTTGCCCACCTTCTCCTGAGATCGCCTCCTAAGGGCAGGGGACTTTGATTTTCTTGCTTGGTCTTGAGACTTACTTCTCTTGGATGGACTTTTGGACTTCTTCCTCTCCTTCGACTTGCTCCTGGTTGTTTTCTCTTTAACTATTTCAATACCTCCCTTACTTTTCTTTTTATCCGACCTATGTCTAGTCCGTTCTTTGGATCTGCTTTTACTTCGTTTTTTTGTACTATTTTTATTGTCCACAACTTCAAGTTTGCCCTTTGTACTAGAAGATCTAGTACTTGACCTATTCCCATTTCTGGCCTTTTCATGAATCTCCCCTTCCTCTTCAGAGCCAGACTCGTAGCCTTGTAAAATAAGTCCCATCCCAGACTGGACCTTCCCTTCCATCAGCTCATTATCAAGTTCAGCTTTAATCAAGGCCCTCTGCTTCTCCAAGTCTTCCAGCAAAGCTAAATCATCGAGTTTAGTTCTTTTTGCTGGAGACATCCCCTCTCTGTCTGAAGCATCGATAATTTCCTTTCTTTTATGTTTCTTGTGTTTATGCTTATGCTTATGTTTTTTATCCTTGTCTTCTTCTGAGGAATGTTTATGCTTCTTATGTTTACTTCTGTGTTTATGTTTCTTTTTTTTGTGACGACTGTGTTTATTTTGAGATTGGTCTTCTGATACTTCTCCATTTTCTTCATTGACACTCTTTTCAGAATTATCAGCATCTTCCAACCTATAAATGTACAGAAGACACTTTAAAATCAGAGTATTTATCCAGTCTGAGTTGTAAGAAAATTAGCAGAAATGACAAAACACGTTTCTATGTAATACATTAAGCTAGTCACTAAAAAAATTTTTAGGAACAACTCCAGGTATTTTATTTCAAAAAAATATGTGCCAAGAACCGAACTGGGTAATTAACATAATTTCAATTTAGTTCCTAATCGCTGAACTTGTAAATCATTAGAGGAAAAACTATGGGGTAAGGTTTAAAAACTTACCCAAAAAAGGGACTGTAAATCAGACACAGAAAAATCTTAATACTGATTTACACAAGTCACTCAGTAATTTGATTCTTTAAACCTGCACTTCTCATCTATATTCAAGAATCATTTTTTTCATAGAATATTGATAATAAATTGGGAGACTAATCTCCTTTTCCATTTGAATTCAGAAAATTGACATTTGGACAACAAATGTAGAAAGTCATTTGTTCTGAGCATATCTGACCTAATACTCCAGCTCCTGTTCCAAAGTCTGCAGAGCCAATGCTGAGCTATATTCACCATAAGCAAGTGACAGCACTGGAGTGGAGACTGACGATGTTGGATGTTCAGATCTCCTGAGGATTTAGACTTTAAGATAAATCATAAGAAAGGATACCAGTACATCAACAAGTCTAATACCAGCAATTACACACGGTTCAATCCAGTAACTGTTCACCTAATTTCACCCTTCTGACTCATAAATGGAAAACTCAATTTCCAAAATATCTTTCTACTAATAATACTATGCAAAAACAAAACCATACTAATAGAGATTCTACACTTAATTCTTTGGATTATGTTGTGTTAAAAAGTTTATGGCTCTAAATTTAGCACTGTATAATCATCCAAGGTTAAATACAGGTTCAATATCATTACAGATACTTCTTGACTTCTGATGGGGTTATGTTCCAGTAAGTCCACTGCAAACTGAAAATACTTTAAGTATGAAATATAGTTAACACACTGCAACTAAAATAAGATCACAACCAAATTTTAAAGTGGACTCTGGTCATCATACCATTTTTGGAGGAAGATATGGATCATTGTGTCAGTTTCAAATAACATACCTATACACTCTCAGTAAGTTTACTACACCACCTACACTAGCAGTTCCTCGGGAGGTCTATGAACCTATGCATCGACCTCTGAAGACATTTTTTAAAATCACTTAGCACTGTAGGTATTAAGCCAAATGGCAGGAAAACAGTGTACATGACCAGTATCACCTCCCTCAGGGAAATGAAGTACAGCAGAGAAGAAAGTCACAGAACACAACTGTAAAACATTGGAGAAGAGCATGACGGAGACAGAATAGAGACCCTTAAGGGTCACTGCAACTCATTGTGTGTGGTTAGGGAAGGTACTCTGTAGATCAAAGAAAAAGCCCAGTCTACCTGTTAAGCAGGGACACTAGGGTAGAGATGTTTATTGAGAAAAAAGGCAGATTAAAAATACGCTGAATAACACTGCCCTAAAGAATGAGCAAAGAATTCTGAAAAGACAAAAGGGGCATTTCCGAGCTAGAAAACAGGTGGCAAAGCTTAGGGTTACACGCAGCAAAGGACAGCCAGGGCACCAAACAAACCTGTGCAAAAATCTGTTCTAACAGAGACTGCGACTCCAAGAGGACCAATTCCAGGAGACGGCAAGGCGAAGCACGTGATTCTGGGGGTGAGCGGGGCAGAGGGGTCGCAGAGGCCTAGGAACTGCAAGGTCTGATTGCTGGCTGGGTTCTCTACAATGGCGCTGCCATTTCCGAGGATCATGGCTGGGGCTGAGGTAGTGTTTGGTTCTCTAGCCAGGTCTTGGTCTTCAGTGAACAGAGTGTGTGTGTGTGTGTGAGGGGGGCAAATGGAAGTGTCTGAAAAGTTACTAAAGGACAACAGATGTAAAGGAAGGGGAGGAGTGGACAACACATAGCTAGCACATGGTATCAAACACACAAAACTCTGACTTTTGTTAATCTCTATTTCTAGCACCAGAGTATGAGAAAGGACAGAGAACTGAAGAGAGGAGCAGAGGAAACTGTGTCCTCTGGTGCCAGTCATGGTTTGGACTCACCTACTTCTCTCTGGACCCTCCTGCTGTACTGTGGAGGGCAACAGAACCACACAGATTGAAGCAAAAGATCGACACTGCAACTCTGCTCCTGCTATTGACTAGACAAGCAAGCACATCGCTTTCCTGGAGACACCTCGCCTTCAATTCAGAAGACTGGGTATGTGCCTTTCTTCTCTGATCCTTGACTTACTGGGAAGGGAGCTGTTAGGTGAATTAAAGCTACAGAGAACTTTTTTAAGAACTATGAATGATTTCTGGGTATATAAAACCTAAGGCTCAAAGTTCAAATTCTAGTCATTAAGGTAGATAGAAGTCAAACCTCCTCTGACACTCTCTCCAAGCGAATTCCAAATTAAGGAGAGCTGAGTGGTTAAAGAGTCTCCTAGCTGCCCAGGCAAAAGCTGTGGTTGTGAGGCTTAGGCCACTGTAAGCTCTTGGACCCCAGGTCATCTCACAAGCAGATGGAGAAGATCAGAGTTCCCACCTGGGAGGCTGCCATGCAGTTTGCACAGGTAAACACAGTACATGCTTAGGACAGGGCTTAGCGTGAACTACACACCCCAAAGGCAAACCGTTATGGCATCGATCCTAGGTCACCAATCTCCTCACAGACTACTGTGCAGATGACAGGGAGCTACTGAGGACGGGGCCTTAAGGAATGCTGCCAAAAAGCACCGACTCTTGAGTCAAACTACCTGGCTTAAAACGCTGCCTCCTCCAAGACAGCTCTAGGAACCTCAAGCAAGCCACTCCGCTGGACTTTGTTTCTCTGAGCTGTAAAAGCTGGGGAAGCAACAGTATAGATAAATCATAGATTTGTGGTGACAATTCACACTACACATGCCTGTCATACCTAGTGCCCCAGAAATGTCTCGCCACTGCGGAGAGAGACTAAGGCTTGAGGAGGTGTAAGGGACCTGTCTAAGGTCACACACACATCACACCTGTGAAAAGGCTGACCCTGCATCCCAAGTCAGCCAAAAGCTCTTCCACTTGACAGAGACTGCTTTTAAAACATTCAGACCAGGCCGCTGTCTTGGCAAACCTGATTACTGCCCCAGCTAAAATCCTCTCCCAGGCCCTACACTCAGCGGCCAAGCTCCCCGTGCACAGCGCTCCACACCTGGTCCTTGGCTTCCTCCTCCTGCGTTCCCCAGACACTGCGCTACCGCGCTTCCTTTCATCTCGCTTGGCTCTAGCTCAGACATCACTTTCCCCGGCAAGTCTTCCTGACTCCACTTGAGTGCAACACACATCTTTCTGTGTTTAATTCATTTTCTAAACTAACTTTACAACCTAATCTAATTCCTGAGGTCTCTATTATAGCAAAACACTAAGAGAACAGAGTTTTTATCTTTCGTTCCATATTCTTTTCCAAGGGCCCATGGGATTGTTTAACTCACAGCAGGTACTCAGTAAGTATCTGCTGAGCTAAGGAAATGATGTGCCTAGAGTAACACAGAAAAGCTGTACTCAACACTGACAGTTTCTACTACAGACCTTTAGCTCTTCAAATGTTTTTTTACTTACTTACATCTTTGGAGCCTCAGCATACACATAGTGTATAATCACATGCAGTAACAAAAATAATCAAACAAAAATCTGCTTTTTGAACCTTTGTTTTTTCTAATGCTTTCTGTAGACAGTTCACAAAAGCTTTAGAAGTTCCAATTCACAGTTCCTAAACAGCTTAAAAAGCCACAGTAAAGAAAAACCTAGCTCCTGGTGCTCTCAGAATTGGGATTTGCGGAGCTGGAGATTTAGCTCAGCGGCATAAGCACATGCCTTGCAAGCAGGCAGTCGTGAGTTCGATCCCCAGTACCGATAAAAAGGAAAAAGACCAAAAAAAAAAAAAAAAAGGAATTGGGATTTGCATCAGGATGCCCTGCATCTGTGCTGAGTACACAAAATCCTCACAGGGGATCCGAGTTCACACTGCAGCCTCAAGAGAAGGTTCCTGACAAGACCGCTCCATGCCAACCACAATCCCAGGGTTCGCCCATATGGAGCTGTGTGATGGCAAACCTTCAACCTCCTCTGCAGAACTCTCGAAGAAAAAAACGTCTGGGGGCTGAGCTCAGTGCAAGAGCACTTGCCTACCATTGCCAGAGTCCGATTCTAGCACCAGCACCAAAAGAGCAAAGAGAGGAAGACAGATTGGATTGCTTGGCCTGAGGGCATAGGCTCAGTGGTCAACCACTCCTGGTAAGATGCCCCGGGTTCCACCTCCATTGCTGGGGGGCGAAAGCCTGTATTCTACACGGGAAACCTATGCAGGAGTCTACCCAAAGGCAGACAAGGTTCATCATCAACAACTTTCCCCTGAAGTTTCAGAAACAAGATGCTCATTAAAAACTGGGAATTGTTGGTCTTATGGGCCAGTGTCCACTGATGATACAGGATGCACACAAAGTCCATATACAGAAACTTACGCTTTATATTCACATTGTACTATTTATCACTTGGCAGGTGGATGTGCATACCTACCCATTTACATCAGGTTTATCACAAAACAAGTATTTACTGAGAACCTACACAGTAACTGTTCTGTTTCAAGTGTTAGCCTTTAAATGACCCAGGTCTTGGGGCTTCAGGCAGTTAAGGAAAAACCTCAAAAACAAACAAAACCAGAATAACCAACTACCAACCACTGCAACTATTTTATTATCTTTCACATGTTTTTTCCTAACTAACAGTTAATAAACTGTTTGGGAAGCATTCAACTTATGCTTTTTTTTTTTGGTATGGGGATCCAACTCAGGACTGCACGCTTCCAAGGCAGGCGCTTATGCTGCTGCTGAGCTAAATCCCCAGCCTCTCAATTTATGCTTTGGAAACACATAACTCATTGAATTTGTGCATGAATGGGAATTTTCAAGATAAACAATTCTTAAAAACGTTTTTAAATGGTGAGCTAAGTGAATGCTACTGCTTCTTTACAAGGAACGTAATGACACATTTCTCTGACAAATCACAGTGCTTTCAATACAGAAGTAATGTAGACGTAAGTTAGAATGGGTCCCAAAGACAAACTAGTCCAACGTTCCTTCTGCCTCACCTCTTACAAATCAATGAATTAAAAATATCACATTAAAAAACTGACCTGACTGGGATGCAGATCAGACACAGTTTGTGCAAGGCCTTGGAAAGGTTCTATTCCTGCCACCCCTCCCCCCACATAATATTTACAACAGTGGCAGTAAGTACAAAAGTTTTGAAACTTTAAACACAAATTTAAAAGGAGCTACAATGTATAGTTAAGGTCAGACTATACAATAGCTAGAGGAGTGCTTTAGAACCAGACTGCCACAGTTTAAATGAGTCCTTTACTTAGGGTGACCTCAGTTAAAGTACTGTTTCTCTGTGCCACCAGTTTCATCATCTGTAAAACACACAAGACAGTACAGTACCTATCTCCACAGCACTGTTACACAAACTGTTATTTGCTCAATTCTTTGAAGAATACCTAATCTTCAGTAAATGCAAGTAAGTTTTTAAAAAAAAGGGCTTACTTAAAGAGACTGACATGAAAAGCCATAAGGTCTTCCGGGAGCTTAAAAACCAGTTTTTAAAACACTTATTACCTCTAATATTTCTCCTCTGAATAAATTCCATAGCCTTAAAATGAATCAGTGTCCTATCAGCATGCACAGAATCTGCTTTTATATCACTGTTATTTTCTTTGTTAACTATTTTCAAATTAGCTGGGTTAGGAAGGAGAAATGAAAGACTATTTCAGTGTCACAGCGCAGAGCCTAAACAAATAAGTGTTTATAATCAAATCCGGTATTATTTGGATATGTAAATGAAACATGACCAAAACACTCTTGCTCAAAAGAACTCTAAACTGTCCCTAAAATCAAATGAATTGAATAACTGAATGAAACTCTCAAATTACCAGAAAATTCAATTGTATATCAGATCTGTACTACATGCATAAATACTGCAACTATGCTACACATGGAACTTAGAATCCATGGGTTCTCTTCTAATTGTGAAATTAATACTGCAACTTTCAAAATCTCTTTAATAAAAAATATTGGCATAATTGTCTGGCTAAGAGTTCAGAATTGATGCAAAGGAATGAACTGTCAGGTTGTCTGCTAGCAAAGATTTTTCCTATCTCTTTGTCAAGATACCGTGAGACTATCCACATTTTTTCGCTATAGGAATACTGTTTAAAAATCCACTTTTAGGTTCTTACTTGAATTTTCCCTGCATAAATACACACACACACACACACACACACACACACACACACACTATAGCTTTGGTTAAGCAGCCGTTAGCTTTTGCCTATACAGTGTGTGTTCACTTGGCCACATGGAACCCTATACTGCTTAATTACAGACATAAAAGTGGTTTAGGTTGGGAAGCAGCCACCAATTTCTATCCTTATTCCATTCGTCCTCTAAAAAAGCTACAAACTCAAAGAGGAAACAACAGAAAAAAACCTCAGGCCTAAAAACCAAGGCCTTTCTTACTTTGCTTCAAGTTTGCAGGTTGGCGGAAAAGATGCCAACAGGCAGTGGGGGAAACACCGGGTGGGCGCTGGAGAGAAGTGTGGGACTGGGAGGTGAGGCGCAGGCTGGCCGCAGACTGGTTCTGGGACGATCGGAGACTGACCCTGGCGCTCTCAGGTTCTCAAGTTGATTCCCGTAAGTAACAGGACGACCGGGGTACCGTATGCAGAGGAAAGGACTCTGGGCTCACCCGCGGTCGCTGCCGCCCCTCGTGTCCCCGCCCCGCCGCCGCCAGCTCGCCGGGTTCCCGCAGGAGCAGGAAGCAGTGACCTCCGCCTGCAGCCGCCGCGCACAGGACCTGTAGAGGCCGCTGGCGCCCGCGCCTCCCGGCAACGCGGCGCGCAGGCCCGGCCCGGGGACAGCGGACTCCGAGGCCCGCTCCTCACGCCTCCCACCCACGACGCAGCGCGGGGAGAGCCAAAGTTTGGGTCCCGCCGTTAGGCCCGAACTTTCCCGCCCGTCCGTGCAGTTTCCGCCGTCTCCCACTCGCCGGGTCCGCAGACTCCCGCCCGCCTACAGAGCCGACTTACTCCGGCTGTTCCCGCAGCGCCTGGGTCTCCGCGGCGGCCATCTTGAACTTCCCGACTTCGCGGCAGCGGTGCCGGCGGCTCCCTGGACGGTACAACCTAGTGGAAGTGGCGGAAGGAGGGAAAAGGAGCCGTCGCGCATGTGCACAGCGCGCAGGGAAAAAGTGGTCTGAGTCCGCGCTAACAACCCGGAAGTAAAGTCTTATTTCCGGGGGCGGAACCCAGAACGTCGTGACGTAACTTCCGGTATGATGACTAGTACCTTCAGGTAGTAGAGCGAGTGTCGCGGGTGATTTGAGATCTGGTGAAAGTTAGAATTGAGCCTTTAGAATTGGGCCTTTAAACTCGGCGGGGTGGGGCACGCCTATAATCCCAGCAATCAGGAGGCTGAGGCAAGAGAAACGTAAGGCCAGCTTCGACTACACATGTGGGACCCGGTCGGGAAAAAACCTGAAATAGAATTGAACATTTAAGAACAACAAAAGAATCGGAGCATTTAGATCCCGAAGCTTGACAAGGAGGGTTGCAAAGACGGGGATATTCCTGTTGAGAGCTAGTTCGCTAAGGGAGGCCAGAATTTTGTGGAAAATTTGATATTCCTGTGCCTCATTCGTGGAGAGCTCCTAGGCTTCTCTTAATATCTTGCACCGGGATATTAATCATCTCCAAGTTACTTCTGGTCAGTGTTTTGTAGTGTTGCACGCGGAAATTATACATTGTAGAAAGGATTAAGTGTGTGTGTGGGAAACGCATTCAAATTGCTCAGGTATGATGTCAGACTGCAACTGAAGCCAAATAAAAAACTTGGAAAGACCAAGTTTGAAAAATAAGTTATGGTAGTGGTACAGGCCTGTAATCCCAGCACTGGGGGCTACGATGTAGCTCAGGGCAAAGTACGGGAGTTCCCTCCTCCGCCAAAAAAAAAAAAAAAAAAAATCTGCTGCCAAAGTTTACGTAAATTCCTCGCCCAATTCACTTGCGCAGTATTTTCAGTTTGGATGAAATAGGAAGTGTTCAGAGACCACTCAAAACTGTTGCTGTTGTAGTTTTGGTAGTCTTGAAGGCGGAGTTAAAAAGAAAGTAAAAAACCGACTTCACCGGTTTAATCATTAACCAAACGTTTACGAGTGAACCTGGGCTCCAGTCTTTCATTTTGTGGCTCTCCCCCAACTCCGGAACCTTGGTATCGGAACGTTGCCCCAGGGACGCGCGGCTCTGGGCACTGCGCGGAAGGGACGTCTTGGGGCGGAGCTACGCCCGGAAGTCTGAGGCGCGCGTGCGCGCGCGCCTGCGTCCCCAAAACCGCGCGGGCCATTCCCCGCCCGGAAGCCCAGCCCCAGTTGGGGCGGCTGTGGCTGTGTCGTTAGTGTTCTGCCTTCGCGCCCCGCCGGCTAGGCAGGGAGTCTCCGTCCCACCCAACGCCCGGGGCCCGCCCTCCTCGGTGCTGAGCGCCGCCCTCTCAGAGAGACTGTTTCTGGAACTGCAGGCCCGGCCGGGGAGCAGTGGAGGCCGCAGCCGAGCCCCGCGGACGCTACCATCCGTGAGGCCGAGGTCGGCGGGTTTAAGTACAGAGACCACGGGGGCCCGGCTCTCGGCACTCCGCCCGCAACAAGCAGTACAAAAAGTGTACTGGTCCGGAGATAAGGTTTTGGGGACAAGCATACAGTTTTGAAACGCCTCGATTGTTTAAAACCTCATCTTTGCTTTCTTTTAGGCATGGTTCTAGACACACTTTTAAGTTAATCAGACCTTTTAAGTTTGTTCCTCTCTTGGGAAGAAATTAAAGTTGATCCTTTTAAAGCGATACCATCAGCGTCGGTCTTATTAAACTCTAAATAGACTGTTTATATCATAGACTACAAACAGACGTAACGAATGTCAGAACCGTTTGAAAAATTATGTTGATCCAGGTAGTAAGGATCCAGATGTCAAAAATGTACGTGTCATTTTTACATAATAGTAAAAGCTTAATCTAGTTTAAAACCTAGATTTAGCCAAGCGTGGTGGCACACGCGTGTTACCCCAGCACTTGGGAGGCTGAAGCAAGTATCACCACACCCTGATTGAGGCCAGCCTGAATTATAAAGTGAGACCCTGTCTCAAAAAACAGGGCGGGGTGTTTAAAGAAGACCTAGACTTGCAAATTGGGGAAAATAATACTAGACTTTTTTAAATCAAAAAACATAATCTCTTCCTTTTATTCCGTAAAGGAATTATTGTTTTTGTTTGTCCTGAGGCATTTGTGCGTTTATGAAAACCAGCCAAAGAAAGCAAAAGCCAGACTTCATTTCACTGAACTCAGCTTCGTATGTCAGCTTCTTTTGGCCTTTTATCATGCAAAATACTGAATTTTCTTAATCCCATATGTAGACTGTGATTGTCGGCTTTTTATTGTAACGTCTCAATTTTTTACGTAGTTGTAGTTTCACTAAAATTTATAACTACATTGTATCCTTTTGTTACTAGGTATCCAAATCGTTTGTTTTGCACTCTTGTATGCAAGTTTGGGACTCTGACTTGTGTGCATGGTGTTTAGTAAATTGATGAGGATAGCAGAGTCCAGTGTGGCTTAGGGGAACAAAAAATAAAGCTGGAAAAGGAGCGTGTCGGGCTTGGATTTCATTCAAAATTTACTAGAAAGAGTAAGTTGAGTGTGGAGAGCAACACGACTGAATTAGTATTAGAAGGTTCACTTGGCTGCTTTGTGGAGCTAGAGTGCAGGGACCGGAGAAAGACAAGAAACCATTATCCAGTGACAGACAGGGATGGCTTAGGCCAGTGTGTAAAAGGGGAAAAGCAGTTGGATGCTGATTTGTTTTGAAGAGACACGTTTTGGGTTCATTAATTTATTGTCTGGAGAGTGAGCAGCTGAAGTTTTTGGCTTGAACAATTGGTCTAATGCAGTTGCCTGTTAACAGAGATAAAGGAGAAGCAAGTTTCATGTGGGCGAAGTCAAGGATTCTCCAGGCACGTTATGACTTGCAGAATCTATTAGATGCCTGGTTGGTTGGGCTTTAAAGACTTCAACTGTTGCTCTTGAAGGGTCTATTTGTCCTTTTTTTTTTTTTCTTTTTGAAAGTTTTTGCTGTATTTGATACTGTGACTCAGTATATCCATGCTGATAAGTTATGTGTTCCTAGCAGATTGATTCTTCTATTGTTATAAAGCATGTATGTTTTTCTAGTAACCTTATTTAAAATCTATTTTGTCTAATATTAGTAATTTTAGCTTTCTTGTAGTTGCTGTTTGCATGACTTACACCTTTGAATCTAAAGTATTTCTCCTTTAGATGCCATATTGTTGGATCTGTAGTTTACAATTTGTGCCTTTTATTTAATCAATCATATTTTATTATTTATATAGTTAGACTTACGTCTTACTTTTGTTTTCTCTATGTCCTTAAGTGTTTTTAGTTCTGTTAACCTCTTTTACTCCTTTATTTTGCATCCAGTAAGTCTTTTCTAATGTTGCATTCTGATTTTTTAAATGACTTTCTATAATTCTCTCCTCATTCTCCTCCTCTTTGTTGTAATCTGGAGATTATGATGTACTTCTTAACTCACTAGAACTGGCTTTAGATTTAAACTGACTTAATTCCAGTGAGATCCAGAAATCTTCAGTACAGTTTCACTGCATTACCTGACTCGGTCCATTATAAGTGACACAAATCAAATGATACAGTTATTACTTTGTCTTTTAAAGAAGATAAAAGAACAAGAGAAAACAACTACATATTTATAACTTTTGTTGGAGTAACCTTAGTTATCATTTCTGACTCTTCACTTACGGATTCAGGTTATTCTTTTTAAGGTGGATACAGCTCAGATTTGCTCTTTTTGCAACTTGCAAGTGTTGCCATTTGCATTTGCAGAGCATTGCAGTGTACATTGTCGTGACTGCAAGTTTCTACCCCAAACCAATACCTTTACATTTATCAGCACCCCACACCCTGGTAACCATCACTCTCTGTTGCTGTGAGTTCTCTTTTTGGGCTCCACACATAAGTAAGATCACATGGTCTTTGTCTGTCTGTGTCTGGCTTATTTCTGACAGTGTCATGTTGTCTAGGCTCATCCGTGTTACCACAAATGACAGGATTTTTTTAGGGCTAATAGTCTCATGTGTATATATATTTTCTTTATCCATTCATCTGTTGGTGGGCCCTGTGGTTGATTTCACATTTTAGCTGTTGTGAGCACTACTGCAGTGAACAAGGAAGTACTCTTTGATGTACTGATTTTATTTCCTCTGAATATTTGCCCAGAAGTGAGATGGGTGGACCATAAGCAGTTCTGTTTTTAATTTTCTTTTTTTTTGTCTTTTTTGAGACGGGGTCTCACTATGCAGTTCAGGCTGGCCTTGAACTCACTTTGTAAACCAAACTGGTCTGAATCTTGTAACGATCCTCCCTCTTCAGCCTCCTGAGTGCTGGGATTACAGGTGTGAGCCACCATGCCTGGCTGTTTTTAATTTTCGAGGAACCTCCAAATGCCTTTCTGTAATGGCTTTCCAATTTTACATTTCCACCAACAGTGTAAAAGCATTACCTCACTAACACTAGTTATCAGGTTCTGTCCTAGATTCCCAATCTCCCAAACGAGTGTATGGTGGAGGTTAAATAAAAACAGACAAATTGTATGATTTTTAGGGTTCCAGGAGGGTCAAAACCCTTTAATTAAGCTTGAGGCTTCGAGGGTAAAGATAAAGGATTCTCTGGATCAGTCCACGTATATTAGGACCAAGGACAAAGGGCGGAGAAACTGAGGAAAGTGCAGGCAGTGAGCAGGACCTTGGGAGTCACTTCAAGGAATGAATCAAGTCAATTCAGTAGCACTGTCATATCATGAAGACATGGGAGAAGTGAGACTGTAGGAGTAATTTCTGCAGCTGCAGTCTCTACCTAGTTAATTGGGGTTGGAGCCAGAGTGTCCGCAGCTGTGACCTTATCTTGCCCTTTGAGGTATCTCTGGCCTCACAGGCCACTACAGGCCTCAGCCAGGGCCAGTGATTCATAGAGGTTCACTTACTATGAATCAGCTCCCATCGCCAGGCAAGGGGTCTAGGCCAAGCCAGACTCACAGAAAAACATAGAAAGCCAATGAGTTCATTTTAAATCCTGCTCAGAGCTACTTTGTAGTGGTCTCCAATAGTCCTAGACATGTAGAGCACATCAAGTGAGATGGCCGTCTGCACAC